AAATACAACTCACATCTCAATTCTTGACCATGTTCATCATGCTCACAACTGAGTCAGCATTCACACCCATGGCATAACAGCTGGACGGAACCGACCTTGTTGCGCATCGCAGGATGCTCCCCGACAAGACTCCCGAGCCGGTCTGAAACGCCCGCCCCAAACTCTTTGAGAAAGCCTACTTTTTCAGAAGTCCATCTTGGAGCCCCCAAAAGACAAGCTACTCTCCAAGCCTACATTGACCGCCTCGCCCGAGAGACCCATGCATTGCAAAGTCAACCTTCTCAGAGGACTCTTTGACCAACAAAAGCCCAGGTCAAAAGGTCTGGCTCGCGCAAACCGCCGCAAACATGCAAGCCAGACTGCTGCATGGCATACATCTTCTGACCCTCCTGCAGGGGTGCAGGATGCTCCCCAGGCGGAGGTGGGTTCCAAGCCTGGTTCACCAAGTCCAGCTCTAAAGTGGACATTCGAAAAAGAGTGTCCTACTCCAACCAAGATGATAGATGCAGTGAGTCACCATCCCTGCAATCAATCTGTCGGTGGGCAATGGGAACATCATGCAACCAACCCCCGCCTTTCCCCATCTTCAATGTCCCAACTCCAAACAGCATCCGACTTGAGGTTGAGGGGGGAACCCCTTACGCCGCGGGAGCAGCACTCTGCCACGCGCAGTCCCACACGCTGCCATGCTGGGTGATGCTGAGTTTTAACACGCGGCATGGGAAACGTGAACACACTGACACTTCCATGGAGCTGAAATTGCGGAACCGCACCAGTGGACGATGTCCGAGCATCATGCGGGGCTTCCGCAAGCAAGGCGGGAAGTGGCAAAACCAAGCCTCCCAAAGTGGAAAAATGTGCTCAGCCACAATCGTGGCGTGTCGAGCGCTCAGTGGCTAGCCCGGCAATCGGCAGGTGGCAGCCGTGACAACTGAGAGACAAATCCCGTTCTTGTTTTTGCCTATTCGCAGAGCAGAAACCAGTGGAATCAAATTATCAAGTTGGCTTGTGGATAAGATCGATTCAAAAGAGAAAGGACCAAGACTAAGTCTTTTCTAGAGAAGCATCTTTGGTTTCACGACCCTGCTCCACATGTGACAACTATCCGAAATAAAACTCAAAGAGGGCCCTTCGCCTTAGCACGCACCGAGGCAGAGAAACTGCAGGGCTTCGCTCAGCTGTTATGTGCGGTGAGCTAAACATTCCTGGAAATCCGCAAGGGAACCGGGCCTACGTAAGGGCAAAACTCAAAATGATCTGCATGGGCACCCCTACCATCTGGCATGAGGCTCAAGACTAGCTTCGAACATCCCAAATTGCGAACTCATCCAAACAAGGAATTGCGCCACACTGCGCCAAGTACGCCATGAGTTTCTACTTTTGCAAAACTTAGTTTCGGGCGGCCCTGGCTTCAACAAGCGTGCCCACCAGTTCATACTGTTCACGTCTTCGTCTGTCCCCTGCCGGCATTTTGCTTTTTTAAAGCGTGGAACAGGCCTATGAAACGATCTGCCCGCATTCATGGCCACCGTTTGTCAGCGCGGCGCGTAGCCGTGCGGCCCGTCCTGGAGGACAGTGAGGGCTTCCTCCAAGCGCGCATGCCTGTTTTGGCAGCAAGCGCAATGGGCTGGAGTGGAACAAGTGGGCCAACTTAAACTTGGTTGACTTTGGAAGGGGAGCAACAAACAAAAACAGCTAAGTGGGGATTTCCCACTAAACCAAAATAAGCAAAAATGTAAAATGTTTCCCAACAACAACCATGTAAAGGGTCCCTCCTTGGAATGCTGGTTCTAGTTTTTGCAGCAGCTGCCCCCTGGTCACAAGCTGACCAGGGGTGCGTGCACAAGCGGCTTCAACCGTCAGCCATCAGAACTTATCTGAGGGAAGAAAGGGTGGAATGCAACATCCCGGCAGCGACAAGCTGGCTGGGGCTGATCTTGCCTAAGCTTTGTTTGGGCTTTGCTTAGGCGCGGAATTGCGTGCGCAGCCTGCCGCAGAATACTTTGTAAGCGGACGGTCGTTCGTCGCTGCCCTGTGCCATAAGCGCTTGCCAACCTGGATGCCTGGCTTGCGCGGCCTCAAACGGTTTCCGCGCAGCACCACGCACCAACACACCAAATACCCTCCCCCAACCCGCCCCCATAGAATAAAGGAAATGCGCTGGCCCCGGTTCTGTCAATGTTTGTCTACTTCGGCGCCAACCTTTGCCCTTCAAGGCAAAAAAAACAAAAACAAATAGCTGACCTGAAAGCCTGAGGCCTAAAACCGAGCAACTTGCGAGCAACAGCCCTTTGCGTCAGCGAGCTCCCTTACAAGGCAAAGGCCTTATAAGCATCGGTCCGCATGCGGTCTGCATCCGACCTGGCAAAAGCGGATCCCTGTGAACCTTAGGCCTGTTGGCGATACAAGCTGCTGTGCGTTAGTCCGCGGGTCTCAAGACGCAGACGAAGCAAGGGGACGAGAGAGCACGCCGGCAATGAACGCCTCCCCCGCAAGGACAAGCAAGCAGTTCTAACCACCCTGCGGCCAACGCGTTGCCCTCAGCCGCCTCGCTTGCACCTCTACGGATGAAGCTATCTTTGCGTCCGCTTTTCGCCGAGACTTGTTCCTTGTCTTGCTGGGCTTGGAAGATGTGCCAACGTCGGCACATCACCTTGAATCTTATGCCCTGGTAGGGGTGTTGCTGCCCGGCTTCGGATTGAGGATGTGACTTAGGGACGCAACTGGAACATCCCAGCCCATCAGCTTTGGACGCCGATTGATTCAAAGGCTTGGGTTTCATATTTTCGCCCCAATGGAAAAAGCGTGAGAACTATGATACGATTACAGCACTTTGCCACGAACATGTTTTTGTTTGCCCGGCCGGTTGGTTTTCACAACTGGGGTTACACAGGTTTTAGTCTACGGTTCCATTTGCCAAGGTGCCATTTTAAATTTTGGTACATGTTTTGACCCACAGCCATTTGCCTGGTTGCAACTGGTGCCTTTGGGAGCTGTGGAAGATTGGAGCCTTGCTGGGCCTGAAGCTAGGAATCTGCACCCTGGGCTCTCAGTTTCTAGACTTGTTGCGGCTTTTGCGGTTGATGTGTTCCCCGGGAAAGCAAGCATAGAACCTGCGCAGTGGTGTATTTGAAAGGAAACATATTTTTCCAGAGGCCCCTGTGCATTGTGCAGGTTCTATGTTTGGTTTTGGGATGTCATGTCTTGAAAACCTTAAGATCCCTGAGCCCCCCCCTTCCCCCTCTCGATCGGAAAAGCATCCGGACAAGCGGCCCGTCTGGCTTAGGACACAAGGATTCCGGCGGTCAGTAGCGGGCGGCTTGGAATCTTGTGATTGTTTTGGGGCCAACTGGAACCCGCCACAACCCTAGTTGACTCTCAATTGCGGGGAGTGAAGCATTCACTGAACACCCCCCATTCTATCTGCTGTGGATGGTTGCGGAATTCATTTGGCACCACCAGTCAGAAAACCAGGGTTCTGATTCGATTCCACGTAAATACACAACAAATCTTATGAATTCATCCATTTTTCCACTTCATGGTGCGAATGGATTTCGCAACCATTGGCGGCTTTTATTTGCTCAACTCGGCAACCCAGTTCTTTTATTTAAGCCCTGTTGGCCCAAATCCAGGGCTTTCATCTATAGGTGTACTCCAGAGTCGACATACTGTGGGTGGACGGAATTCTGCACCGCCAAAAACAACTTCCTGGAATGATTCGACTCCACACTAGTTCTAGGGGGTGATTCCCCATTCTGTTCAGCCATCGAAATCTTTGCAAAAACCGGATCCATTTCCCCAGGATTTTTTGGGTGGCTTTCTAGAAAGATCCGGATCCCTGGGTCAAGAATGGAAATGGAAGTTACCCCTATGGTTTCAAACTAATGACAACGTCCGGTTTTGTCCATCCACCGCCCCCTGTTTCTTGGGGAGCTCCCCGTCCAAAAGCCGCCCGGCACAGCTACCCCCCGGTCTCTCGGTCGCTGGGGCCCAGGGCAACTTCACCAGCTGATCCTGGGGCTTCCAAGGGGCCCAAGACGTCTCGGAGAGAGACGACCACCAAAACGTGGACCCACGCATGCGAAACATTTTTCTCAAAAAAAAAACAAAAAAAACAACATGTTGTTCTAAACAAACAAACAAACAAACAAACAAACAAACAAACAAACAAACAAACAAACAAACAAACAAAGAAGCAAACAAACAAGCAAGCAAGCAAACAAACAAACAAGCAAGCAAGCAAGCAAGCAAGCAAACACACGCACAAAACATGTTTTAAACCAACCAAACAAGCAACCAAACGAAGCATATGTTGAGTGATAGATCCCTTTGTTTCAATCAGCAGTGGGAAAACATGACAGCAACACAAGCATTATGAGCAAATGATTCAGCAAATGGCAAAGTTAAAAACTAAAGAATTCGGAAGTAACAAGGAATGGGTATGGGTCAAAATTAAACCACCAGGGGACCGCAGGTTTCAGTCCATGTGTCCATTTACCCGGGTTCCATTTGGGTACATATTCTTGACCCACAGCCACATGACCCCCATGAAATATCAATGGCAAGCTGCAAGCTCCCCCGCCCACCTGGAACGGGGGACGTCGCTAGAATGTGCAATGAAATATATGGGTGTCTGAGCGTACCCGCTTTTTTGTGGAAGATACATGTCCCAAAGCTCCGGTCGATTTCCAGGGAGTGCTCAAGATTTAAGGAGAACGGTGCTACTGAAGGTTTGGGCAACAGCAATTCAGCATGGGATCTTGGGAACATCATGGATTGGGACCCATTGCCGGTTCGATCTCCGAGAACACATGACTCTATCATTCAAGGCTGCACCCTCCGATCCACAAGTTTGAGGGGTGGTGGGACCACTCTTCCTACGTCACTGTACTACCACCGCTTCCCCCCTCTCCCCGCCAAAAAACGCGCTTGATCCCTAGCCCAAAAGCGACCGATTCTTCTTGGCAAAATCGATTTGAGGAGAACTTCCCCGTCTTTTTCGCCGCCTTTTTGCTCTCCGTCCGCACTTCTTCCCCGTTCTCCGCGCGTCTCACGCCGCGCCCTAGATCTCCGCCCCCTCCGGCTTGGGCGACAGCCCGCGGCCGGTCAAGGCCTGACTCAGGCGCCGGCCCCCAGCCTGGCGGGCCAGAACAAAATCTGGGCTGCCCTCAGAACCCCCGCAAAAAGTTTAGCCTTTAGTGGCTTGAATGGAAACTACCACTAAAGACTAAAAGGCTAAAACGCTAAGGGGATGGCTTGGAGCCACCAAGAAATGTGGGGAATCGCAAAACGAAACCAACACGACCCCAAACTTTGGGAAAAGGGAGCATTTCTTGGTGGACCTTACACAAGGACGCCATAGGACGCCTCAAAGTTGCAGGAAAAAACAATTGGTCTGGAGGACTGAGAAGTGGTAGTCTAAGACACCTACCATGTCCTTCCATTCCAGAACTCCGATCGGTAGCTCCTTAGCTCCCGCTTAAAAAGGAAATTTGGAGACTTCCAGCTCCGTGGCTGCATTCCAACCACCAGCTAGACCAGCACTGCTTTCCAGAAAATTGCTTTTTCAGGGTGGTTGTGGTGAAACACCGGCAGATGGAAGCACCGTGCACCACCTAAGAAACTCTGGCATGATTCGATTTCCCCTGCAAACACCAACTAAGCAATGGTTTCAACCATGGTTTCAAAGTGCGCAACGTAGTGCCAAATGGATTTCGTCCACCCACAGGATTATACTGGCCAACATTTGTTGCAGGGCAGAACCCTCATTTCGAAGACTGGTTGACCCAATTTGGAGATGAAACTCCCTAGGTAAAGTTTAATGGTGGCTAATGTTTACCCGGGAAAAATAAACCCCTGGTTGATTAATAGGGGGGTGTCCCCTTTTAGTGGGGAGTCATCACAGTTGGAGGGGTCGGACACCCCCTAATAATGGGACGGGTTTATTATGTCCTGGGTCAACATGATACATGAACCCCCCTTGTGTTCGTGGCAATTTGTTGAACCCCCCTTTGTTTCAATGGCGGTTTTCTGGACCCCCTTTGTTTTACTGGTAACTGAACCCCAAGGATTGGTTCAGACGCCTGGCAGGGAGGCCGGGCCTCGGGAAGCTTCGCCACGGGCTTCTTGGTGGCGATGCGCGCGGCGATGCGCAAACGCGCCCACTTGTTGTCCTGCCAGAGACAGAGACCTGGTTGTTCTGCTGTTTTTTCTGCAAAAAGTTTTCACAACTTTTGGTGGGTTGAGTGGAAAACCCAACTGGATTTCAACCAAAAAGGTGTTTAGTCTAAAGATCCGTTGCCCAATAGCAGTCGAGGAGAAGACTTGGTTGACGTTGGAAGGGGAGCAAAACTATCAAACTTTAGCCAGTTAAGTGGATTTAGATTTCAACCACTAAACCACATGAAGCAGAAATGTGAAATGCTTCCCAACAACCTTCCATGTCTCACCCTATAACTTCAGCTCCCATGGCCTTTCTCCCCCCCCCGAGAGTCCCAGAGACCTCAAAAACCCCGCCTTGGGACTCCCATGGCTCGAGCCGCGGACGCGCCTCCTTGGGCGTGGGCTCCTTGGCCTCGTGGCTGAGGCGCTCCTCCAGGCGCTCCACCAACTTGCCGAACAAACTCCGCTCCTCGCGACTCGACTCGGCGGACTTTCGGGCGATGGGCGTTTTTGGGCCGGTGGCGGGCGGGTCCGGGCGAAGGGCGCGAGATCGGATGGTCCGGGCAGGAAGGGCGTATACCGGTTTGGCGGTTTGGAGCCATGGGTGTATATATATATATAGTTATAACCATGATCTAGTGTTTATACTTGGAAAGCAGGGCAAAATTGGTTGGAAACATGTTAAGTGGGCGTACTAGCTGCTTAATCTGAACTCCACTCGTTCAAGTGGGTCCTAGATCAGGACAAACCAAATCCATTTCGCGCCAGTGGGCTTCACCCATCCAGAGTTGGGTCCCCATTTTGGTGTGTTAGCAAATTGGGTCCCCCTTTTTGAGGGGGCGGGTTCAAGAAAAACTTGAAGGAGCAACGCAATTCACATGGACTGCATCTCCCCGTAAATTGTGGTTTCAAGAATGGCGCAGGGGTCCAATCTCTCGACAGCCCTGGAACAAAAACACATCTCCTGGCGTGGTCGACAAAAACGGCTCCAAAAGGTTGCAACACTTTTATGTTCTCTTTTTTTTTCGGGTTATAAAGTATGGTGATCTGGTATTCCGAAGGTACTGTACCGCAGGAAGTTCCACAGGAAGTTCGCCACTGTAAACCTCTAACTACACGTACGTGTGAGCAACGCCAAAGAAATATGAAGCAAACCTTTCTTGGTTGACGTTGGAAGGGCAGCAACAATTTAATTTTGGGTAGTTAAGTGGTTGGATTTCAACCACTAAACCACAATAACCAAACATGCAAAAATGTTTCCCAACAACAACCATGAATACTCAGCTTCCCACTAATTGGTGGTTTGGTGGTTTGGTGGTTTGGATGTTAGGGACTCCCCTTTTGCGACAAAAAATCTGAGGCAAACCGTTTGCGACGATCCGAAAGGCGCTCCTCCGATCCAGCCTCAGTCTCATAGGTGAAGGTCTCAGGGAAGACCTCCTTGATCCTTCGAAAGGTCGAGGATGGCAATTCCCGGGAGCTCGCATTTTAAATATCCCGTAAAACGCACTATCTGTCTGACTTGGATAAGAAAATTTGGATTAGTTTTAAAAAAACAACTTGTTCAATACGTTCGGATGCTCGGGTTCTTAATACATGCAAAGGTAATGAATGACTATACAACCTACTTTGGGGTGCCCCATTTAGCAATCACGGATCAAGCGAAACATATCTTGAGCATCTGTAACGTATTTGGCCAACCTTATGTTCTTGGTTGCCGGTGGAAGGGGAGCAACAAATTAAATTTTAGCAGTTAAGTGGGGATTTCAACCACTAAAACCACAATAAGCAACAATGTAAAAAATGTTTCCCAACCCCCCCAAAAAAAACACAACTGGGGCTCATTCTTCTCCTTGGAGACCCCAAAGAAAGGTAGTCTTTCTTTCCTCCCCCTCCCCCCCCTCTCCCCCCTTTCCCCCCGCCGCCTTCCACAGAGATGCTCATGAATCTCCTGCAAGTCGGCCTGAGATCCGTCCGATGTCCCCATGCTCCACTTGATCCCTGCCCAGCTGCCATACGGTGGATGCGCCAACTCAATAATGTTGATCCCATATTTTCTCAACCTGTGTATTGATATAAGGGTGTCCCTGGTTTTAGGAGAACACCCTATTGATAAACTAGGGTTGGTTTGATTAGTATGAGGTCAACGTTATTGCAAGGAAACCAACCACAGACCTACTTGGAGAAAAGAGACACCCTACAGATCTCCATGGTTTGTGGTTGGCTTCCTTGCAACACGGAAAGGGCATTCCACAATAACTGTTGGTTTTGGGGCCCCATTTTGGCAGGGAACCCGCCAAACCACAAGACGGTCCGGTTTTATTTCGGGATTTGCACTATAACGTTTCAACGAGAAAAGATTGACGAAGACACACACACACACACACACTAACACGGAGGGAAACAGCAACAGACCAGTGACTGAGAAATGTACGTATGCACATGCCCTAACGCGCAAACCGAGTCCATAAATCATTCGGCAGCTGCTTCTGTGGACGAGTGTGGCTCAAAACGAGCCAGCTGACATGTGTCTTGATTTTGTTGGATGTATAGTTGCATGTTTGCCACTTGGACTGCTGACGCGCGAATCAACCAGCGTTCTTCATAGCCACCTGACCCTGAGGGTACAAACCGATCAATTTCCTACAGCAGTTCTAGGAAAGTCTTCCCCATTCTTCCCAGGGATCCTTCTTTTCGGGAAATCATCCAACACCAGAAGGAAACAGATCCAGTTGAAAACAACGATGGTGGAAAAGAACGGATGCAACCAACCCCCCTACGCCAACTACCATGTCAGTCCAAAACTCCTCGTATGGAGTCCATGGCTCTCTCTTTAAAAGCGCATTCAGAGACCCCCAGCTCCGCTGCCTTCCAACCACCAGCTAGACCAGCACTGCTTTCCATCAAGCTTGAATCTGTTTCAGGGCGGCTGTGGTAAGACCAGCACTGCTTCCATCAAACTTGAATCTTTGTCAGGGTGGTTGTGGTAAGACCAGAACTGCTTTCCATGAAACCTGAATCTTTTTCAGGGTGGTTGTGGCAAGACCAGCACTGCCTTCCATCAAACTTGAAACTTGTTGTGGTTGCGGTAAAACCAGCACTGCTTTCCATCAAAGTTGAAACTTTTTCAGGGTGGTTGTGGTAAGACCAGCACTGCCTTCCATCAAACTTGAATCTTTTTCAGTGCGGTTGTGGTAAGACCAGCACTGCTTTCCATCAAAATTGAAACTTGTTCAGGGTGGTGGCGGTAAGACCAGCACTGCCTTCCATCAAACTTGAATCTTTGTTCAGGGTGGTTGTGGTAAGACCAGCACTGCTTTCCATCAAGCTTGAAACTTGTTCAGGGTGGTTGCGGTAAGACCAGCACTGCCTTCCATCAAACTTGAATCTTTTTTCAGGGTGGTTGTGGTAAGACCAGCACTGCTTTCCATCAAACTTGAAACTTGTTCCGGGTGGTTGCGGTAAGAACCAGCACTGCTTTCCATCAAACTTGAATCTTGTTCAGGGTGGTTGCGGTAAGACCAGCACAGCCTTCCATCAAACTTGAAACTTGTTCAGGGTGGTTGTGGTAAGACCAGCACTGCTTCCATCAAACTTGAATCTTTGTCAGGGTGGTTGTGGTAAGACCAGAACTGCTTTCCATGAAACCTGAATCTTTTTCAGGGTGGTTGTGGCAAGACCAGCACTGCCTTCCATCAAACTTGAAACTTGTTGTGGTTGCGGTAAAACCAGCACTGCTTTCCATCAAAGCTGAAACTTTTTCAGGGTGGTTGTGGTAAGACCAGCACTGCCTTCCATCAAACTTGAATCTTTTTCAGTGCGGTTGTGGTAAGACCAGCACTGCTTTCCATCAAAATTGAAACTTGTTCAGGGTGGTGGCGGTAAGACCAGCACTGCCTTCCATCAAACTTGAATCTTTGTTCAGGGTGGTTGTGGTAAGACCAGCACTGCTTTCCATCAAGCTTGAAACTTGTTCAGGGTGGTTGCGGTAAGACCAGCACTGCCTTCCATCAAACTTAAATCTTTTTTCAGGGTGGTTGTGGTAAGACCAGCACTGCTTTCCATCAAACTTGAAACTTGTTCCGGGTGGTTGCGGTAAGAACCAGCACTGCTTTCCATCAAACTTGAATCTTGTTCAGGGTGGTTGCGGTAAGACCAGCACAGCCTTCCATCAAACTTGAAACTTGTTCAGGGTGGTTGTGGTAAGACCAGCACTGCCTTCCATCAAAATTGAATCTTTGTCAGGGTGGTTGTGTTAAGACCAGCACTGCCTTCCATCAAACTTGAAACTTTTCAGGGTGGTTGTGGTAAGACCAGCACTGCTTTCCATCAAACCTTGATCTTTTTCCGGGTGGGGTTGTGGCAAGACCAGCACGGCCTTCCATCAAAATTGAATCTTTTCCAGGGTGGTTGTGGCAAGACCAGCACGGCCTTCCATCAAAATTGAATCTTTTCCAGGGTGGTTGTGGCAAGACCAGCACGGCCTTCCATCAAAATTGAATCTTTTCCAGGGTGGTTGTGGCAAGACCAGCACGGCCTTCCATCAAAATTGAATCTTTTCCAGGGTGGTTGTGGCAAGACCAGCACGGCCTTCCATCAAAATTGAATCTTTTCCAGGGTGGTTGTGGCAAGACCAGCACGGCCTTCCATCAAAATTGAATCTTTTCCAGGGTGGTTGTGGCAAGACCAGCACGGCCTTCCATCAAAATTGAATCTTTTCCAGGGTGGTTGTGGCAAGACCAGCACGGCCTTCCATCAAAATTGAATCTTTTCCAGGGTGGTTGTGGCAAGACCAGCACGGCCTTCCATCAAAATTGAATCTTTTCCAGGGTGGTTGTGGTAAGACCAGCACAGCCTTCCATCAAAATTGAATCTTTTCGAGGGTGGTTGTGGTAAGACCAGCACTGCCTTCCATCAAAATTGAATCTTTTCGAGGGTGGTTGTGGTAAGACCAGCACTGCCTTCCATCAAACTTCAATCTTTTTCAGGGTGGTTTTGGGTATGCGCCCTGCCGAGTGCCATGAGGCCGGATGGGTCGATTCATCGCCCTGTGGCCATTTAGCCCCCCTGCAACCCCCAGCTCCAGCCCTCCTTTGCCGCGGTGCAAAGGGCCGCTCCGCCTCTTTCGGCCCCTGGGAGGTCGTGGCCGAGTTCTGCACGGTGCGGCAGAGCTGGGCCCACAAGCCCAGCATGGGCACCACCAGCCGCTCCCGGTCGCACATGTCCATACCTGGGACGCGGGCGGTTTCGTCTTTTTTTCACGGGTGCCCTTGGAGATCTTTGTTGGGGGTGCGGGCGTCTTTGTTTTGATTGGGGTGTCCGTGGAGATTTGTTTGTCGGGGGTGTGGTTTGAAAAAGAAAGTCGAACAAACAAAACGCAGGTTTCGGGCGCCATTTGACGTTTGGTTGAGAGGTGGTTAATTAAAAACCAACAGCACATTTTTCGGGCGCCTCCCATTCTAAGACACACTCTCGAGAAGAACACGTTTTAACATAACGCTGGTCGATTCAACGCGTTTGAATCATCTGGGCCAATTGTAGTAATTCACCAACCGAAAATGAGCGAGCCCAAGGAATCTTCGCTGGTCTGCATCCCCGCGGGTTGCGAAGTCGCCATAATTCCCCACCTGGAGTCTCCATGGACCCATTAAAACTTGGTCCACGACCCCTTTGATTTTGGAGGTCAGGACCCCATTTTCTGCGGGTCATGGAGACTCCGTACGCGGCTTCCTTCGCTCGGGGCTTGGCCAACCCCCGTCTCAAGGCCCCGGAAATCGGAGCGCGCGTCACGGGACGTCACATGAAAAGGGACGTGCGGTCCACATTGGCGCGCATTTGGCCATGGGCTTTTCAAAATCCGCCCCCAGTGAACATCCCCAATCCCAACTAAAATGTACTAGAATTGGTGGTGCACCTACCCCAGAATCAAATGGTGCCAGTGGTTTTGACCCACAGCCATTTCAGAAGGCGGTGTTCAAAAGTGGCAAGGGGGCCAACAGGAACATGAGCGCAACTCCAAACAACCAAGGCATCTTCAGAGCTTAGTTCCAATTAATACTTATCAATGGCTTTCATCAACCTTTGTTGGTTCCTGGCCAGAACAGTTTCGCAACCTTTTTTGGCTCCTGGCCAAGATGAGAGAGACAAAATACGCCTGCCCAAAAGTTGAAAGTTTGCAAATTCACCGGGCAAGGCCAAGAGAACACCGATCGCCACAAGCAATGCATAGGTTTCAGGCCCATGTGCCGGGATGCGGGCAACTCTCAAAGTTCGGAGTGAGGGCAAAGGTGTCAGCCCTCCAGAACCAAGGGCAAACTTTTGCAGGTCTTGGACCAAACGAAGGGAACTGACACATCTCCTGACATGAAGCAGTCCAACATTGGCCAACTGGGTTTTGGCAAACCAGTTTGGCATACCAGATTTTGGCAGCTTTTGGAAACCTAAATGTGGATATATATATATATATATATATGTTTTAAGGGACGACAGTGGGGTTCTTTTTGCTTCCCGGTAAAACCAACAGAAAAAGGGTGCCCTTTAAGCAAAAGACACACCCATGTGTTCGAGGGGACCTAATACTCCCCAGTGTAAGGGTTGATTTCCAAAAGGAGAGACAGCTAGTCAGCAGCTAGTCGGCTTCCCTCCAAGTTTGTGGTTTCGAGGTTTGAGGGTACATTCCCATTTGGGCTGAAATGGATCATTTTTGTTTAAGCGGAACGTATGAAGCTTCCGTACTCTTGTATACCCTAGTATGGCTAGTATCATGCTGGTTTTTGAACGTTGCAGTTTAAAACATGTTTGCGGCTGCAATCAGTCTCCAACCCAAACGACTACCCTCTCCCAAACTAACATGGAAGCTCCCAGGATCCAGGACTCCTTTGGAAGACTTGGTTCCGTTTACAGAAGCCTTCTGGGAGCTTCCACGTGTCTGGCTCTCCCCTGAGCAAAAGGTCGATCATCCTCTAGGTCTCTTCGGAGCCTTTGTCACACCAAAGGTTTGGGTCAACCATGGTCAACCCCTGTTCAAACAAACCATGGCGAAAACACCTCTCCCAAAACCTGACACGGAGCCTGGTTTAACGGTGCCCTTAAAGGGAAAAAGGTTTTCCAGGAACCCCTGTGCAGGTCCTAAGGTTGTTTATGGGAGGGAATTAATGCTGACCCTATATTAATCAACCCCAGTTTAATAATGGGGTCGTGCCTGGGTTTAGTGGTTGGGAATCAGACCACTTTCAGGCAGGCCAAACAACACGCCCCCGGAAAAATAACATGGGGTTCATTATTCTGGGGTCAACCGTGTTTCCACAACCACCTTCTGTTTCTTGGTTGACGTTGGAAGGGGAGCAAACAAATAAATGTTAGCAGTTTAGTGGATTTTGCTTTCACCCACTAAACCACAACAAGCAAACAATGTAAGATGTTTCCCAACAACCTCCTTCAAGCTTCCCCGGGGATTCAAGCTCATGGGAAACCCCCCGGCCGTTCAAACCCAGGGCGCCCTCGTGCTTGCGACGGCAGCAGGTGAGCTGACCCTTGAAGACCTCAATGGACTGCTCCAGCCACTCCTTGTTATCGTTCAGCCGGATGATGTCGGGGACACCTGAGGCAGTGGCCTGCCTCGCTTTTCGAGAGTGGGCAAAAAACGAGTCCTGAGACTTGTTATTTACTGAGTCTATGGGTTTTTGTATTACACCACCTGCCCATGGTTCAAAAGCGTTTTGGGATCCCATTTTGGGGTAGGTGAATTCACCACCCATTTTAGAACCTATTTTAGTGGGGATTGGGATGTTCACCGGGGGTACGGGATTTTGACCCATGGCCACCTGAGGCCATTTGGCCTACCGTCCCGAGATTGGCAAACAACGAGTCCTGAAACTTGGTATTTACGACCAAAATGGTCTTCACAAAAAGGCTAAAGTCCAGGAACTCAAGAAGTGAGTTACCCTTCAAGCAGAAGGCACCCGTGGGAGGGTCGGAGGATCAATCTTTGCAAGGGATCCTCTGTCTGCCATACCAAACGTTGCCCTTTTGGAGCTTCAGAAAAAACTTACAGGATCCGATTCCCGTTTGGGTTGGATTCCACATTCCATGATTAGAGAGTTGGGCCCAGTTGTAGAATGTATACTTGTTTGTTTGCTTCACTTTAAGTCACTGGTAAAATGTAAAATGTATCCTATGTCTACCCTAGAAATTCGTGTTCTTCATATTTAACCCCTTCAGCATCAAAGGCAGTCGTGCGGCGCCGCATTGTAAGCGGCAACTAAACAGGGGGTCTGGGCAAAAAGCGAAGGATAAATGCCCTTTTTATATGCTTTGGGAAAATGACATGAATTCACCGGTTCACGTCAAGGAGTTTTTCCTAACATAGGGAAGATTCAGATGATGTCAAAGGAGGCTTGGGGACACTTGTAAAAAGGAGGGTTCCGATCTTGAGCTCTGTTATCTGCAGCGATCAACACACAGATTTCTACCGAACAAAGACACCGAGGGTGTAAACGCCGCCCAAAACACATTCACATATCAGATTTTCCAACCATGCAACCAGGCGTGGTTAACCTGCAATTGACGTCAAGCGTAGCACAATCAATTGGGGTCCAACAAGGGGCCTATGTGTTTGTCAACATCGATGGTGCCACCCAATTCCATGTATTGCTGGTCTGCTCCACAAAATGGATAATGAAACAACAAATGGAAACTCCAGCTGTCACCCCCCCCCAATTCCATGTCTTAGGGAGTGTGAATGCGCGAAGCGATTGCAACGTCAGTGTAGAATTTTTGCGAGCAGGTTACAGAACTGCTGGTGTTTCTGGGAGAGAGCAGTTAATTTCTTCTTCTTCCTTCAGTTGTCATTTTGATGCAGGCCCCTGCCTGAAGTCTCATTCTTCTTGGCCAAGAACATGTTGTCTCCAGCTTGCGCCAGCAGGTGTGAGAGTTGCCTTGGTGCAAACAAACCCCATTCTTCGCTGGTTTCAAACACCAGCTGCCCTCGGGTATGGAGCCACGTGTACAAGGGAACAGTTGTGTTCAACAACCCCTGACGCAAGGTTTATATATATATATATATATTTACTTGCCCCTGTATGGCTCCATGCCGAAAGAAGGATCTTTGACCATTGCTTCTTGGAAGCATGATTCAACCCAAGAGCGGCTTGAACATAGTCCCAAGATACGAGAGCTTTGGCCCCTGAATTACAAACATACCGTGAATATACAACATCCTGAACCAGGAGGTGGTTTGTCCCAGCAATTCTTCATCTGGCTTCATCCATCCCAACTGATTGCAAGTTTTTACCCATGCATTTAGACTCTGCGTCTGATGGGCAAACCTCATTGACAACTCACTCGTGCATCCCATCCAGTCCAGCCCCACGACGAGTCCCCAGCCCCCAAAGCCCCAAACCATACAACGAACCTAACATGCTACGAGCCCTCCCCCCCTCCACAAAATGAAAGAAAAGAAAATCCCCAGCCCCAAAATAAAAGAGGGGGACCCCAAACCTGCAAAAATGCAAAAACACGGCCCCCCCCCCTCCCTCCAAAAAAGGTATAGGCAAACCTGCGGTATCCCCAGCGGACCTTTTCCGGAATCCTCCGTGCCGCGAAGAACTCGAAATTTTAGCTTTAATTCGGGGAAGCAACGCGAACAGTTCTCAAGCCCCAGCACTAAGCATTAAGCAAGCAACCAACAGAAATTGAAACACTGGATTTCGCTGAACAAGCTAGGTGTCTACTTATTTCGATGCCTATGGCAAGGTCACATGTGGTACCCCACATCCCCACATGAAGGGCCAACCCGCAAACAAAATGCCCAACCCCCCCCCCCCCCCCCGGCTACAAATACTACGGCCACCCTTGCCCTCCCAACTCTCCAACATGCTGCTTGCTTCGGTTTGATAAGAAGTGATTTCCCCTCCTTCATTTCCCCAAACCCATTCTCAACATAGGTGGCCGTTTGGAGAAATAGATGGCCCCTAAACCAGTGGAACCCATCTATTTTTAATCAAGCTAACCTAGAAAGGACACCTATGAATTCCCCAAAACCAGCCACCCCCACAAAACACCACCGGACCCGGCCCCGGTTTCACGTTAGCTTCGCTTATCTTCGCTTCGGAGCTGCTCGGCGCGGCACCAGGCCCGCATCTTATAACTCTCCTCGTCGCAGATGACGCCCTCCAGGTTGCAGTGGTCCACCTTGGGCGCCTCGGGAGGTCTGAGAGCTCCTTCCCCGGACTGTTGGCTGGCGCCATATGGGTGTGGGTCAAAAATAGGTACCCAGAAAAAAGCCCAGGTAAATGGAAACAAAGACTCCAACCCGCGGTCCCCTGCTGGTTTAATTTTGTATGGGTATGCGGTCAAGGGGGCGCGGGGGGGGGGGATCCCATGCTGCAACGACCTTCCTGCAACAAGTTTAACTTTCTGGGGGTTTAGTGGAAAACCCAACTTGATTTCAACCAAAAAGTTAAAGTCTAAAGATCCGTTGCCCAATAGCAGTCAAGGTTTATTCATAGGGGGGGTGCTTCACGCCTGAGCGCACGGGCTGGTCTTATAGAACATGGGATGCGAATCTTCCACAATCCCTGACTGCACGCAGCAGTCCAGTGACCTTGGTATAAAAAAAACATGGAGTTCCGGTTGCCAGTTGGAACCAACGCTTCTCCCTGGGTTTAGTGGGCAATCATTACTTTGCCCCCACCCCCCGATGAATAAACTGAGGGTGATCAATATGGGGTTAACACTACTGCGAAATCCCAAAACCACAGCACGAAATGAAACCATGGGTGAAACCAGTAGTTGTTGGGCATTTACGCGGGGAAGCGAATCATTCCAGGGTTTCTTCGGTGCTGAGAAATGGATTTTGTCCACCCACAGAATCTCAAGCATTAAACCCAGATTTACAGTTGGGTGAAAGTAGATGACACAACATGTTGCCAAGTTGTTCGGTCCTGAGATAAAGAGAGCCCATCTCCAAACCGCGCCGCAACCACCTGCCCCTTCAAGTCAAGTACCCAACCCCCTGCTCCAAACACCCAGCATGTTACCCCTTTCGAATGTTGTGCCACAATCTTCGTGTGCTCCTTTGCCTCTTGAATGCGCCCAGGTCTCCTACAAGGGAGATCCGTTTGACGAGCAGGGTCACTCAAATCATGCACCAAACATGCACCTGGTACCTGTAGAAACCCTTTGGAACATGTTGCTTTTTTCTTTTGAGGTGGTGCCTTCCCCGTGGGGTTTCCAGTCAAAAAGCCCCCAAACAAAAACGTCGAGCAAGCCATTTAGGGTTTGGGGCACCCCCCCCAGATGTGTCACCCACAAAACACCTCCGAGCCGAAGCCAAAAGCCCACCTTTTTTTCTTGGCGGCCTTTATTATCCCTTTGGGGTCCCCGTTAAAACCCAAAAGCCAACCTGTTTTTTCCTGGGGGTATCTTCCCTTCAATTTCTCTCCGTCCAAGCCCACCTTTCTTCTTGGGGGTATCTTCCCTGTGGGCCATTGGGTTTCCCGTTCAAACCGGTGGGGCAGCTCCCTCAATGTGTCTTACACCCACAAAAAGACGACTCCGAGCCGAAGCCAAAAGCCAACTTTTTTCTTGGGGTGTCTTCCCTGTGTATATTTTTTACCCGCTAAAACCGGGTCGCCTCAAAGAACGAGCCACCATGACGCACGACGCCAAGGCGCCACCACCACGAAGGTGGAGACCTTGGCCGCGTAGACCGTCAGCGAGTTGATGGCCGCCGTCTGGGAGGGCCGGTGCCGCTGGGGGATGGAGCTGTAGTCCAGCCAGACGTAGGTGTCCTGCAATACGGCGTCCCAAGCAGGGATCCTTACATTATACACCTGAACATTGCCTTGCAAAATGGAGGTCCCTTTCTTTTGGTGGAAAAAGCCATGTTGCAAATGGGCAAAATGTATCTTTCAAGGAGCCCTGCCAAGACGTGTTTTTTTTGAGACGAAAGCTGTAGGCGGGGAGGGGGGAGTGTTTTTTGGGGAGGAAGCCCAAACTTGTTGGATGGTGCTTTGTTAAAAGAGCAAAAACAGTATTGCACAGCACTTTGCCTTAGTAAATGGTTCGTACCCATGGTTACAACCCACTTACCATGGCTATAAGGTTCCTTAAGTAGGTCAAAACCACGACGGATGATTGCTAACCAGTTACTAAGTACCCTTCCCCAGGGCTCTCTATATTCCACCAAATGAAACATTACCCCTACTTTCTCCTTCTCCTCTTCACCACAGGCAAAAGGGTCTCTTTTAGGGTCACTCGCGCCCAAGCCGTGTACAGATTCAACCGGGCAGTGGCACCTATGGGACTACGCGCAAGAAACATGTGAATGTGGCTAGTGGGTGACCCCACATGGCATTTGTTCAAGAAGACTCAGCAACATGGGTCATACTCTAGGTGTTCCTTCCATTCGCCAAGTAAGTATGTCAACTAGGAGTTACAACCCCTGAAATAAGTCTTCTGCTCACTAAGATTAACAACTTGTTGGTTGGTGATTGTTGGCGGCACACGCCAAGTGCCTAACCACAGACACTAACTGGGCGTAAACAAGTGGGTCAATTTCCTCTGGCCTATAGATCTATAGATCTATAGATCTGGGAGGAAGGGCAAGTAGCTTTGAAGTTCAAACGAGAAGTAAGGCACTGGGGGTCTGGAACTTTGGATCACATGTTGATGTTCAGCCAACCTGCGATTGGTTCGGCCGCTTCCCCATCTGTTCGAGCTATGGCTTGCACCCCTCATGGAACCCCGTCCTCCTCATCCCAGCCGTTGTTCCTGAATTCGCTGGGCATCACCCAGCCCATGACCCGAAAGGTAACCTCCATTTGCTTAAGCTCCCTGGAAAAATGTCCAGTAGTGATAGATTTCCTTTAAAGCCAACAAGGGAAAATACAACATATTCTTAAGCAAATGGAATGTAAGAAAAGGCCAGGTGCAATCCCCAACAGCCCTGAAAGGCCCCAAACCCCCAAAGCCTATCTGGGCAGGGACCCCATAGCTTTCTGCTGTTGGGGAATAAGGGAATCCCATGTTTGGGGGTGTCGAATGCTCAGTCGATGTGCATCAATGAAGTCATGACAACGAGAAGGACCTCATCTCCTTTCGTAACCCAACGGCGGAGACAAGCGTTGCCACTCAACAGCCGACCTTAGACTTTGGGTGCAAACTTATTTTTTGTTAAACCCCGTGTTCGGGCTTTCCCATCCCCGGAGCCAAGCCAGCAAAGGACTGAAGCAAAGCACTGGATCAACCCCCCTTCGAGGAAAGTGGCCTCGGAACAATCTCGCGTTTCACATGACCCCTGGAAATCACAATTGGTAAGCCTTCAAAAGTTTGCAATCACTTCTGAGAGACAAGTCATCATCACGGGAAAAGCGAGTTGCTTCTTAAACATGTTGGATGTTGTATCCGGATACCCCACATGTCAGAATGGAGCTACCCCCTTATTGTACATTTGTACCACCAAACAGGAAATGTGCAAAACTTGATCACTGTTGTTGCAATCGTAACACTGGTGCAACTTTACCCGTTCGGGACCATTCCAAACCGTATGAAACCCTTTCAGCCCTAAAAACGTTCAACATGCGTTCAAAAGGCGTTCAAACACGTTAAACAAAGCGTTCGCAGAACTGTACTGCTGTGACAATTTGGTCGTTGGTGCTGGAAAACCAGGCAGAACTTTGCATGCTTCGCGTCTGGTGTTACAATTGTACAAATTGAGGGGTAGCAAATGGGAGGCTTCTTTGTATTGGAGGGAGCCCCCTTATGGCATGCATTAGGTGGGCATTAGGTGGGGGTCTCTTCTTTTTTACCGAACTCCTCTTCAGCGTGTTGCGTTTGCACGCCTTTCTGGAACCAGCTAAGCTCTTCAAGAGAACATCTATAAGCTTTAGGGTTGCCGCACACTTCGGCTAGAGAACGAACAAGGCCATAGAAACCTCTTTTGCCAGTGGCATTGGCCAAACCTGGGCTGTGGAAATTAACTTCTTGCGGGAGAATGACGAAACGAAGAGCAACCTACAAACGTCACAAGGTGAGGAAACTGAACCGAAAAGTAGCCGCAGAAACGCACAAAGGACACTTGAATGCTGCCTCCTGTTTGGCCCGTGTTACACAAACCCGCAGAAAGCCAAATAGACCACCTCGCCGACCTCCGACGCCCCTGCCGGACGCTGAGGCGCTTGATCACGGTGTCCACGGCCTCCACCATACCCTTATACTGTTCCCCGGTGTGATCCGGCTCTGCGAAGGCCGTCCACTGGTGCGACATGAAGATCACCTTGTTCTTCTTGCCCGGCTTGCCCTGAGCCAGAAAAGGTGTCCCTGATGAGTTTACATGAAAGCCCCGAAAATGGCGGCGGTGTCGTCCTTTTGGCTTCTCTTTAATGCCAAAACAAGGGGCAACGTCAAACAAAATACACCCATGCTTTAGACCCGACTCGCTTTCTGGAGTTCAGGATGGTTGCATTATTCTTTTAAAGCAACCCTGCATGAGGAACCAAAGGGGACTTTCAATTGACCTGTCAAACAGGTGGTCAAGAAGCCGTTCTCTCATGCTAAACTTTATTTCAGGCACCCCGTGGTTTCACGAGCCTTGTGCCCTTCGCTCACCCGCCCAGTCTGGGCACCTGGTGCCCACAGTCCACAGAGACAAGCAAACGCAACTGGTTAAAATCCCCCCCCAAAAAAAAACACGACCCAGGTGAAAACCATCAGATGGAAGCAATCACCAATCCAAACCAGCCATGGCATCTGTTTGCAAAGTGCATCCCCCTTTCTCGCGATCCTCTAAAATAGTGCGTCCTCCAAGCCACCCAACAAAAAAAAAAACGCCCTCCGAACAAAGTATACACTGGAAGTCGACCGCCTGTCTTCCGTGGGACCCGCCACAAACCCGGGCCCCATCCAGCAACTCCCCAATCCACTCTTCGGGCAACTCATTTTCCCATCCGCGCAAGGAACCAATGCGCCTTGCACAGTGCTTGGAATTTTGGACATGGGAGAAACGGAAGAACAAAAATAATAAGAAAAAAAACAAGGGCAAGGTGTTCTTCCATTTGGACTAAAGGGTGTCGAACCAAAGAAAATGTCTCCAGGCGTCTTGGGCTCAGTTTAGACTCCACGCCTTGAGCTCTTTGTTCAGAAAGTTGTCGATGTCTTGGATGGTGTGCAGCCACAAGGACCTCTCTCAGTGAGCGAGCGATCGAGAGAGAGAGAGAGAAGCCGTGCATCTTGTGCACCGATCCACAAATCACAAAAAAAAAGTTTAAACAAAAAACAGAAACGTGCGATGGCCTATCAAAAGTGTAGGATGATGAAACCCATCCTTCTGTTTCTTGCACGGTTGGATTGGATTGGGAAACCACCCAAAAGCGCCAAAAGTAATTCTGAGAAGTTGGACAAACGAACAAGCGGGGACACGGAGGGAGCGAGATGGGGGGATTCCCTTGGCGCCATTTCCCATATCAAACTTAGTCAAGGTGCATCAAACGGGGGTATCCTCCCATATCCCTGGCTCCCCCTGTATCCCTGCTAGTTGGTTCTCCCTGAAGAAGGGGCCCCTCAAAACATCACGGGCATCCGGCTCCCCGCCCCAGCCCGCCGGCATTTCTCACTTTTTCCATTTACCTGCCAAGGAGAAACGGTAGGAAGTGGACAGCGGGTATCATCCACCTGAACATCGCCCCCCAAAACAAAGGTGTTGACTTTCTTCCAGTGTGGAGGTTCTTTGTGCTTGTAGGTCATGTTTCAATTCGCCCAGTTGCCTCTTTTGCCTTGGATCAGGTGTGTATTCTTGAGCTAGGGCTTGTTTTGGGACAAACTCCGCCCATTTTCAGGGTGCCCCGAAAAAAGCTCGTGTCAAATCCGGAGGCCCACGCTTGGTTTCCCTTCAAACTCCAAAACGGGGTGCTGGACATCACTCCAAAAAAGGGCCTTTTAAAAACAACCAGCTGGTGCGATAGGCAGGGAATGAGGGAATGACCCCCAACAAACTATCCAGCTGGTGGTTTCCTTTAGGACCAAAGCCTGGGCTCATTCCCTTTCTCAATTCCCTACCTATCGCACCAGCGGAACAAATAAAAATAATAACAACGAATAACACAAAAATAAAAAAGGGAGCCAACAAAAAAACGAGAGCGCTCCCATGTAGGCCAAAATCCCGTGTTGCCGCCGCGGGGCTCGTTCAAGGTATCCTCGAAGGCCACGAAGCGCTTGTGCTTCCTGAAGATGGCCACGGGCAGCAGAACCATGGGGAAAGACAGCTCCTGCCGACACGGCGACCGGCGGTGCACGGGTCCCCCCCCGTTTGGCCTATGGGGGGGAGGCTATCCCTGGATAAGCCCTGGATGACCCAAGGATAAGGCCTTAATAAGGCCTTAGGAGTCTTTTTAGGTTGGAAATAGATGGATATCCCTGGCAAACGAAACTAAACCATCAGGTAAACCAGGAATCGCCATCTATTTTTCCACCAAAACAACCAAAAACGACACCTATGGCGGTGCCCCGTTGCTGCGAACGAACGAAGCGAGACATGCTCTCGCCCCAAGGAAGGTGGGACCATGCCGTGCCGGGCCCCGTGGTTTTTCCAACGAAAGACCAAATTTGGTGCCCAAGAAGGACAACCCTTCTGTGTGCGGACGGTATCCTGACCTAAGAAACCCAATGATTCGATTCCCCCGCAACATGGATCCTTACATTCACCTGAACATTGCAACTTGTAAATTGTGGTGTCCCTTTTTGGTGTCGCAAACACAACATGTGTTTCAACTGGTTGCAACATGTGTCCCTTTTCTTCGGAGCCCTGCGCACATACCGACAAGCCATATGTTATTTTTCCCCCCAGAAACCCTTGATTCAGGGCCCGGGAGCGAGCCGCTGGAGCGGGTCCCGTCCTGTGTGGCTGCCAGCGCCTTGTCGATGGTGCTCCTCTCCTTGCTCAAGTTCCCATAGTACGAGCTCAGCCATGAGCTCCTTGGGGTGCAAGCTTTCAGCTTACTTCACCCCAGAGAAACCGCGGCATCTTCACATGTTTAGCGCTTTGCGGTGGCAGTGCTTGGGATGTTGCAGTTTTTTTTGTTTTTGTTTTTTTTTAGTCTACCTGGAGTCTCCTTCTGAGCCTTAAAAAATGGTTGGCCATTGCCCAAAATTAAGGGGTCATGGACCCATTTTTTAAGGGTCATGGAGACTCTAGGTGGCGCTTTGTGGTGAGGTTAGAAGAAGGCTACCCACCATTTTTTTCTGTAGTCTATTTTAGTAGGGGAATCCTCCCAACCAAAAAAAAGGGTGAGAAAGGGCACCTAGCTGGGGATCTGGTGAAAATGATAACAACAACAGTGGTTGAGGGTTGCTGGCAAAGAAAGCGCTTTTTGCGCTGCTTTTTGGAGACTGTTCTAGCGCTTAGGTGATCAAAGGACTTGAGGGTTCTCACCGGGCTCGCCTATGGAGTTCACCATTGAGAGGGGGTTCCGCCCAAAGCCAGGCCAGGTTTGGACGGAGAGTGATCCACCTCGCCTGTGAGGTCTTTCTTTCAGCTTGTGTCTGTATCTTCTTTGGTTCCACTGAAGAACTGGGTTGATTTGATTTCGCAAAAACTCAGATTGGCCAATACTTGGAAACTCAAGGGGTACGTAAGTTGATATCGTCAACTTGAGCCGAATGGAGCAAAAACACTACTGTGGCACAGTACGGAACCCCAAATGCCGCCACATACCGTCACCCCACCCAATGCCTCCTTTTTTCAACATCCATTTTCAATCCAACCGCCAAAAAGGTACCCTCAGTACGAGAGAAGTCCCATTTAAGCAGCTTGCGGCCAAAGCACACCACGCGGTAGAGGATCATTGTGGCGACCAACATCACGGCAACCTGGGGTGTTCCCCAAAATATGCATGGGCATGTCTTATTTTGAGGACATGGACACTGAAGGGCAAAACACGGTCCCCTGTTTCAAGACATGCCCGCATGTGTTGGCCAAAATCAGGGGACTCTCTAAATGGTTGGTTTTCGCTATCCCTAAGAAAACAAACCACCACCAGGTTCCCCAAAAACAAACGCACCTCCCAAAATCAGCTGATTCACCGAGGGATCCGAAAATATGTTGCTCAAGGAGGCCCAGAGCAAGCCTGTAGAAAAGGGCCCATGTTTCAGGGGTTGCTGCCTGGTTTTCATCCCCAGCAAATCTCCCATGGCAATTTGTGGCATTGCGAAGTCGTAAAGACCCAGAATAGAAGGCTAACCTTTTGGGACAATGACTAAGAGTAGTCACTTAACGAAACCAGAACAAACAACAGGGTGAAAAGGTCGGCTTTGGACAAGTGAGTCAGAACTCACAAGTTCTTGATTGCAGGCATCCAGCCCGGTTTGGCTCATCCAAGCGGAAGGGCGGAAGCTAACTGGCCGTTTCTCGGCTATGGTACCTGGCGAGTACCACATGCACTTCAGCTCCGTAATGCAGTCCAAACCGCCGAAAGCGGAATGCCGTTCCGCTGCATCGTCCTCGCCGATGAAAAAAGAAGAACATAAAACACACACCCAGCGGGATAGCACTTGCTGAGTCTGGAGTTGATTGGCCGGAACCTTTGGGGTCGTGACTCAAATGAAGTGTTTGTGTCGTTTTCCTTTTCTTTAAACAAAAAAAAGTAGAAAGAAGAAGAAACCAATAAGAGGCGGCCTGATGCTAAAAGCCCAAGCCTTGAACCACTCCGACCCCACATTTACTCATCTAGGTAAGGGGCGCCCCTCCCATGCACATAACTTTTTGTACTTGGGCAACCTGGAGTACATGCCTCTCAGGTGAGTTATTTCACTGGGGATATGGACCACTTGCCTAACACCGGGTCATCCAAGCACCCTCAACCCAAACCTCCAGTGGAGCTTCTTGGGTTCGGAACGAGCGCACCTGTTTTGGTACTGGACTTTCAAGGGAACCTGCCGCTAAAGTTTTTACGCAACTTCAACAAGGGGACCCCACCCCACCCACCGGAAAAAATAAAATAAAAATGGAACCGATCCCCGCCCCCCCCAAAAATAAGGAGAGAAACAGTGGAACCAAGGGAGCCCCCCTTCAAAAAAAAAAAAAAGAAAAAGAAAAAAAAAAACAACACGCCCACAGGTCCGAGACACTTGACAGACTCCGCTTGTCGAATTTGCGGAGAACCGTCCCGCCCCCTCCCCCTCCCCTTCAAAAACAAATAAGGGGCCACATAATTCCTGGTTTACCCCTATCATGACCTCAAATTGAATTTAAAGCACCCAACACCTACATTTTCCAGACGAGGGTACACGTTTTGCAGTGCGGAAAGTTGTAGTATTACGCCGCTTCATGACAAAAAAAACGGATTCACAAAATACCACTTTGAAGGCGGTCCGACGGTCGGCAAACAATGCTGTTTGGATGTCAAGCGAAAGCCTAACCATCTCAACTTGCAACAGTGTTGGTTCCGCGACATGTCGATTGCGCAACCAAGCAACAACAATGGTACCCTCCGGGAAGCCACAGCTGGGTGGGTGGGTGTTATTTTTTGGGACCCCAAATTGGCTAGAGGTCTTCCTCTTCGCTTCTCTTTAAACCCGCTCGCAAAAGAGTCGACATGGCCACGTTTTTGTTTTTCTCCGGGGAGAAGGGGTCAAGTCCAGCGCCCTCCTCTCTACCTGGAGAGTGGGGGCTGGGCGCCCCCAGATCTCCAGGCGCAAATGGGCCACCACAAATGAGCGTTGGTTTTTATTCCCTACAAACTTGCTCGGACATTATTCAAGCTTCCGTGAACCCTTCCGCATCCTTGCCGCGGGCCAAAAGGTCCCTTCCGCGAACTTCCGCGGCACATGTATTTCATTGTTTGCTTCCGCAAACCTTGGGCAGCGCATGGTTTACAACATTTGCTTCCGCGAGTATTAGCGCAGAAAGGAAAGTCACTTTAAGTAAGGTAGTGTTTCGCCACAGCATGTGTAGGCTTGGGCTCCATTGGGCTACCCATGCTACGTGGCCACTTGCCTGCAAACACGGGGCCACCCTTCCGCGGAGCTTCCGCGAAGCTTCCGCAAACCTTCCGCGAAATACGCCGGCTGTCTTGGTCTTCTTGGCTTGCTGTTGGCAACTGCTCTTCAAGTAAGCATTGCGCTTCTTGTACGCGGCAGCACTTTTTTCTTCTACTGTAATCGTTTCTCCTTGCTTTTCCATGCACGCACTAAAACATGTAGTTTCATATCAGCCATAAAGCTTCCGCAAACCTTCCGCGAACAAATCCCTTCCGCGAAGTCTTCCGCATGCTTCCGCGCGTGTGGCGCGGTGCACATTTTCAATAGTAATGTCCCTCTCTCTACTAAATTAGCTTGCGGCCAAAAAAACGCCGCTCAAATGGAGAAACCTCCAGTCGAAATGCCCCCCTCCCCCCCAATTCCATTTTTGAATTTGCTGGTGCGATCAGTAGGGAATCTGGGAATATGTGTTCTTTTTTCATTTGCTGGTGCGAAAACTAGACAATCTGGGAATCAACCGTCAAGGGTCCCCCCCCTTAAAGGAAACCACCAGTTGGATGGTTTATATTCGGGCAATTCCATTTCTCATTCCCTGCATTTCTCGCACCGATCGCAAGTTACACCCCCTCAGGCGAACATGGAAGCTCCCAGAAGGCCTCCGAAAGGGAACCAAGTCTTCCAAAAGGGTTCTGGGAGCTTCCGTGTTGGTCTGAGGGAGTGTTTTGGGGACCGAGTGTTGGTGGCACACAGCTCCTCCAGAGGAAGGAGGGCTTCTTCGGCCGAGTGAAGTGGAAGCGCGTGCCCGCGCGGTTCCGGAAGCAGGCCCCCAGGCCGTCCACGAGGTCCGGCTGAACCAAAACCCATCCAGAGCTGGTGCCTGTACCTGGGCCACCGGACAAAAAAGGAAGACAAAGCCGGTTGGAGTGTCTGAACATGGACCTCTCTCTTTGGAGTGGTTGGGAAGCCACTCCAAAACCCACTTCTGCAAAGTTCGAGTTTCTGCAGGTGCTTTGGAGGTTAGACGGTGGTTTCTCACTTGCCCTCGGGTTGAAATCCACAAGCCACCAATGCAAACCACCAAGTAGGGGGTACCTGACTCCTGCAAACTTAACGTAGAGGCCGACCTTCCAAAGCAGAAAGCAAACCATTCTTGTTAGATGAAACTCGGTTGGAGGGACACTCAAACCAGGTGGATTAAAGTGACGACCCCAAACCCTGCTTCCTGGGCCAGAAAACCCTACGGCAAGTTGGAGGTAACACAAAACAAAGAGTTGGGGATGGAACAGCTGGGTCCATTCAAGTGACACCTCAACATTAATCTCTACATGCTGGTTCAAGTGCAACACATGCAAGTCTAAATATGATGGTTCAAAGGGAAGCCACCAGGACCCAAAAGTAGTGAGGTTCCCTGAAACTGTTCACTTGGTGGATAATTACCCTGCCTAAAAGCCAACTTTCTAAGCAAGCGTGGGACAAATCACAGGGGTCACTGGATGTTCCCCCAGTTGAATTTACTAATGGGTTCCATTGAAACTGCCAAATTTGGAGGTCCAAAAAAGGGAATTGAGGGACCGCTGAATCAATGTGTATATCTCTATATATATATATATACTATGTATATTCCCCAAAAAGTTAAAGCCTGAAGACCGAATAGCAGCCAAGTTAAGTGGACCCAACGAAACAGTAAACAAATCTACGTGAACCTTTTCCCCAGCTACCTGCAACTCAGGAACCCAAAAACGAGGTACTCCACCTGGACCATATGTGGGTGTCTTGATTTAGGAATCGGCTATGCGGTTGATACTTTGAGGCACCCGCAAGGTTGCCTCAACTTTCGAGGTGTTTCGACCATGACGCAGATAGAAATGGCACTCAAACGTGGCTCCCTCAACAACCAGCACACGCATTGTCAAAGAAGTAAATCAAAAGGTAAATTAAATAGAGGGAAATCAGCATGTGATCGTCACCCCGCCTTGTGAGTCGGTTGCCCTGGTCCGAACATTCCTTTGGTGCTGATTTGGAGGTGCCGTGTTCTCACCCAACAACCTTTGGGGCCATGGCAGGACAGCATCGGCTTGCAAGATTGGTCTCACCCAACAACGCACCCACGATTTCTCGAATGAACCTTTCCCTTGTGAAGGAACCCCACCTCTAACAGTGCACCAATTTTACTATTCATGGTCCACATCAAACCCACACACCCTCCACCCTCGGAACAGGCTTAAGTGGTGGAGAGCCGGCCTTTCTCATCTCCAATGTCATTTGCTTTTTTGCAACCAATGCTCTGGCCTGGTTTGGGGACTTGTTGCCGAGAACATCTGAAACCCGAAAGGGAATGAGCCCCTTACATAACTGCTGCAAGAATGTTATTTTAATTGGTTTGATTCAAAAAGAATGGGCAACATGTGCACAGGGTGGGATTCACTGGGCGAGCGTGCTCCTACAAGGGCTCTTGCCCTCAAACGCTCAGGCTCAGGGCTGTAAATTCCTTCGTGCAGCGCCTGATCCACGCCACTTTCCACAGTCTGGAACCATCGCAACCCAAACTCCATTGACGCTTACGCATGCTGATATTAGCTGATATTTCCCTGGCGCCGCACCCCCATGAAACTGAGATAGAACCTATGGCATGCACGCTGCGAAAATCTCGACTTGCAAGCTGAAAGTGAAACTCCCGCACAACGATCCAAACAATAACACCATTTGGGCGCGTCACTTTTGGGGGAACCTCCCACAATGGTGGCTTTCCCTTTGCTTTTCCCCCCCATTTTTCTTGGGTTCCCCCAAAAAAACGGCCACCCCCATCTTAGTGCAGACCTCTCTTGAAAATCCTGAGGCCTCAAATCAATGACCGCCCGCGCAAACAAAAAAAAAAAAAACGCCGCGTCCTCCGCGGTCCGTCCGAGCGGCCGAACTTGTCGAGGTCGAACTTCAAGGTGAGCACCGCCTGAGCCCCTGGCGAGGACTCAAATCCGAATCACGGCCGCTTGGCCGGCGCCGACGTTTGGGGCCGGGAGAAAATGGGGGGAAGGCCAGGGATCAGTGGAAAGGGTTCTGCAGAAAAATGCACTCTAAGTACATAGATGAATGAAAATAAATAAAATAATATATATATATTTAAAAACCAGGGTCCATGGAAGGGGGGTACCATATAAAATTAAATATAAACATGGAATTACATCCCCCCAATAAAAAAGAAAAAAAACTGCTTTCGCAAAGCCGACGAATACCAAACCAGTTCTGAACCGACATGTCCCGCCGGGCACCCCTGAAGCCAGTTGTTGGCTCCCAAAACCGGAGCCTCCCTATGTCAGGGGGTTTAATGGTGGGAGGCTAGCACGTTTTTTGCTGCTAGGGGGAAGGGGTTGTATATATATATATATGTTTGTATATATATAATAGGTAAACTATGTTTCGCTGCTCAAAGAAGTATGGGTGTTGAACCAGTTGGTTTGGTTTGCTAGAAGTTCCCATTCAACTGGGTCAGCGCCGACACTAAAGGTATCCCAAAATGCCCAGGGAGAACCTACCAAGATGGAAGAACAACGCCTTCCAAATTTCACAAGCCAAAACACCCCAGACCTCCGCGTCCATGCAACAAAAATGGGCGCAACTTTTACATTATATAGGATGTTCAAGGGCTGAACAAAAATGGAAGCCCCGCTGGTCTGCGGCCACGGAACCTAATTTGGGGGCTTTTTGAGAGACCGTCTTCTCCCATGACCGTTGATCAAAAGTGTGATCCATATTTGCATGGGCCTTGTCCAGTAAACCAAGTAGGAACCGAACTCTCTTGTTAACTGGCCCTTTTGGAATCCTATATAATGTAATCCATATTCACTCCACAAAAACTTGACCAGGGACGTATTTTAGCCTGTCCTGGGAGGTGATGCTAAAAACACAAAAAACAAACATGGAAACTACGCGAAAGCATACACACGCTTGCTCACAATGGCCTAGAAACCGGTTTGGATACGCTTCTTGTGGCATTTCCCTATTTTTCGGACTGTGATGTTCTCTTCTTTTTTCAAACAGGGGGGATTCATTATCCCATCTTTTCGCCACTCCACACCCCGTTGGTTTTCGTTTTTTGTTGTTGTTGTTTTTTCAAATCAATCAGGGCCCGTTCTGCTCCCGTAGGCCGCCAGTTGAAGGCGCCACTGCCTTCATCCCCACCCCGCCTGGCTCCAGCGTCCCGTTCTGTGGGTCCACGGTGATGCACGAGGCGTTGTCGCCGTCCGCGGCACTCACCGCCACGTCGAAGGGCAAGGGCACGCGGCCCGTGTTGGTCAAGGTGATGTTGTCCTCCCAACTGGTTGGCTCTATGAATCTTACCCTTTATTTTCACCTGGGAAAAAGGGGAACCCTTTTTGGGGAAGACCGTTTTTAGTGAGGCAGCCACCAAAAAAGTGGAGATAAGGGTGCCACTGAACAACTGAGTTCATTTTGGCTATGTATTTTCACATGGGGGTGGGGCCCCTCCAAAAGTGGTATGATTTTTAATTTTCACTCCCTCGGACTAACATGGAAGCTCCCGGAAGGCCTCTGTAAATAGAACCAAGTCTTCCAAAGGGGTCCTGGGAGCTTCCATGTTAGTCTGGGGGAGGGTACCCCCTATTTTATTTTCACATGGGGGTGGGGACCCCTCCAAAAGTGGTGTATGGTCATCTTTTTCGTGCTGGTGCGATAGGTAGGGCACGAGAAATCGAAGGACCCCGATTTAAACCATCCAGCTGGTGGTTTCCTTTAAGGGAATCCCTGGGTTCATCCCCACCTTCCCTGCTGAGCACCAGCAAGTTTTAGATATAATAAAGGGCTGTGGGAAATGGAATCCACTTCTGTGACACACCAGCAAGGGCTTCTCAACGACGTTCGACGCAGAAGTGGGGTTGATCCCACAACCCTGGTAAAAGAACATGGCACTATTGCAACCCAGCTTGGTTTAGCCATCCCTGGTACATTCTTTTCTTGCCGACATAAAGGGCATTGTGTCATCGATTTTCGCCTTAGTGCAACCCCACCATGATTGCTTGAACGCCGTTCCTTTAAAGGCAGCCAGGTGTCCGAAGTCCGAGACACTGGCAAAAGGGTCGAAAGCTGCTGCTCACTGACAGCGAGCCAACAAGAGCTCTCTGGGCGCTACTTGTTTCTGGACTCAGAGCGGCCTTGGCCAAACAAGCAGGCTTCCCTTTCGAGTGCACGATCTGTTCCCATACTGGGGGCTACAGTGAATCGGGCAGTTTCCTGATGCGACTTGAAAACATGACAAACATCTATTTTAGAAAACATTTTTGATGTGGGTGTGGATTCCTGAGCGGTGCCGAACGCCCTTACAACCCCCTACTCACATCTACTCGCAACAAAATCTGTCACTTTCGCGGACATGGTACTTTCACAGCACTTTCGCAGACTCTGTCTTTCTCGCTTGCAGGTCCAGCAGAGAAGCTTGTCCTTTCTAACGCGTAGAGAACAATATATGCTGATTCTGGCTTAGCTAGCTGTAATGCAACATGTTGTCCTGCGGAAGCTTAAGTAGTTGCCCTCCACAAAAACCATGGCCCGCACAGGCGTTACAAAATACACGCTCCTCAGGAGTCAAGTTGCTCTCCAAAAGGCCTGGGCTTTAAGCTACGTGCCTGGGTGAAAGATGTTGCAACATACAGCTGAGGTATCCCTGCCAACGGGGCATGCACGTGGCTCACTTTGCCATTGCCCAAATGTTGGCCAGAACCAAAACCCTTCAACTCAAAAAGCCTCCAGTGGCCATAGCTAAAAAGCACAAACCATCGCACAACAATTCAATGAACCCTTGTTGGCCGGTGAATTCCATTGTGAGCAAGCCACCAAACACGGAATTCAACATGTCCAGTGGGAGTAAGCGAAGCTGATTGCTGGCTTTGGGAATCCAGGAACGGCGCGACGGAGCTCCGTCGCTCCTCGTAGATGTTCCCCTCCTTGCCATCCTTGGCATCCTTGGAATTGATGTTCGTCTTGGTGATGTTCTCCTGGCTGAGCCCGCAAGAACCCAATTCTCCCCCCCCCCCCCCAAACAAAAACACAAAGAAGTGCCGAACTGCCAATGATCGATGGCAGAATTCTTCCTGAGTGGGTTGGGCAAAAAGAAATCCAAACTTCCCACCCCCCACCCTCCCGCGAAAATGGTCCAAACCTAAAAATATAGCTAAAGATCCAGTGAGATTTCGAGTTCATCCCCCGCACCGACCTTCCCTTGCGGGCCCTGGGACAGAGGGTCGAAGGTCAGACCAAAGAATCAACAAGTTCACCCGGGTCAACGCTCCTTCCAATTGCGTATTTGTTTCAAGGTCGCGTGTTTTTTTCCTGGTGTTTGGCTTAAAAAAAAACATCAAACAAAGGGGTACCCGAACATAGAAAAACACACTCAACTAGCTCTTAACTTTGAGATGAAAGCCGAAGGACCCCTTAGAAACCCCTTTCATGAGGGCTTCAAGTGATCCGATCATCTCCAGAGGTCCATGGTCCATTCAGAGTTCCTGAACCCGCCACATGGAAACGGCCGTAGGACGGCACAGGGGGTATTGATTTCCTCTTGAGGGAGCGTGTGCGCTTCCAAATTTGTTGGCCTGCGTTGCCCAAAGGACCCAAAAGTAAAAGAAAGGTCAACCTTTTTAGAGCCACCAAACGGACCAAACAGATGAAACTAAAAGGCAAATAGGTCGATTCGCTTTGGGCACCCCATAGATGCCAGTAGCAGGTACACAGCCAGTGTCCTTTGTGAAGGGTGGTTCCCATGGTTGCCTAAACCAGCAAATGGATTTTCGAGCCAAACTGTCGTCAACCCAGGCAGAAAACAATTGCAATCCTTGTTTCGCTCCAAAGGCTAGTCTGATTTTCCTTGGGTCTCGGTGGATGGGCTATGTGAGAAAAGAACAGCCACAGCCTCTGATCCCGAAAGGCTGCATTGTGTACAAGGCCCGGGCTTGGGAACTGGCCCCGGCCTGGAGGCTTGGCAATCGCAGATTGCCAGGGTTTTGCAGGGTGTGGTTTCCTTTCATATCCTCAACGCAATCAGTTCCTTACGTAAAACAAGCGTATCACGGCCGTTCCAGGTCTGCGAAAACCAAATCGCGCAAAAAATGCGACAAACAAACACCACGGGTCATGGTAGTCCTGCCACCCAAAACCAAGGAGATTTGCGGTTGGGGTCATTCCACCCAAAGGATGCAACTTCAAGCCGATGAAGCTACCGGTAGCGGCCTAGTGACCTTAAAAATGGCCAGAACCACCCCCTAGACTGAAAGGGTGCGCAGGCCAGGGCACCTCTGAGGCCGTTGAAAACTTAGACCTGGTCCCTGTCAACCCCAACTAGGTCCTCCAGTAGAGAGGTTAGAATAAGGGTACGTCGGGGAATCCTCCCCCAAGAAAGGTAGAAGGGCACTACGGGGGACCTAGCCAAATGATAGACTGCTGGAATTGTCTTGGCCGAACCTCCTAATAGTCAGGCAAAAACAGCCTTACTCGTCCACTTTGTCCAACGGTATGCGCCAAAATATGCAAAACGTGCCAAGCAAACAAAAACAAATGAGTGTCCAAGGGAATGGCTCAACATACTTGCTTAAGAAAACAACCTTCCCTTTGGCTCCCCTTTTCTTTTCCTTTAGTCTCGAACACGGTTTAGATGCGCTTCTTGTGGAGTTACAACGGATTTCCCCCTGTTTTCCCCAGTTCCTTTACCTGAACACACAAACAAAATCTCGGATGCTTTCTGCTCCCCTGCTAAAGGTGACTAACTTTTAGTGGCTTCATGTAAACCCAGTAGTTGGCAAGAAGTTAAAGTCCTAACATCCCTTGGCAACATGCACCAAAGACTTTAAAGGGGTTCTCAAACATGGTGGTTGGGCTTGGTTTTCTGGGCTTTCCCCAGAAAAGGTGGCGCCTTTCCAACGAACGCCCCCCGTTGCGACTCGGCGATTCTCGCGAAGCCCACCGCCCGCGCCTTGTCCACGGTGTACTGCGCGGCAGACTGCAGCTCCTCCACGGGGGCAAAGACCACGATGGACCAGTCCTCGAAGCGAAGCCGCGGCACTGTGGGCTTGGCGCGAAATGGGGGGACCCCTTGTAGATATACAGCTGTATAAATATATATATATATATGTGTGTGTGTGCGTGCCCATTTTTGTATGAGTAGATGAATAGATAGATAGATAGGACCCTCGCCTCGCCTCGGATTGCGGGTTTTCGGGTTTCGATCCGATTTCGGATGGTCCAAGCCGCCGGGAAGGCGATGAGGCGGCAGAAGACCGCCAGGTGCTCGCAGGTGCAGTTGGCCGCAAGGTCCAGGTCCTGGCGCCGCTGGCGGTGGAGCCGCGGCTTGGTACCGGAGAAATGCCGCCGAACTCGGGCATAGATTGCAGCGCTGGGATGGTTTGAAAGGGCAACCAAGGGAAGCACCATGAACCATCCGTGGGAGGAAAAAAATGCAAAGGGAACGCCTCACTTCCTGAATGGATGGGCCAAACAAAGTCACCAAACTGCTTATTTACCACGTTTTTGGTCGGTCTTTCAAGAAAGAGGATAAGTTCCAGGAACTCAGGAAGTGGATTGTGAGTAGACCAACCACAAAGCATGGTGGAATTGGCGAAAAGGCTTCCGACTTGTGCCCTACTTGCTATATGGAGTTGGCATCCACCGTAAAGTGGGAACGGACCCCGGGTCTAATTAGAACCCCTCGATTTGGTTGCTTCTCTTTTTGTTGGGGTGTGCATGTGTGTGGAGGAAAAAACCATCTAAAAGTGAACCCCCATTAAAAGGGGACACTTGCCGATAACTAATCAGGAGAATACTGATCCACTAATGCAGGGTCAACATGACCATGGCTGCAAGTCCCCAAGGTGAGAACCCTGGTTACAGAGCGATTAGCCAAGCAACACGGGGTCATACCCAGTAAGAGCTGAACCCACGTAGTCGCTTCCCTTCTGTGGTAAGCATCATTGCGTCACCATTTCATTGTTTAACTTACCCATTGGTGGACATCGAGATTTATGTGACAACAACACCTTTGCAGGTCATCCCTTTGGAGCTGGTCCCTTGTTCAAATTCACAGCGTGGGTATGTCTTTTTGGAAGGCTCAAAGGAACCTGCGCTTGCGTCCTGGCTTTGTAGGGAATGAAGGGAACCACCATGAACCATCCTTGAGAAAAAGGGAAAAGGAAAGCGCTAAGCCGCTAAGCAGCTGGTTACCCTCAGATGCCCAGTGGCTATGGGAAACAAAAGGTCTCCCTTTTTGGTTGGTTGACTTAAAAGGGGAACCCTTCCCGAGAAAAGGAAACAAGCCCACAACTGGGCAACTGGGTACCGGTTGGTTGAAACTAAAAAAACTCGGTGCGGTCCTTGCAGTGGCACTTGGGCACCGTGAAGGTCGTAGTCCTGCATGTGAGAGGCGATTCTTCTCTCAAGAGCGCTGGGCGGCAAAGAGGGGAGGGGCAGGGAGCCCAAATCAGCCCTTCATTTCAGGCCTGAAATTTTCGGGCTGATTTGGGCTCCCTCCCCAAGCCCCCATGAGTGTCTCTACCCTCCCACTTCACACATCTGACCTTCGATTTCCGGGGGAGTCCTGGTCACCATATTCCTGTCTCGAAGGTCAGGTTTCGGCCGTTGATTGGTGGGGGAATTTTTCAGATTCACCACGGTCAGAGGAAGCCCCAAGGGATCACAACAAAAGGCAGTCGCCTTGTGCGGGGCCAAGCAGAATTCGTACCCGGAGAAAATCCCGCAGCGACATTGGTTGCCCTCAACCGGGTTCAAGGGCACCCTACCCAAATGGGAGAGAAGATTGGAAATGCCACGCTGTGGCAGAACTTGCTGGCCCCCCTGATTGGAGGGGCAACAACGAGATTGTCGCATGCGAGATTGATTAACTCCTCCCTGTTCCATGGCTTGTGATGGAATGACCCCAGGTCTGAAAAGTAACCCAAGTCCCATGCTCGAAGCCAGACAACTCAGAAGTTGGCCCCTTCACAGAACAAAAATCAAGCGAACAAAGGGACCTAAACTTCAAAGGGGACCCAGCCCCAAAAACAAGAAAAATAACTACCGTTGGGGGCCAAAGGTTTCACAGTTGGACAAGCCATTTAAGCGGTTAAACTTTGCTGGACACGGGAAAACAAAGTCCCGCATGTCACTCCGCTAGACGTATAACAACATTTCCACCCAACCTATGCTTGCAGAGCACAAGGGCAAAAAGGTTGTCACACCGTTGCCACTCTTCTACCCCACCTCGCAGGCAAGCGGGAGCCAATGATTTTGAACGAAGCAGAACCGATTACAGGCAGCACTTGCAAGTTTGAACATGCTTTGTAGTGTCTGCTCCCACGACTACTATAGCTACACGTTGCTTTCTGTTGACTCCTCAGCAAAACGTTTAACTGTTTGTGGGTCTGTGGAAAATCCGAACTGCTTCAACAGAAACAAATACCGTCCAAAAGTCCGTTGCCAAACAGCCAGAGTTAACAAACTGGACATCAGGGAACCCACACCTTAGGAACCTCCATCATGTCTCGACCAAAAAAACGGAAAGAGGTCCATCGTCCAGGCCAATACCTGGACACAGTCCCACTATCCATTCCCTAATTCTCAGGTTGCTCACTTGCCCGAATAACCATAAAGTCAAGTTCGCTTGGCCGAGTAAGTTTTGGGAAGACCGGCAAGAGAACACCTGGTGACATTCTGAAACTGAAACTGGGAGCCTGACTCCCCCCTTTCCATAGAGTCGCTTTTGCAGGCCCGATTTTCCTAAGGATTTTTAACGATACCCTCAACATAAATTGGTTGCAGCATCGACCCTGAGTGTTCAACATACAGAGCACCCGCTACTGTGGATGGACCAAATCCATTTCGCAACACAAAAGAAAAACATAGAAAACCCTGGTTTCTGATGATTGCCATGTCAATACCAACAAAGGCTGTGGTTTCAACCATGGTTTCATTTCGTGGTGCGAACGGACTTCACAACCATCCACAGCATCTCAGAAAACGCCCAGTTTGTGGAATCTATTTGCGCCAGTACGACCAGGCCATGGTTTTCAACACCCCCTATGAATCCGGAAGCTTTGTCCATCCGGAAGGTCAACAAGCCACGGGCCTGACGCCGGCCGAGCAGAGCTGCTTCTCCAGGGGTGTGTCCTTGGCTGCAAACCGGCTCAGTCTCTGGCAGCAAATATAGCTGTGGGTCAAAACCCTGGTGCCCGCCTACGTCCCCTTTTAAAATTGACCAAACAAACGGGGGGTGACCCAAAACAGGCACCTGGGTTTTCACCCACACCCACATGAGAAGCGGTAAAAATCAAGATGCATGCTCATAAACCCGGCTGGTGCTCAGTAGGAAATGAGGGAATGAACCTGGGGGTCCCCTCAAAAAACCACAAGGGATGGTTTATACAGGTCGCTCCCTCATTCCCGACTGAGCACCAGCAAGAAACAAATGAAGTTCATGGAGCAAGAATAGTTTTTACTACAAATTAAATACTGTGATCTCTCCTGCGTTTGGTGTGCCCTAAACCCAAAAAGTATGAAGTCCGAAAACTCGGGGGGGGGGGGGGGGAGGGGCTGATGTTCAACTGCTCTCGAGGAATATATCCACAGCTACGCCCCAGACCTCACTTGAATATCCAAGTTGATACCTAGATCCATCCCGAGCCCTCAAAGACCAAGTTCGACGATGGCTTTTTGAGGTATGGATGTGCTGGATCACGTGCAGGGGTATAAACTGCCTTTCGAGCTTGTAGGTAAATCAGCATCCATACCTCCAAACCCCATACCTGGCAATGTCCCTGGACAAGGCTTTCTTGAGCTCGTGCTTGAAACACTGGCTTGCAATTGCAATTTGTGCGGTTCCACGATATTGGTATAAAGCCAACTCAAAACCGGTCAGCGGGACCCCTGTTTTGTTCAGGTGCTGAACGCACATGAGTATGTGTCAATATAGAGGGGCTCAACAAATAGTTGTTTTTCTTTTTGGCTTGCCCCTCAACCACCCAAAAGCGCACCCTGAAAAACCACACAGGCACACATTCTCAAATGGGCGTGTCATGTTTAGGGGACCTCCCGGCGCCCGGCTTTCCGACGGATCTCCTTTCCCCAACACGACAAAACCCACCACGAGACAGCCAAAGCCGCGGTGAAGACCCTCCCGAGCATGCGGCTGAAATCCTCGGGCGATGGAAAAGGACATGGACTGGTGGCCCACAGGGGCGAAAACGGGGGGTGTCTGCCCTTTAGGGTTCCCTCTTTGTGTTTGCGTGGTGTTCGAGAAACTTGAGTGTGAACGAATGCCAGCTGCTGCACGAGATGGCGTGGGACTCGAATTTCTAGAGGGGTGGCCCAGGAGGATTCGAGCCCTGGCAGAAGGGTCTAATTCCACCATTGTGGAAGCTCCCCGGCAAAAAACACACACACACACACTCAAATGGCTCTTTGTGTTTTGAGGCGGGTCTTGAAGGAAAACAACATTCTGTTAATGTTTTGACCTTTTTGTTGAGGTGGGACATGTCCTTTTGACAGACGCCCTCCAATTTACCCAGCCACCTTTGTTACCTGTCGTCCGGGCCCAAAGAAAGGGCCCAAAGATTTGGTCCACCGAAAGGGCAAACACTTGAAGACCAGGCTGTGGTTCTTCAACGTTCCAAAGTTCCCGGAGGTTTTGTTTCAAAATGCCAAGATAATACCAGTGGGTCAAAAATATGTACCGAAAGTTTCAACACAATGCCAAGATAAGGCTGTGGGTCAAACATATGTACCCAAAATGGCTTGCCCAGGTTAGTGGAAACATGGACCAAAACCTGCAGTCCAATTCTTGGTGGTTTCATTTTAACCCATACCCATAACAAAATAAAGGCACTGTGGACATTAATGCAAGCAAAGGTCGATGCCGCTGTACTGCTCTGCCTCTTTCTGCGCATGGAGCAGCGTGAGGGGAGGTGGCGCGTCCCACCAGCAGTTGTCTGGCATAGGGGCGCAAAGGCCAGAGCTAAGTGCACCCCCCCTCTCGTGCGCTGCAACTAGGGCTAACCGGACTTATTCTAGGGGTTGATTCCAACCATTATTTTCAACCATCGTTCTTTTCAAGAACCAGCCGTTTTCCCTGGGATTCTGGAGGTTTTCTAGAAACAAAATCCCCAGAAAGAATGGGGAAGGTACCAGTAGACTTATGTGGTGATACTTGTTGAGTGGGGTGATCTAAGCGTACTTTGTGTGAAGCTTACAGTGCAGAAGCTGCAACACCCGGGAAACGACTGCTTCAGACCCATGTTCAACATCCCAGTGTCGACAGTGGTCACTGGATTCCCCCTTCAGAGGTTGATCCAATGTGCTGGTGGTTTCCGTTCAGACTGCCCTTTTTCGAGGTTCCAAAAGGGGACATGGAGGAAATCCTGTAAGAGGTTGGAGAGATGGGACAAAGAAAGCTAGGATGCACACACATGATCATTCATGGAACCGTTTCAGGGTTCCCCACCCAAGAACGACCAGGATTTGCTGGAGGAACTGGAGGAAATGGAGACCCCGAAGGGGCTGCAATGAAGCGACTATCCAAACAACATTGCAAACTCCGCGTTGTTCCCCGCGTGCGGCCGGGGCTGTCTTCACCTCATTTGCTTTTGGTGTGCGCTGGTGCGGAGCGCGCACGCGCCCGCGCCCGCCCGCCCGCCCGCCCGCCCTGAGCTGAGCAACCCCTGTAGCCAACCAGAGCAGGTGGTGGCGAAGCCCGAAGGTTACAGGTTAACCTTGGGCCATGACTAAAATGGACTAAAGGATGAAACTAAAAGATGAAAAGGCCATGACAGCGCACCAAGCGTGGTCTTTCCGCGTTTGCAACTCAAACGGATTTCCCAACAAGCATCAAGTCCAGGAACTCAGGGAGCCAGCTCGTGAAAAACAGGCCCTGCCTTTTCGGAGCACATTTTGGGGATACAGACACGGGGGATACAGGAGGGGATGGGGATCCCATGATGGACAATGCCGAAAAAGGAACCCTGCCTTTTTGCTGTGAGGTATCGGTTTGCAACATACGCGCGTGTCTCAAATTCAGCGGATCCCAACTATTGATAAATTTCCTTGCCGTTCCCTTCCGAACAAAACGCGCACGCCTGTATCTGCAGAAGGTAATGGAAAACCGCAAATATCCGAAGCGAAGCATATTGTTCAACTAAAAAAAACTCGTGCATGTCTGCATCCATGACACGATCGCCACAGCCATGGATTAAGAAGAGCGCAGAAAAAAGCGTAGCACGACACTTGCAAACTAAACACCACAGGAACATCACACATTTTGCACCGACAAACGAACCCGCCCCCTGGCAAAAATACACATTCTCAGCAGCAATAGATTCCCCATGTACAATAGGTAAATATATATATATATATACATGTCAGGAGAAAGCTTAAATCAACGCCTTAATAAGCAAATGGAAGAGACTCCTCGCCATGTAATTTGCAGATCTCATCCATGCCTGGGGGGATCACATACTCCTTGCATGGCATTTGGTTCTCGGGGTTCTGGATCTTTGCTTCCGTCATGCCTCAGAATGGCACTGAGTGTCTGGGTGGGGCGCTGGGTGTGTGTGACACGCAAGCACAAAAACAAGCCCGAGAGGGTGGAGACCAGTTGGCACGTCTGGGGTCAAAGGTCAAAGAAAGGGCGTAGCAAAGAGCAACGAGCTCTTAGTGGCTTGTGGGTCCCTTGCAAGTCATAAAATGTCACTATGTCATACATCCCTCCAAACAATAACTGAAATGCCCAGTGGATTTCCATGGGAGAAAAGAAGATGCATTGCTTTTTGTTTGGTTGACTTAAAAGGGGAACCATTCCCAAAAACAGTTGAACAGCGATCCTTACATCATACACCTAAACATTGCCTTGTAAATTGTGGTTTCCCTTTATTTTGGTGGAAAAAGCCATGTTTCAAATGGGCAAAATGTATCTTTTGAGGAGCCCTGTTGAAAAAAGGAAGCAACCCACAGGGCAACTGGGATAAGTTGCTCTACGTGCATAGCTGCTCTCGTGTGCGATGGAGCCCATCGAGCACGTGCTCGATGAGAAACAAACAGCTTGGGACCTTGCAAAGGAAAGCCTCCCAAACAAGAACCTGAGGAAAGAAAATGGGCCAAAATGGGCCCACAAATGGGCCGCAAATCTGTCTGGCCTGGTGCCAGGAACTGTTGTTTTGAGCGAGTCGAACTCATTTTTTGGCCTTCTCACCCTCCAGCGGCAGAAATGCAAAAGGCCACGCCAGGCATACCAGTTGGTTTCAAGCGACAATTTCTCACAGGTCCTTATGGCCATTTTGAACCCGCCCGCCCGCCTTTGTTGGTTGTTTAAGCGAAAGAACAGACAAACTTTAGCTTCCTTAAAGGATACCTCCGAACCCACCCCGAAGTCTGGAGCTTCTCTGAGTGACCCAAATGTATCCTTGAAGGGAGCCTCTCTCATCCGTTGCTTGCGGCGGCGCCCCAAATTGCCATGGCAAATAACCAAGCTTCAAGCCCCTTTAGCGGATAACCACGGTTGCCAACCACTTCCTAAGTAGCCCGCCTCAAGTAAGTGCAACTGCCCTGCGTGGCCCTGGAGGCCAATGAAACACAGCCCCAGCCAACCAACGCCGTAACACCCCTATATATTCCGAAGCCACGGAACAACTGATCCAACCCCCATCCTCCCCCTAATTCCCCAAATAAGTTTGGGAAATGGCGGTTAAATGAATGAAGCAAACTGAAATCTGGGTTTAACCTGCGCCCAGACTGGATTTGGAAACCAGGAGGTGGGCGCACCACTTGGTTCATATCCCTCGACTCCACTTGGACGCTGGATGCCTTACCCGGCGTCCTTTGCCCTCCCCCTGAAGGGAGCTGTTCCTCGAAGGATACGCAGCTGGTCAAAGCCTGTTTCCTAGACCTAGCCCCCAATGTATTCAAAAGGCAGCAGTCGGATCCGACTCGTTGCCCAATCTCCAAGGGTTGTTGTATGACACCCGAAAAAAATACACCCACGGGGAAACAACCCCCATTTCGGCATATGTCCGTAGAACCCCGTGGTATGTTGAAAACCCTTTTAAGGGGGCAAGGGTGTACAACAAACCTCAGGCATAGATGGCCCCTCTCAAATGGAAGAAACCCCATCTAAATCCAGGGCCCTCTATTTTCTATCCAGTAGAGGTTCCAATTGGGGTACCAACTTTTCTCTGTAGTCTATCTTAGTAGGGGAACCCTCTCCCAAAAAAACAACACGGTAAAAGGGCACTACTGGAGGACCTAGTTTTTCAAGCAAACCAACCAACAAGGGAGACCATCGCCAAGAGGCCCTCGTGGAACACCACCTTCCGGGCCTGGGGCGTCATCATGATGATGGACCCAGACTTGTCCGTGATGATCGCGTAGTCATTCCTCCGGAGAGAGGTGGCTTCAGAATGGTTTTCTTTTCTTTCAGGCTCTGGGGTGCTCCCTCCCCCCGCAAAAGGCGAAAGGCCTGTACCTGAACCCTGACAAAAAATCCGACTTACAACCAGTGGAAAGAAGGGGTGAAACCCAAATTCTCAGAGTTTGACGGTCTAGGTAGGTTCAATGGAAAAGCCATTGTATCCAGAAAAGGGGCGATTCACACCAGCCAGTCATCAGTTTGGGGTTAAAAAGAGATGCCACAGGAACAACCGCAGCTTTTGGGGTTCCCTATATTTCGACACAAACCCGACGTTTGGTTGCTTCGCTGCTAGCGAACATTCCTCCTGCCACAAAAACAAAAGTCTATGGTTGGTGGGTTGATTGTTGGTTACTGAGAGAGACGAACAAAAAACATATTTTGTAATTAACAAATGGTGAGAAAATTTGGCTGGTTCGTGGGACATGTTCCAAACTTCACACCTGGCCGTTGTCTCATGCAAAAGCAAGTTGCTCGTGCCTTAGGTCGTTGCGCCAAAACAAATGTTTTCGCAGTGGCGAGTGGCAAATTCTTCAACACGCAATCTCCAGATAGGAGCCCCCTCAAAATGCATTGCTTTGTATTTTTTTCTTGAGTGCCAGCCAAAGAGGTTCACCGCTTTCAGACACGCCGGTGAGTGAGAAACACACGCTGGCGGCATCTCTGAGCTTCCAGGCCGAAGGTCTCAAATAAGGCCGGGGGACCAGGGGGCCCGCAGAAAGCCGCTGAAAAATGTGTCACTGACCCCTTAAAACTCCTTCTGCCACCTGGGGAAGTTCTCATCTGTTACAGACATATAGCCCATGTCACCCAAAAGGCTACGAAAAGTTGTGGTTTTTAAGAGGTAAGGTCAAGGTAGAAGAATGTGTGATGCTTGTCCAAGTGCTGCGCAAGAAACATCCCACAAGTTGGAGACTGGAAACAGGCCTCCATTTGATTTCTCGCCCCCTGGAAACATGAGAAACATTGATAGATGCCCAACTTCAACAGGGGAAAATAAAAGATATTCATTTCAGCAAACGGAAGCAAAGGACAGCACCCCATAATTTTGGGAAATGAACCATTCTGGAAATGAACCATTCTGGGTAGTTTGAGGGTCCAGGGGGTCGCCCACAGAAAGGTTCCTTAAAGTGGTGGCATGGTTCGGGAGTTGATTCCGTCATTCGTTTAGGAAAGCTCCTGAACCAGCATGCAACAGATCCTGAAAGGATACATCCAAAAACGACCCTTTCAAGCGGAATCTGGGAAATCGGCTAAAGGGCAGGACCCCGAAAAAAAAAAAAAAAAAAAAAAAAAAAAAAAAAAAAAAAAAAAAACCTTCGGAACCTTGACTAAAATGGACCGATGACGGGGAACTAAAGGCTCAAAAGGTTGCTTCGCTTTGGGCAAATGACCGTTTTGGTCTAACCAAAGTGCACAAAGTGCGGTGTTCAAAGACCATCATCCTCCGAGCTGTCCACTTCCCTCCAATCGAGTGTAATCCTGGGATCCCTTTGGGTCCATCCCACCAGAAAAAACGCGACCAAGACACGGGCTCAGGGGTATACCACCCAAGGCCTCCCCTGCGTAGCTCATGTTCACCGTCATAGTCCTAGGGCGCGAAGCGTTTTTCTTCTTCTTCTTTTTTCTTCGCGCTTGGACGTCAGACTCGTCGAAAAGGCCAGGAACCTTTTGGGAAAATGCATGAAATCGGTTGAAATGGAACCCACTTGTGTGATACAACAGAAAGGGCCTAACCCTAAAGACCCCGAGAAGGGGGAGATTCCAACTTGTTTCAGAGAAGTGGGGATACTTCCTGAGCAAGGTCCCTACCATTCTAAACCCAGCCCGGTCTTGCCAACAAATTAACTGACATCATCAAACTGACGGAAGACCCTCTTCACCAAAATGGGCCCAACCAAGCTGGGCATGTGTCAAGAAAAGGGGCATCCCCCGAAATGATGGGGCCCGGCACCATAGTTTGCCCCAACCAACCTGAACAAGGGATGAAGGGTGGCCTCAACACTCAAAACACAAAATAAACGACAAGCAGCGGCGGCGCAATTGAAACTACTTTGTTTGCCACAGAATGCCCTTGAGCTCCCCCTCCCTCGAACCCAACAAGCATCCAGCGCAGGTACCAAAGCTGTTCACTCAACTTAGGCAGATGTAGTCTGAAGCCGTTCTTGGCAAGTTCCCTTCACTATGCTCCCGCAGCAAACGCACAAGTGCACAACACGTCCCACAGGTCGGCTAAGAGTCACTGTGCCCATGGGTTCGTACACCTTCTCCTCGCCCTGCATGGTCGCCTTGTACGCCACTGCCGAGGCCTGGGCAGCAAATTGTGCCAAGGGCGTCGCTTGAAAGCCTGGCGGCGAGACGCCACACAAACACACTGGCACACAAAGGTATACACAGGCGCACGCAAATCACACACACAAACATCAACAAATACAAACAAAGACGCAAGCAAACACATATATATATATATATATATTCCAATTATACCAAACACAAAAAACAAAACAACAACTACAACAACAAATTGCCCGACGCGAGACGATTCCGTCGCTCAGAAATGGAATCAGAAAGCAAGAGCCCTCAACAATCTCCCGACATTGGCGCGGCCTCCTCTGAAAAAACGCACGCACATGCCTCGGCCAAGTGGAGTCTGGATGCCACTACATATTGCAAGTACGGAACAAGGGGGGCCCTGTAAAGTCCCTTGGTTTGTAAGCCCCAGGCAAGGGACTTGCAAGAAAGACCAGCCGAATTGTGATGACAAGGTGGGCTCAAATTAGAAGTGCCCGCCCAAAAAACCATGATTGGCATGTGCCATTGCCATGTCGTGCCTCAGAAGTCAGGTACCCGGTCTTCCGGCTCTCGTGGGACGTTGTCCAATAGATTTGCCTGAGGCAGCGAGCCACATGACCCTGGAACAAGGAGACCCCTTTGCGGATTCACCTTGTGGGGAACCGGCCATATATTAAAAGGAACAGACGTGCCACGGAACAGCTGGGCATCTTCCTGCAACCTGGGCGATTGAAGTCTCAAGTTTGTTGGGTTCACGTTTCTAGGCTACTGCTGAAAAAAGAGCCCGCTACAACGATTCAACTATCCGCTGCTAGTGGGCAAAGGCAGAACTCCAAAACAACCAGATCACTGGACAAACCTCACCCTGCGCTAGTGACCCCTCAGCCAACCCACTTCTGCTTGCTTGCCCTAGTGACCCCAACCCAAGCTGATAATTGTTGAGCTGGTCCGTGTTTGGTCGAACTGGATGCCAAAATCGATCCAAAGCATACATGGAAGAGACAAAACCAACTGCCAGAAAGCTTCTCTCAAAAGATCAGGATCCAGCAGCAGTTGATCGCCCCAACCAACGAATTTCGGCGTTTCAGTCGATTTTGGGGTCGTCAAAAAAGGAAAATCATGGTGAGGTGGTCGGAACTCGCTTATGAGACTGTTTGCTCCAATTCTAGTTGGCCCCCTGAACTTTCTTGGGTGTTCGGCCAAGAAAATAAGTTGTTGGTAACCTAGATGATCTCCCACTTCTATGCTAAGTCGCCCGCTCAGTGGGGACTTCCTTGCAATCAAGGGAATTACACCACATGGACCACAAGCGGCTCACAACTTACCAACTTGGCCTAACATCTAAGTAGACTTCCTCCCCTTCATCTGTTTCTTGCAACTTCCCCAAACGCGAAGAACAGCCGCTGCGGTGGCAACTCCCTCATGTTGCATGGCGGTGTCCGGTGAACTATAAACGGCTCTCATATGTGCATGCATATACGTACACATGCCTGTATGTGTACATGCGCATACCTACAATTAACAAATAAAAAATCCAGCTGCCCTGTGTGTCTTCGAGCTCAAAGAGCGAGGGCAGCCCTACCCGTAGCGTATAGCGTATACCGCTGATGTGTTTTGTTGCACCCCAAGCTCCTCCTCAGCATCCCCTGCATCACCTGCACGCAGGCCAGCCCAATCATTTGGAACCCCAAACATCCCGGCATCCCTGGCCTTGTGACGGGCTCTTGGTGCCACGTTGCCCAACCTTCAAAACACTGTTGCATCCCCGGCTTTTTGGCAGTAGGCAGGCATAGCGTTTGCGATCGAGTGAGCGGGGCTTCTGCGCAAGCGGGGCCGGCGCCATTGTGCAGAAACACGGGAAATACCGTGTTTGTTTGTCATTTCCCGGCTTTCTACGGGGCTTACAGTGGATGCTGGGGATGCAGTCTTAGTCTGATTGGCTTTCGGCGTGCGCCTCGTGTGCAGCCCGAGTAAATGGTCATCTATTGGCCTATGTCCACACATCCTGATGCTGACACATCGGTGTCTTTCCTTGGGGGGTCGCCAAACAAATGACACCCTCAAGTGTAGCTGTCATCAGTCAGATTGTGCTGAATACCTGAACATGCGAGCAGTTGAACTTCTGTGAGCACTTGGGCCGACCTGCTTGGCCCAAGCAATTTTATGGGCAAAGTTGGACCCTTCAAGGGTTGACCAAGAAGGGGTTCCATCCCTGGACGAGCAAAGCATGGCGAGGTCAGATCAAGGCTTGTGACCCCAGTGCCACTTCCATTTTGGGTGGTGTCCAAAACTATGGCTTGGACGAACTGCAGGGCGCAAATGATTTTTTTTTTTTTAAAAAAAAAAAAAAAGAAAAAAAACTGTGTGTTTTCTGACATAGGAAGTAACCTTGTTTTTTAATGCTACACAACCATTATCCAATAGTGATGGCAGGGCCCAAGGACCCCTGGCTTCGGGCACTCACGGTCAAGAATTGCTCGTTTCCGCAAAATGACCGGGGAAAACTCGTGTCCCCCCCCCCCCCCCCGTTTTTTGGCGAAACTTGGTGAGTAATCCATACCCTACGCACAAAATGGATCATGGTGCATGGCACATCCCCCAAAAACCTGTGCCCGGCCTCTCAGGCTCCTTGGAGGTGTGCGTCTTGGATGTGTTGAAGACCTCCACGCGACACGAGCCTTCCCCCCAAATTGCACCAAGGATCGCCCTCGGACTACGACATCCTTTCGTCAAACTTGGCCTGCAAAAAGTATCTTGGTTGCAAAAGACACAAGAGCCAAAAAGGGTTTAAACCGCAAAACGTTGAACTGATAAGCTGAGTCATGAAAACCCAAGCCTCCACCCCCCGCGCCCACGGTTTGGTTTGCAGCCGTGGTTGGGTCGCCCATGTTTTTTTGTGGTGAACCATGGATGCCAGGGGACAGAAAATCCATAGGGGCAAGCCCTCGTTTCTCTTGTTTCAGACCTACCAAGGCATGAAGACCTGAAGGTGTTTCATCTTTAAGCGGTTCTTTTGCATCTCTTGCCAACACATATGCAGTTTCTGGCCCAAACTTGGTGGTCAGCACAACATATGTCAAGCATGTCCCAGGGAGAAGAAGTCACAACAATTTAGCAACATTCGCAAACTGGAAATGAGGGAACTCCTCAGTAAAGGAGGATCTTGATGGTGCATGAGTTTGTTTGCCCAAGTGAGCTCGTCCTAACCTGTTACAATCTTGAAACTTAGACCAAAACTTGGAAAGCCAAATGGTCAAATGCGGTGGATTCACTGTCATAGGAGCAAAGCCCATCCCTAGCTCCCCTCCCTGCTCCCCCCAAATAAGACCGCTGACTTCCACCCTTAAGTCCAGCCTCCAACTAACTTATAATTTCAGGACTCTCTATTTCATCCGCTAAAGAAGCTCAACTTGAATTGGCCTGAAAGGTGAAATGAAGGTTGATCAATATTCCTGGCCCCAGATGACAATGGACTTCGTGGGACATATTACATATTTCCTCCTTTTCGTGGTTTTCCCCAGCGGTGCCATGTTAAGGACCTTTGAACCAGCCCCCAAACCGCCGCAAACAGGGGAAACATAGGACCCTGATGAGCCGGATCTTGGATCCGCGCCTCTGAGTAGAGTTTGGCTGGGATCACGTTCCGCGGGTTGGGCCCGCCCTCGCAGCCGTCGCTCGCGTTGTCCGCGTCGAGGCCCCACAAATTCATGACCACCGCGGGGTCATTCCCGAAATACCTCGCAAACTCCGTGCTTTCCGGATAAAACTGGGGCAAAAGGGGAGCTGGTGGTTGGTAGTTGACTTTAAGAAGGCCCCAGAAAGTAAAGGCACCTTTACCAAAAACGGACCAACACGGGGAAACCAACAAGTCAAGAGGTTGGTTTGGGCAACTGAGCTCTTTGACCAAGGGCCAGGGTGTTTTCTATTCGAGGGGACACCTTGAATTCGCAAAGGGACAGCTGTATGCTTGTGTTCTGGCACGCTCTCTCGCAAGGATTCCCCAGTCCTTAGATACAACACCAAATCCTTGGGACCAAATACACCCTGGCCAAAAAGAGCATTTGTCTGTAGAAGTGCCTCATCTCTCCCAAGTAGGGCGAAACACCTGCCCTGGTCCCGAGCACCTTGAGACGACGAGCTTTGGGCTTCCTCTAGGAGACTACTTAAAACTAAGGTCAAACATCTTGGACTGCTATATGGGCGTGGTGTTCCTATTTCTGGCGGGTACTCAGCTTTGTTTGTGGGTTTAAAGGGAAAACCAAGGGGGGAACTTTTTTTTTTTCCTTCAGGAGGGGGTAAAGACACACCCACATGGGAGCCTGGAGGCACCAGCGTAGGGATTTCAGCACGAGGGTTGCCCTGATTGTACCACTACCCAGTTCATGGTGCTATGCGCCACAAACGTCAACAATGGTCAAAATTAAAAGACTCATGCTTCAGCGAGAAGCGGTATATAACAAAACGAAACTAACACTAAGCCACGCATGTAGAGATCGCCTGATGTTACATGGAAATACCAGAAATGGGCTTGCTGTGGCCGCGGTTTCCCGTACCTTCTGCCGCGTGCAAATGAACTGAAGGGCCTGCATTCAAATAAGCCTGGTCAAAACACAGGAGTAGTCTTTACGAGTGTCCTGGGTACCGTTCGTCACATGAGTTTTGAGCCATCTGGGTGTCAAAACCAACATCCCGTGAGTTGAATCCAGCGTAGCAACCAAGGCCCAGAGAACCAACGACCACCGGTTTTGGCAAAGACGGGTTCTCAAAGTCGGGTTCTTAAGCCATCTCCGGGTAGCCAAATTTCCCACGCCAGGAAATCGCTGGCACGGATGGCGAGAGTGGTAACCAAGGCACTGAGTCCAAAAATAACAAAGCCCCATCCGTGCTTCGCCTTCTGAGCGGGGTGCGCGCGATCTATTTCTTCCAGTGGACAAGGTGAATCATGGTGAATATTCGTTGCTGACACAGGTTGTTGCCGAGCACCCCCCCCCCCCGTAACGGATGGTAGTTTGGTGAGTGCGTCTCATGTCATCCCCCTTACGGTAGAACGCAGTGAATATTGAGCAATCCAAAACCCAACCGTCTACTGCTGACCCCGGATCCAAGTAGAACCCCCCCCTCCAAAAGTGATGAACCCCCTAAAAGGGGAAGCCCCCATAGTAATCAACAAGGAATTGGAGGGGGGTGGGGGGTCCCACAATTCCCTGAATTCAGTCTTCCCTCACAAAAGGGAAAATGGAACTCTGAATGGAATTCCAGGGGTCACCCCCTTCCCCCAATTTCATTTTGAAGAGAGTTCGCACTGGATTTCGCACTACCTGGCGCCCGATTCCGATTCGCGGTTTCGCGAATCGAAACCCCTCTTGCGGCGGGGCCGCTGCAGCCTCCTGGGCAAAGCCAGCCCAAACCGATTGTCAGCGTCCGAAATGTCTGGCTTGGAGGTCCGGTTTGGGTTGCTGGGGTTCCAACTTTCCCTTTGAAACTCATAGGGTCAAAGCCCCCAACCCACCAGTCCCAATCACCAACTGAGGGTTACCCGATATGTTTCACCTCCATCTCATCTTTGGGCTCAAAAAGACAACCACATGGAGCTCGAAAAAACTTGGGGCGTTCAGCGAAACAAAATTTACGGGATGTGTCCACGCGTCTGGGTCCTGTCTCGCAAAGGTCGCCTCACACATGACACATGTTGGGTCTCGCAGAGTTCGTGGACCTGTACCTTGTCTCATGGGTTTGGATCAGTCGAAAAGTTGACTACATGTCAGCTGACAAACGCCTTCAACCGAGCGAGGTGTGGCAAAGAGTCTGCCAAAAGAAGGCAATTACCCGTCCCGTGTGGAAGATGGGCTATGTAGCAAACATTGCTTTGTCTATGTCCTACAGCGCAAGCCTACATTCTGCCACTGAAACTGCCTAAAACAATACAAAAGCAACAATCCCCCGGTGACCCTTGCAAAAAAGGGGCAACCCTCTTTGGGATTGACGATTTGTCAAGGGGAACCCGAGCAAACAGAAAGGAACAAATGGTGCCAGGGCCAGTGAACAGGGCCAGCAACACCGCGGGCGGGTCGGACCAGAATTGACGGTCCGAGACAGCGCCGTGTCAAAAGCAGTCAACTTGGGGGGGGGCGTGTTTTAACTATGTCTCCGGAGGCTGATCTCCCCGCTGATTTCCCCCCGAAGTTAACAAAAGCAGAAGTCCTCTCGTCGAGGAAGTAAGGAATTAAGACAGCCACCATCCCCCCTTTCCCTTGCACGGGGTTCCGGTAGAAGGATGCATCCAAAAGCCACCTGCTTCGCAATAAATCTGCTGATGTGAAAAACACATGGCCTTTTGTTTTCGAGACTCTGAAAGGGGGGGGAGTCTGTATGTTTCAAACAGACCTTCTACATAAATCAGACGATGTAAACAAAAAAACACATCTTCATTTTTCGGAGGTTGTCTTGGCGGGGTCTTTATGGCGATTCAAGGTCTCTTAACAGGGATGATAACCATCATTCGGGTTCGTGGCCTATCAGGTTTTCTGGACTCTGAAAGCCAGGGGAGGTCAAGTCTCATATGCAGGTGCGGCGTAAAAAGCACCTTCTCGGTTTGCTTGTAATCGTAGAGCCCCGCTGCAAGCCCTGCAAATCCTCAGACTCACAGGCTGGGAGGAAGTCGTCGGGTCTGTGCCCTTGCATGCGGGTCAAGTTCACAGAAACACATGGACACCAAAAGAAAACCCATGGAGAAAGCAATGGAACCGTGAGTGCCCTGACAGTCACTTTGGGTTGGGCTACGGGGGTGCTTACCGGCCCCCCTTTTGTCACCAGGCTATGTGGCTAAACTTTTTTGGAACTCAGGGCTGAGTCTTTCCCCCCAATTGCCCAGTGAGTCAGCGATTTTGACACGCCCCCTCAGTTCAAACACTTCAGAACCCACCGCTAAAAAGAGTTCGAAAATCCCGGTCAGGTGACCCTGGACTGGAAAAACACACACCCTTTTAGGAGCTTCACACGCTTCTGGGTAACTTAAGAAGAACGACAAAACTGAGAGAGGGCCACTCAGCAACTGCCCAAGTAAGCAAGTTTGGCATTCTACTGGGCTCAGTGGACCAATGGTCAGCCGTTTTTTCAAGATGGCACATCTTTCACCAGAAGCCCGGTGGGCCGGAACCTTTCCGAACCAAATCCAGCAGCACACTCGGAGAAAAAAGAAGAAGAACAAAAAGACGGCCCGGCTGGTTCAGGCAGTCAGGCTGGCCTTTGCTTCCTTTTCTTCAGAATGAAACCACTGAGGATGTAGCAAGCTCCAACGCCTTGGACTCTTTAAGAGGAAACTCGTACATGGGATCAAGTGACAGGTGATTTGTGGTTTGAACCCCTGGTTCACCCCGCAACCATGAATCCAAGCACCAGCAGTCAGAGCTGGAAAGCCACGACCCAAGCTAGAAAGTAAGACAAAAGCTTCCCTCAAAAGCAAAGCGGCGCGGCGACATGTGCAGTCGAGATGTGTCTTGCAGGACATCGGAAAATGAGTGCGGTATTTTCTCGGAAGTTGTTCCATCGCAAGTCATCTCGCACGAGCTATGGCAACACTGCTTGGTGGGTCATTGTCATAGTTCCCTTAAGCTCGCAAACGGAATCAGCCAACCAATCAGGCATAGGTGTTCTTTTTAGGTTAGTTTGGTCAGAAATAGACGATGGCGCTGGCTTAGATAGGTTTGATTCCATTTACCAGGACCATCTAAATTCACAAAAGGACACTTCTACAATCAGGGTTCCACTACTTTATACTGTATACCCGGGTCATCGGTCAGCCAGGTTCTTGAGTGGGCTTGGTCGGCAACTTGTTGTGTTTCTAGGAAACCTATGCAACTACACACTTCGAATGGTGGGTTCCCCGACGTTGCCTTTCCCAATAAAGGTAGAGATAGAGCGGAGGTACAGCGTTTACCTTACCAAATGGCCTCTTTCAATACGCTTGCCATTTGGTAAATGGAATCTTTTCGGTATTGGGGGTGTCTGCATCAAAATGCTGGACCGCCTTTCAGGGAAACCTAAACGAAGCAACGAGCCTCATGATCTCTTTTAGCCTTTTTGCTTTTTAGTGGTAGTTTCGAAGCCTCACAATGGTTGTGTGCCCATGGCACACATGGAGTCCCGTGGTTCCTTTTTGTTGGAGGGCACCCTTGGACGGTTTTCAAGGAAGCCGAATAGAAAAAAAACACATGTTACACCGTTTCCTAAGTTTGGGTCTGGATGGCTTGCGAACATTTGAGCATTGCATTTCCCGAGTGGCGCAAACCTCGTTGCACCATATCCTTCTCGACCCGCGGGACCTCATTCGGGGTCATCACCCGGGGCTCGTTCGCCTCGTAGGTGTGCTTTGGCGGAAGGGAAAAACGACGAGTCCACAGTTCCCTAGATAAGGAGATCCCAAAATAGTGGTTTCCCTTTCTCCTTTAAACAAACCCAAAAAATGGCAACTGCGATACAAATACACCATATGCGCAACCAAAAAACATCACTGCCAAAAGGAAACTCGCCTTTGGGGCCGAAAGGTGAAATGTGCCAAGCAACCACCGAAAAGGGAAATTTGGAAACTCTGGTTGAACCCTTTGGGAAGCCCACCAAACAGGGAAAATGGGTGCACAAAATGGTAGTGGGTTCAGAACAGGGGACGGGACGGCCAAATGGTCCCTGAATTTGACCGACTCATGCAGTGCCATATTTTTCGGGTCCAAGTGTGACCTCCACAGGGGTTCCGCCATTAAATCACAAATTCCATGTTGGCTTCCTTTTGGACAATCCCCGTGCAAAAAATAGGGAATATGCAAATACATCAAAATACAGATGACATTCCATCGTTCAACCTCCCCCCCTCCCCTTTTGCATTCTTAACAGGGAGATGCTGCTGTTCAGCACCCAGCATGCAAGTGAAGTTGCCTGGTAGGTGAAATATCTGCCCGTCTTGCTTGGCTGCGGAAGGACCAAGACCTTCTTGCCGTTGTAGGTGAAGTACCCTCGGCGCAGAGCAACTTGTTGTCTACATTGCTTGATGTGGGGCAGGTCGGGACGGAGCCCTAGCAATCAAGAGGAAAGACTGAGGGGCCTGAAAGGGGCTTTGCTGCCCTCTCCCCCTGATAATAGAGGTTCCTCTAGTAAGAAGTTTTACCAAACCCCGGCGGGCCCAATACCAAATTGGAATAGCTCAAGCTGAAGGCAATACTAGTGCCCCTCTTCCACTCTTGTTCGGGGATCCCAGTTGGCAAGCACTACTTTTTGGACAAACAGAGCAGGTTGTGATTCCTTTCACGGACTTGTTTTTGCAATGCGTTCCGGACTAGCTTTCTTCCTTTCTTTCCTGACTACAACACTGGACACCAACTTGGAACTGCGGACCAAGGTTAACATGTTTGTCCAACTTGTTTTTATCTTTATGTCGTCTTTATACATGTTTGAAGGGCGGAACGGATCACGACCCTCAAGCCCAACCCGGAGGGTACACTACCCCTATTCATTGTTCCAGGTGTTTGTCTGCAATGTATGCAAAAGGCGTGCTGTGAGCTTTCTGTCCGGCGATACTTCATGCTGAAAATTTGCGACTGTCTATCCGAAGATGCGGGGACACGCCTCGCGTGCCACTTTCGCAAATTCGCACGGCGCCGCAGCGAGAGCGCTCCGACACGCCCCGCAGGGGGTTCAGCGGGCGAAGCACCCTTTCCGAGACCGCGGTGAACCCGCCCGCTAAACAGAGATAGCCTTGGCGACTTGGCGATTCGGCCAGCCTGCAGTATACCGCGCCTGCCATACAATTCCTCTCTTCTCTATCTCCATCTTTGTACTTATTGCTTGCTTTCTTGCTTGCTTTCCCTCTTTCTTTGTTTGTTTTCCCTCTTTTGACTCCTTCAACTATTCGTGTTATGGAAGTTTCCGAACTACACTTCCTTTGATAAATGGGAAACTTATTAAAGACATGATGGAATATTATCTAAACATACCTGGGTCTTCCATTTGGTCGCGTTTTGGGGCTCTGCGCATGTTTTTGCTCGCTTCAGATTTTGAGCGGAAAAACACGCAAAAAGAGCGGAAATCTTGACTTGGCATGATTTGGCAAGTTTTCTCCTGAAAATTGAGCGGAAACCGGCGGGAAATGAGCGGAAATTTGCGGACACGCACCACAACCATTTTCCCAGTGAGCGCTTTCTTTCGAATTGAGCGCTTTTGGATGAAATGAGCGTTATTTTGGTCGAAACGGGAAAATCCAGAAAAAAGTGCCCACGGAAGACCTAATTAGGTACTTACTATTTGCATGTCATCTGCCCTTCGCACAAAAATACGCCGCTCCAAAACTAGGCAATTAATTGAAGCCCCTTCGCCAGTATTGATGATGCAGTTTGCAAAGCGATTCATGCAACACTCATGCGGGTATGTCCTTTTTAGGGGGCCCGAAATCGGCGCTGTTCCTTTTGGTTTCAAACACAAAAAAGGGGGACCTAAAAAAAAAGGCATCTCCAAACAGTGGCTGGCTGAACCGTGAATGGTCAAACTGGAATAAATCGCATGCTTACTGTTTCCCTGCAACGCATGAATTGCACGTGTCAGATTCGCATGTTGCCAAAATAAACAGCATGACCGTGGGTAAAATGAGGACATGTATGAACAAGGGCAATACCCGTATAGTGCACCAAAGCCATTCATGTCTGTGTGTACACACGCACACGTACGTATGTGTGCGTGTGTGCGTGTGTGTGTGCGTGTGTGCGTGTGTGCGTGTGTGTGCGTGCGTGCGTGCGTGCGTGCGCGTGCGTGCGTGCGCGTGCGTGCGTGCGTGCGTGCGTGCGTAGGCGGGCGTGCGGGCGTGCTTGCGTGCGTGCGTGCGTGCGCGCGATGCGTGCAAAGGTGGGTGGGTGGGTGGGTGGGTGGGTGGGTGGGTGGGTGTGGGTGGGTGGGTGGGTGGGTGGGTGGGTGGTGGGTGGGTGGGTGGGTGGGTGGGTGGGTGGGTGGGTGGGTGGGTGGGTGGGTGGGTGGGTGGGTGGGTGGGTGGGTGGGTGGGTGGGTGGGTGGGTGGGTGGGTGGGTGGGTGGGTGGGTGGGTGGGTAGGTGGGTGGGTGGGGTGGGTGGGTAGGTGGGTGGGTGGGTGGTGGGTGGGTAGGTGGGTGGGTGGGTGGGTGGGTGGGTGGGTGGGTGGGTGGGTGGGTGGGTGGGTGGGTGGGTGGGTGGGTGGTGGGTGGGTGGGTGGGTGGGTGGGTGGGTAGGTGGGTGGGTGGGTGGGTGGGTGGGTGGGTGGGTGGGTGGGTGGGTGTGTGTGTGTGTGTGTGTGTGTGTGTGTGTGTGTGTGTGTGTGTGTGTGTGTGTGTGTGTGTGTGTGTGTGTGTGTGTGTGTGTGTGTGTGTGTGTGTGTGTGTGTGTGTGTGTGTGTGTGTGTGTGTGTGTGTGTGTGTGTGTGTGTGTGTGTGTGTGTGTGTCTGAGTTCAATGATGAGGCATCTTGCGTGTCAGTCATACATGGGTGTCTTTTTCAGGTACCCTGTTGCGGTTGGCTTCTTTGAAGGAGCGCTCTTGGATGTGATTCATCTGGGGCTCTGGACCACTCCCTGGGGTTCTTCGGGGTCGAACCATTGTGTGGGGGGTGGGTGGGATCACCCGGTGGGACTTCTGAAGGAGAAAAAGGCTTCCGGCCACGGGGGGAAGAAAAACACAAAAGACCCTCGGAAGAAAAAGCAACAACAACAGGCGCCATGGACCTTTTTTCAGCATCAGTTGAGTCTAAGGATTGGTTCCACACGCCCATCAACCATGGCTCTCTCTTCAGAACCATCCAGGTTCCGAAAAAGAGAAGGATTATGATTTGAGAACCCTCCTTCTCTCCCTCCAACCATGGAAGCTGACATGGGCTTGGGAAGGCAACCTTCCTTCTTGGAAAGCCCCCGGAACCCGCTTCCAGATGCGTTGCCCCAAGCCGAATCTGGGCGCATGTAGCGTGTCTCGTTGCTCCGGGGGAATTTCCCGCGTCTCGTGCTCAAAGCCGACTTCGTCCGAGAAACGTTGCTCTTGGCAGGAGTGGCAGTTGTTCACGGTGCACTTGTTTATCTCATCCCAGCTGGGTGGGTCCTGGGCCGAAAGACACACTCCCTCTTCCCACGTGAGAAGAGGATGTTGATAGAGGACCCTTTGGTGGACATCACTTCGGTGGGGATTCATGTTCACCAATCACTTTTGCCCATTGCAATCCATAGACAGCCACATGTTCCCAAAAGGGTAAAGTTCCAAACTTTGAAGAAGTGAGCAGTGAATGAGGAATATACTCCAGCTTGACTAAGGGGCGTACCATTTGTGAGAGGATCCCTCATGCTTGGGGGCCAACATGGGGCAACCAAATCCACACCCTTGCTCAGCTTTCATAACGATTGGTGCTCGGAGGTGAATCCAGGAGTGGTTTCCCGTTTACCCTCTACAAGAAGCAGGGGGTTGCACCCAACCACCGATCCAAAGCACAAAAAAGGGTAGCCTGGTAGCTCTTTAGCTGGACAATTGGATCCTCCCACCTCCCTTCTGACCAGGACTACTCAGCTTGATCCCACCGGAAGGCCGAGCGGAATTTCAGCCACCCAAAAGTTCCGTACCCTTTCCGATCCGATGGACGAAAGCTTACGGGACAAACCGATTTGCAACTTCCAAGAGGCATGTCTTTTGAGGGTACCCTTTTTTCTGGCTTGGCCCAGAAAAAAGCCAAAAAGGATACGACTTGGACCCTCAAACCATCCCAAAAGCCATGCCAGTGTAAGGTGAGTGGGGTGATCGAGTTCCCTGTTTCAAGGGGACGTCTGAGGGTCCATCTGGCCATTTTCGTGGTGAAGCTGCGAGCCGCAAGCCTCCCAGCATCATTGCCTATTGCAGTTGCCCTTGGACCTGGAAAGAGAAGCTGAGCACCAAGAAGGGGCCCACCAAATTTTGGAACAGCAAGAAGGGGGCCACATTTTTTTGCGGAACCCAAGGGGAACGAAAAGTCGTCCAGCAGGCCCTACAAGAGTGTTTGGAGTGCCGGATGCTCCTTTTTGATACTTCTTGGGTGATTGGCTCAGGGAAACCCTTCAGATAGCTCTCTTCCTGAGTGGATAGCCAAAAAAAAAACAGCTAGTCCTGTGCCACCAAAATGGTTCAGACCCAAAGAGTTTCAAGTCCATGAGCTCAGGAAGTGAGATACTGAACGGGTCGTAAGCAGATTCCGCCCGACTCTCCGAAGCCAAGGCTTAAGGTGATGTGACGTGAGGTTCAAGCCCAAAGCTGGGCTTGCGTCTTTTCTACTTGCTTCATTTTAAACTGCACACCCCTTGGTGTGGTAGCAAACGACTGTGTATTTTTTGCAGCCCCCTTACTAAGAATAAACAGCGCCCCCCCCCAAAAAAAAAACAACTTGCCAAGAAGAGTGAAGTGCAGGTTCCAAACCTGAGCCTTAGCATTGCCCCTTGTTTTGCAAACCGCGAAGTGTCTCTTCTCGAGCCAAAGCTCAAAGAGATCTCAAACACCTCCAAAAACGAGCCTTCCGGCCGTGCGTCGAAAACTGAGAGTCCCTGGCCAGAAAATAAAAGCGAGTAACCCAAGTTTGTTGGGCCCTTCACTCCCTGAAACTCACTTCCTGGACTGGCCAAAGTCCACACTTGTTGTTTCCACACTTGTTACCATTCAACACGCCGTCTTCCTTCAAGTCTAGGTTTGAAGTCCGGGAATTCGGGGAGGGGGACAAGGAAAGCAACAACTCGGGCCCTCAAAATTGCTTTTGGTGTGCCTCGCCCGCTCGCTCCTCCCCCGAAGCCCCAAGCTGCGAAGCCCCCGGCCTTGAGCTGTTTGCTCTTCAGCTCCGCATCGTCTGCACGCAGGAAGAGGGCGGCCATGATCTCCAGCAGGTTGTTGGTCCTGGCCATGCAGCGAACAGGTTTTTCCTCACCAGAACCTCCATGTGCGTTTTGGTCCCCTGGAAACAAATGAGAATATGTCCAGCGTAGTGATAGATTCCCTTCACACCAACAGGGGAAAATAAAGACTAATCTTGACCAATGGAAGAGAATCTAGACTACACTTTAGACTCCAGACACTCCAACTGCTGATTCCAGCAATTGCCCGTAGGGTACACCAAACAGACATTTCCCAGATTGTGTTCCATATTTAGCCTACCCTAAAACATGCGTACTTGCCCAACGAACCAGGAATAAACGGTTCACCTTTTGGGATCTACACCAAAGATGGACCAAACAGGGGAAACTCAAAAGTTCAAAAGGCAAATTCACTTTGGGCAAGTGAGCAAAAACCCTAAAGTTTGAGTCTGGAGACCCCATGGACGATTCCAAGCCCCGCCTTTCCACCGGCCCGCCCCGGCGCTTCGCTTTTCTCTAGGGGTACCTCCCCCATTCTTTCCAGCGATGCGGATCTTTCTAGAAAACCACCCTAAATCCTGGGGAAACCGGCTGGTTTTCGAAAAAAACGATGCTTGAACAGAATGGAAAAGGAACCAAGCCCTGGAATAAACCATCCCCTATGGGTTCCTTTCGGGAAGCCCCAGGTTCAGAAGGTCATTCCCAACTTACCGCACCAGCAAGAAACAGTCTATAACTGCTTTGGGGTTCATTCGGAGAAGAAAAACACAACTTCAGTTCAACCAACCATGCAGTGGTTCAATTTGGGGTTAGTGTCAAGGGAGCAAAGCTGGTTAGAAACATATCCTGGTGCAACCTCCAGACAAAACTGGACCAGCTTTTTTGGGGCTTCAATTTTGCTTTGGGATTTCGGAAAACTCTTCATTTCCAACATATTTCAACCAAAAAGTTGAAGTCAGATCGGTTGCCCAATGGCAATGAATCAGGGTTCGCTTCTGGCCGTTCCGTTCCGCGCCTTTCGAACTCGCAGTCCACGGAGGAGGCCACCGTGGAGGCCATGGTCACGAAGACGCTCACGGAACAGGCCTGAAAAAGCCCGCGGGGTCGGTGGTCGATGTTTTTTTGTTTTTTCCCCCCTTTTGTTCAAAGCCACGAATAGACGTTGATGTTTTGTTTGTTTTTGTTTTTTGTCTGGCTTCTTTTTTTCAACAAGCTTGTTTATTTTTTGTTGGTTTTTGAGGTTTCCCCTGCATCTTTGAGGCCGGATCTGTGTTCTTTCTGGGTTTTGGAGGTTTGGGTCTTTGAGGGTTTCCTGAAAACAAGGATCCTTGGACAGAATGGGGGAGGGAAGCTTCACCTAGAGGTGAACAGAAATCAACAAGCACCCGGCGATTGTTTCCCCTGGAAGTGAGGAGGGTTTTGGAAGATGATCTTCAAAAGACCTATCCATTGGGAAGAGAGAGAAACACCCAAGATGGGATCCGAATCTCAAGGGCAACCCATGAAAAAGTCCGCCCATAGTCTCCAGGGAGCCTTGGGCATCTTGCCCAACGGGGAACGCAGTTAAGCTTCAAGGAAGAAGGGGTCAGCTTCAACGAAGGTCTGATCTCAGCACATCCTTGGATACGGGCCCACATTGAACAGAAGCAGCAGCTCCCAAATTGCAAATGTGCAATCCTTGGCAGACATGCCTTGTGTTAAACATGTGGAAAGGGAAAGCCAAAATACCCATTTCCTTGCGGTTTGCTTGGGGGTCGGCAATAACCAGCATCCCCCAAAGACTGTGCTTTCCCACGTTCAAAACCTTGTCCAAAAAGCATCGCTTGATGTCTTGGGAATTGCCAACCCCAACTGCGCAAAGCGGCAGCTGGGAAAGGGAGTTGCATGTTCACTTGAATGCTCTCCGAACCACCTCTCACTCGCCCAAAGGGCCCAGAGATTAAAAAGCAAAACTATCACCTTGTGCGGCCGTTGCTCAAAGTGGGCCGGCCAAAAAAGGGGAAGCTAAATGGTTCAAAAGCCGATTCAAAGGCTTTGGGAAAGCCCCAACTGCAAGGAGTTTATGCGGATTCTGGCATCTACTGTCACCCGACTGTATGCGGGGTCGCCGATCTTAAGACACAACTCCATTTGTAGCATCTTTCCCGCAAAAAGCAAAATGAAAGTAGTGGACAAAACATTCTCTTTAGAGTTCCATGTGTTTGCTCACATGGCCCCCTTCCCCCCCAATTCTCTTTTCGTGTGGAGACAAAATTTCTCAGAAGTCCTTCTGGCCTCCGTGAGGGATGTCATGGCTTCTGAGCAGCCACCTGGGTCCTGACGCGACAAAAACGCGCGAGCCGAAATTCATCTCCAGTCCCCTAACTTGGAACCCACCAACAAGTTCGTTTGGAAGGCAAACAGCCTTCCAGAACCCTCAGTCAGGTCCATGTTGGTGGACAGGAGGATATGAAATTCTACCACAATTCCTCCCGAGGTCCACCCACCAAAAAAAAATAAATAATAACAATGGGGGTTCAGAAAACCCAAACAGGTGGGGCAAAGCAACCCGACTGATCCAAACAAACAAGGGGCCCTTTTCAGGTGCTGTTCTTCTGAAGAACGGCATTTGGAGAATTGACAATGGCATGTGGGTATGTCTCTAACATAGAATTAAACAATACCAACCAAGTACTCAGGCGCAAGGGGAAAATGAAGAAAACATTCTTAAGCGTGCTTCCCTCCAAAAGTGATGATTCCTGATTCCCCACCAAACCTAGGGACACCCCCCTCTAAGTAAACAGGGGTTGACAAATATTGGTACGGGTCAACATAAACCCACCAGGTGACCGCAGGATGTCGTCTTTGGTTCCATTTTCAGGGTTCCATTTTGGGTCCGCATTTTTGACCCACAGCCATGTGGCGTCAACATGGTCCATTTTTCCCGTCCTGCAACGTGCTGAAGGCTCCGCCCTCCCTCCGCTTTTCATTAGCGGCCAGCGGGGCGATGGTGGGGGCCGGCCGGGCACCCCAAACGAGTGCCCAAAGATACCTCGGGCCACAAGACGACGCATTTGTTCCCACCCTATGGACAACATCCGGCACCAGGTCGTGGATGGTCTATCAACAAAAAATAATCTTCCATTTGCATAAGCCCATGGGAACAAAATCCAGTTGTGATAGATTCCCTCTATAAACCAACAGAGGAAAAACAAACAAAACATATTCTTAAGCAAACGGATGTCATGGGGGTTCTTGTCCCACCCTGTGGATGGACAACATCCGGCACTAGTTGGTAGGTGGTCTATCATGGGGCTGATACGATGAAAATGTTCTCAGCCTTTACCTGTGAGTCCACCACCAAAACCACCAAAACCATCAAAACCTACTGGAAATGAAGGACTAGCATAATTTGTGGCAATTTCAGTGACCCTGGAAAAAAAGGGACCCCTTTTTGGGGAAGACCATTTTCAGTGAGGCAGCCACCAAAAAAGAGGAAAAGGGTGCCGCTGAACAACTGAGTGTTTTATTCTATGCCACACCTGTTTTGCCAATGGTTTATTGGAGGTCGCCTGGGTTGCGAACATTGCAGAGGGGGTCTGGGTCTGGGGAAAGCTTCGGCAAAACCCCAACTGAAAGGCCCCGGAAATGAGTCCCCGGGTTACCCTGAAAGGATCATCTTGCATGAAACATGGGGAGATGACTCAGACACGTGGCCCACCTGTCTCCCCCCCCCGTTGGCCACTGCAGCCAGGGGGCGGAAAAAGGATCCATGAGGCAAAGCCCCGCTCAAACAACATCGCCCGGTCCCGCTCGCGGCGCGCGCGGCGAGACCTCGAGCCGAACTGCAGGAAACACCTTCAAAGCTCACGTCCCGAGTGGATTGGCCACAAAACGTCTAAACTCGTTTACCACTAAAACTGCTTTCCCAGAAAAAACAACTAAGGTCCAGGAACTCAGGAAGTGAGAACATACTCCGCTGGAACACGTGAGACCCGCAAAAACGGCGGTCCCCCCAAACGCAAATTTCAAGGGTGCTTGTTGGTTCAATCATGTTAATCTGCAGGGGAAACTCAGCCAAACAAGCACAGGTACCAGCTCCAAACCAAAACCACGGTTTCCTCGTGGTTGCTTTTCGATATTTCATAGGATCCCCCCCTCCCCTAGTTCGTCCAACTCCTTCATCCGGGGAAATTTGGATTCTATGAACGTCCGGCCGCCTGGCCACACAGGTTCGCCACTTTTTCGCGTCAGATCTCGCGCAGGCTTTGCTGAGTCTCTCGGAAGTAGCGCCGGAGAATCCTGAAGGAATCAACCCCACGGACCGCTGGGCAATTGCCAACCCCTGCTATGGCTAAACCACCCAGAGTGGAACACGACAAGCATACATTGAGAGAGGGGATAGCTTTCGAGTTCCCCACCATCCACCACCCCTTTTCGGCACACTCACATACGAAGGCCAACCCCTTTTGCCGCGGTCCCAAACTTGGGGCCGGGTATGAGTGCCGAGTGGCCACTTACCAGGAATGTAGGTCCATGCACGTGATATGATAGCCATGTTTACCTACCACTTGCTAATGTGTAGCTCCTCTGCACTTGGGCACATGTCCAAACCTTTGGCCGCGTTGTTCACTTGCAAAACTAAGTCCTCCAGTAGAGAGGTTAGACTAAGGTTACTTTTTTGTCCTATTTTAGTACGGGAACCCTGCCCCAAGAAAGGGTAAAAGGGCACTACTGGGGGGACCTAGAAAACAAGCTGCCCCGATGTGAAGAACATCCATCAAGCCCCCCCCGTCCTCCCCCCCCGTCTGGACTTATTGGCGGTGCCCGGAGGCGGAGGCGGACTTTTGAAATTTGGCGTGTTGTGCCTAACTCTGAGCTGTCCGTTTTCAGATCCCCTGCCAAAAGTGTTCAACTTTCAGGGATTTCGTGGGGAATCTACCACTAAACCAATACAAAAACCTGAGGAGACGGCTGGGAACAACCAGAAACTTACAGCTGCTTTGGGACTTCCACAGTCCGATTGTCCTGATGCAAGTCGCGAACATCCTGCTGCTCTCGCAGTCGACTTCCTCGCCAGCTTCTTGCAATTGGCGCGGCAAGTGATCCAAACTCCGTTGCCGGGGAAACACAGCCGGAACCATTTCATGGCAGAAGCCAGGGCTGCACCATTTTCAGTGGGTCCCAAACCCAAACCAAGGGTGAACACGGACGTGGAATGTACCGAACTTGGCAGACCCAGGAAACTTTCGGCTTTTCAGGTGTCCCAAGACCCGATTCAGGTCTTTTGGGGTCGAAGTCTCTCATTAAGGTCTTGCGATCCTAGCGTTGGATTTCCTTGCAGCATGGACCCCAATAGCTACTGGGCATGAGATGCCATGGGTCATTAGCCCTGTTAGGATTGGGGGCCTTTGCCAACCATGAAAGTGGTATTCGAGGAAGCAGGGTAAGGAGTCAGGATCTCAATTTGTCCAACATCACCTTGAACAGCACGCACTGTAAATTGGCCCTGTATGTGATGTTGAGTTCCCTGGCTCAACGTGTGCCATAAACTGGAGTAGGCACAGTACAAATGATATAAACCAAACAAACCATACATAGGCCCAAGAATCTTGGCACCTCACAATGATCCTTTGTGAGGTCCCAAAACTTCCAATGGAGGTGCCTACCCTTTGAATGGAGGGTCCAATTCTTACGTAGATAAATGTGTTATCTATGCCTCTCTACGTCTCTATGTTTTCTACCCGCCTGCTTATGTTGGCATTTGGAGCGTAGAAGCCCCAAACAGAAAACTTGGAACATCGGGGCCCGTCCCCAGTTTTGTTGCGAAACATGTGGCGTGTTCCAAAAAACCAACAGTCTCAAACCAAGAGACGCCACCCTCCCTGATCAACCACTCGCACCAAGACACTTGTTCTACACGTACGCAGCATATGCATGTAAATGTTCCATTTGTTGATAGGCTTCAAGAGAAATCACCAACTAGTTGATTAGTTCTTAATATATCGACGGGGTGCTCCAGCTACATGGTTCAACACCGGACACCTTTGCCGCTTGCAATTTTGTCGTGTCTGGTTTCAGGCGCTGAGCAGGGATGCCTCTGAACAACAATCAGCTGGCACATGCCCCAAGTGTGGCCTACGTATTTCCTGGGAACTCTCAAAAACTGTGCGTACTGCACACTTTGGGATATGCTAACTGATTGTCACTCACTAAACAATGAAAATGGATCCTTTCACCAAAAACACATACCCTGATTGTACTAGTGCGACATGTGGAAAATGTGTGGAGAGCTTCCCCCATGGCTTAGTCATCCCCTTTACTTGCCCACATCCAGCGTGAATTGCGCCATCTGCTTCACCCAAGCACGGCGGTCATGAGGAGAAATAGGGCGTCCCTTTTTGGTAGTTGACGTGCAACGGCAACAGGAATTTCCCCACCTTCCTCCCCCCCCAAAAAAAAGACAAACAAAAAAAACACAATAAATGCCAAAAACGGGGCTCGCACCCCCACAAAAACAACACAAACCAAAAACACGACAAAACAACAAACACACAAGTAATACAGAAAAAACAACAACATAAATGACAAAACAGTCGCTGTTAGGTTGAATCGACCTCCTTTCCCCTCCTTTCGTTTGCAAGGAGCCAGAAAGCAGACCTTCCGGCAGTCGATCGCGGCCAGGCGATCCGGGGCCTCGATCTGATAGACCTTGGGGCAGGCTGCTGCAAGCGAAGGAGCAGGGAGCCCCTCTACTTGGTTGACCTTGGAAGGGGAGCACTTGTTGTTACCATTCATGGCGTCTTCCTTCACTAGGTCCTCCAGTAGAGAGCTTAGAATAAGTTGGTGCCAACTTTTTTTCTGTAGTCTATCCTAGTAGGGGAACCCTCCCCCCAGAAAAGAAAGGGTAAAAGGGCACCTAGCTGGGGGACCTAGTAGCTTATGGCAATTTTGCCGTAATTTGTTGGTTGAGTATCCTCTGCAAAACGTTTAGCCGTTTGTGGGTCCAAAGGAAAACTCACTGATTCTCAAAAGGTAAAGTCTAAGGGTCCAACCAAATAGACCTAAAGTTTGCCAGAGCTTGTTGGTTGTGGTTGGTGTGATTCCAATATTTAGGGAGTCCACGTAGGGGCTATCGAGGAAGGGTACTAAGAAGTGGATCGGAGCCCATGTTTTCTACTAAATTAACTCAAGGGACAACTGGGAATGTCAGGAAAAGGGTTAGTAAGCGTTTACAACCATGGTACCATTTTTTTTTGTTTAACCTACTTAGGGTACTGGCAAACTGAGTAACTGGGAAATCAGCATGGTCCAGTGCTACTTGCCCTGCCCCCTTGAGTTGCACCGAAGCAATGCCCGATCCTTCACCAAACACAAAGCGAAACTGTCTGATCTCAGGCCCTGGTCACAAATCCAAGCGACGGGACGAAAAGGTGGTGTCCAAGCAGGTGACAAAAGCTATTGGAAACCCAGAACCCGCTGACTTTGGGTTCTACATGTGACGTGGTTATAAAGGTAATCTAAGCCTTCTTGCAACACCCCCCCCATAAAAGGCAGCCAAAAGTCAACGAGACAAAATGGAGCCCACCAAGCAGTGAGAACAAAAGCTCAGGGAAACCCGGATGAATCCTCCGCACACTCCCCCGGCTCGGGTTTTCTGGCCGTTGGGCCTCCGCTCGCTCTCTTTGCTCCAAGGCACCAAGACCAAAAGCCTCGATCGCTCCTCTTCGGAGAGCTCCTTCCATGCGCCTCGCTTGGATTGGACCTTTGGGGGCAAAGGCCAAGTCGGTTTGGTTCCAGGGAACATCCGATTCAATCCAACCACTAAGATAGGTGACCTAAAAATGGGTGGTGAATTCACCTACCAAAATGGGATCCAAAACGTTTTTGTTTTGACCCACAGCCATCTAGGGGTTTAGGCTTGGTGTTTGGAGAGCGCTCGGGGTTGAGGTGGAGTAAGTCCAGGACTCCTGCAACAAGGTTGCTCCAATTCGACCCGGTTCGATCGCAGGCACAGTAAACTAATGGACAATCTCTTGAAAGGAAACAAAGAAGACTGACTGTGTACCGATCCGATTTGCTACCCTTGAGGAGTAATCATAATCTGTAAGAACGGCTCGGAGCAAAGTGAATTCTCGTTCCCGACCAGGACAATGTCAAGTTCCCCCCCCACTTACCAAAAAAACATGGGAAAACCTCCAGCATGAGGAGTAACAAGACCTAGGTGAGGGTAGCCTTGGTTGCGCAACAACCAAACAAGTGTCCTTAACTGTTGGAGACACCTGTCCCATCTGTACATGTGCGACTTGGTGTGTGCCAAACTCAAGCCTTCCATCCTTCTAAATGATGTCCTTCCGTTTCCAGTTGCAACTGACATCCATTATCTTCCCAAGTGGGTTACTCAGAACAAGTCCAACCATTGTGGTACCAATAAGGTAAAGTCAACCACATATTTTGAAGTCTTCAAACCATCGCAAAACACAAAACACAAAAGATGAAGTTCCCAGGGATCAGTGGTGCAATTGGTGGACTGTGGAAACCCTGCACATGAGGATTTATGTCCATCAGGTGTCCCAAACCCAAGATTGCCACAGGCAAGCAACGCCTTCCGCCTTCCGGAACCCCTGACTCATCCCATACAAATCCCTGCAAAAAGTTCTTTCACGGTACCCGCGCAGGAAATGCCTTTGACATCACCACAAAAAAATCGACCTCCAGATTTGCGGAGTCTGTGACTCCTTCGCAAAAAGAATCTCGCTCCGAATGGGTACGTGTCAAATACTCCCACGCTCAGAACCGTCTTGAAAACAAGCCAATTGAATTAATGTCTTCGGATTTGTTGGTTTCCCTTGCTTCCCCTGAAAATAACAGGTTAACCTGTTGGGACTTCTACTGAAGATAGTAAAAAAAGGGAACACCAAAAGGTCAAAATGTCGTCTTTGAACAACTCAGTCCAAACTGGGCTGCCCTCAGATCCCCTGCTAAAGGTCTTTAACTTTTAGTGGGCTAAATGGAAACCACTAAACACTAACAGTTGCCAAAAGGCTAAGATAGCTAAGGAACCGGATGGCCTTCGGGAGCCAAGCAAACCCAAACCCGCCAATCGCGGCTGGGGTGGCCCTTGTCCCCGAGCCGAGGACCCGAGGACCCGAGCACCCGAGCACCCGAGCCTGGCTCCACGTGGTGGATGGCTTCCGTCGACTGGTGGACTTCTAAGACCTGAGCGGGGCCTCTCCGGGAGCCTCGTGGTTTGGAGTCCCATCTATCCTCTACAACTTTCCCGGGGCTCAAATCATCGGTTGAGGAGGTGTGGGGGTTGGGTGGGAAACCCCGTCGATCTACCCAAAGTCAGGTTCAAATCCCAACACCGAGCTAGTGAAGGGTTAACTGATACCCTTGGTATCTCAGCAAACCACGGACTGTTCTTCGTAGCCCACGAAACATGAACAAAACCATGCAAAACCCACAAAACCGAAGAACAAAAGCTGAGCTTGGTTTCCATCTCCAGGGTAAAATCGAGGGAAACGTACTCTTTGTGTAATGGAAATTAATTCCCCCTGCAACCACGTCTTAATAATTAATTGCCCCCGCCTGGCTATGGTTGGTAGAGTTACCCAAACATTCCACATGTTCCCCAAAAGCCAAAGGTTGAAGATCCAGTGAAATAGCCGTCAGGTAGAATGCTTTCAGCAAGTTTCCCGCATGGGAAGTTGCGGTCAAATCTATTTTCAGAGTGGCTACGTGGCATCCTCAGTGGCAACCGGAGACCCCAAACGTTCCCCCTTAAACGAACAGAACAAAACATGTACAACCAACTAGCCAGGTGATCCCCCAAATGCTTCCCCCCGAACAAAACGAACAAAACAAGAGGCAAACACAGAAGCAAGATCACTCAAATGCTCCCCTCTAAAAAGAAACGAACAAGGCAAAAACAAATGAGAACGACCTAGATCGCCAAGTTGCTCAGTCACAGTTGCTGGTTTTTTGGGGTAAAGTGGCTGGAAAAAAGCGATTCGCAACTGGCGATTCAGGGACTGGTACCCTTTTTTTCTGTGTATTCTCTTTTGGTAGAACCCAAGACCCCAAAGAAACGGTACAAGTTGGTGAAAACCGGCTGGGGGACCTAGCTCAAAACCCCGAAGCCATCCCCAAACTGCCGTACTCGTTTCCGTCCGCCTGGTCCACCTGCGCGGTTTGCACCGGCGTCCCGTAGGGGCAGCTGTCCGCCGTGTCCTGCGACCCAGCCGGCGATCCGAGCTGCCGGGGGCCCAAGCGGCAGCAGAATGGCAACCAGTTTTCCCTCTGGTGCCGTACTCGAAATATGGGCGTGGCTCAAAAACCCGGAATGCCAAAATGGAACCCTGGTAAGTGGAAACATGGACCAAAACCTGCGTCACCCCGCCTGTTTAATTTTGAGCCACACCCATATGTTGATGCTACTCTTTTCATATGTCTTCATTTCTGCCCAAGCCTTATGCCTGCTTCATGCGAAACCAAACTAAAACCGAAGGCCAATAGCCGGTATGACCCATGCCACCCCCACTACCATGGGAACAAAGGCCCTGATTGGCAGCTTTCCCCATCTGAAGTCGGACGCACGGCCATTCTGAACGTGGGAAAACACGTCGTGGACTTTTGGGAGGAAATCCATCGGAGCAGGGGGAAAGCAAGGCGTTGCGAGTTCTTTGGCTTTTTTCGGGATTCGCACCCCAAACCGAAACAAACCAAGGCACTCCAAAAAACATATCCACTCCACACATTGCGTCCTCGGGCAGGAACTGCAAGGTTTGCAGCTGCTCGTCCAGTTGGTACATCCCAGGACATAATACCCCAGAGAACCTCACGGCTCTCGCAAACCTGCCGAAGAGAGAACCCTGACGGCTTTCATCAAAAACCAAAGCTGTGTTTCTATCAGGCCCATAAACTGGTAAGGGCGAGACTGCAAGAAAAACGTGAATTACTGCAGCACCTACCAACGGGCGGCTTGTTCAAGCAGCTGCCTTTGGAGAGTGCTGAACAAGAGCGACCCAATTTGAGCCCGCAAAAACAGGGGAGATAATGTTTCATCTCAACAAAGTCCTGGAGCCCAAAACTTTCAGTGGGTCCACTGGAAAGTCCATCATTTCCCAAACAGTTGAAGTCGAACGATCCAACCAAATAGCCATGCGGGTTGGTGCGTGGCGAGTTCCCCACAGGTGCCGAGGTGATTTCGGGGCAAGCCAAGCTGCTCGTCGAAAAGCAGTATAGGTACGCCTTGCGCGCCCCGTTCTGCAAAGGTCTTCATCATCCTCAGCCGCAGGGCTGGGCAAATTGGCGCCTCCTGGCGCCTTTGAAGAGAAACCAACATGAAGTTATTGAAGAAAAACAGTTGAACTGTCAAAAAAGGGGGACCCCGAAAACAGGTGGCTCTAAGCCAACCAAAAAGGGGCACCCTCAAAACACGCAGCACCATAGGTGCTGCAACATGCCTAAGCAAATGGCTGGCCCAAACCAATGCGATGTTGCGCGATCCTGTAAAAACCAAATTTCACGTGCATCCCAAAGGAATCGGAACAGGTGCCTCTGAATGCCTAGGTGGAGATTCAATTGATTCAACTCCAGCACCCCCCACCCCAATGAGTGATATTTGCAATTTCTAACAATTTAAAGGATGCTTCCTGGCCAGTTCTTAATGGGAACCACCGGAACATCCTTCAACATGGTTGGCAAACGTAAATCTCAATGTCAATTCAGTCCCCAACAGGGTCTTGATTTCAATTCATAGCCAAAATCCTGGCATTGCAAGCTGAAGCTGACAGCAATTTATCGGTGCAACATGGGCACCGAACCCAGCCAGCCAGCCAGCCCAAACTCCCTGTTGGTTGGCATTTAAACTGACCACACACCCGAAAAAATCAAAATCGTTGTTCTCCTCGAAAACCAACCCAGTGAATCCTGAGACTGTCAGGAAATGGACTCCGTGCAACCGTCTGGTTTAGAAGGGTCCTTCAAAATGCCCAAATGACAAAGGCTGGAATTAAAGTTGATTAAAAGGGAATGGCGAAGGGCTACTTCACTCTATCACAGTGCCATAGGGGCAATTGGAATCCACGCCCAACTCAGTTGCCCGAAGGACCCCCCAAATACCAGGACCACCCAAAGTGACTTCGCCGAAAAGTGACGCTGTTTGTGTTTTAGTGTTTTACCCCGAAGTGACGTGACGCCAATTTGGCAGCACTTGGGCGGTGCTGGAAGTTGTCCAAACCAAATAAAAGGCGAAACTCTTGGAACCTTCACTAACAATGGCCCAACTCAGAGAAACCAACCCTTTGGCCAAAAGGTCCGCTTTGCGCAAAAGTGAGCCAAACCAAAAAGACGAAAGTCGCCCAAGGCACCCGAGTCGCGCGTCTCGGCTTTTTCGGTGCGTCGCTTTCGGTGCCCAGCGGCGCCTTCAGCTCCTCCCGCGGCTTCGAGGCGAGGCTGGGCTTCCGCTCCACGACCTCCTCGGACCAGTCCCCTGCGAGCCAGCCGGGTCCAGCGGCTCAGGGAAGAACCGGGGGGGGGAGGGCCGCTCTGGGGTGACTAGGAGGGGGTTTTCGGGATTCTCCCCAAAACTGTCCAGTGGGTTTGAGGATTTCCCGATTTCCGCATATCAACAGTTGATCAATTTTTTGGGGGGGGCTCCATTGAACCTGCAACTGTTTTGGGGGGGTTCCAAGGCAGGTTCAAAGCTCTGGGTCAGGGGTCGCTGGATATTCTTTTCCAAATCAAAAGTTGATCCGTGGTGTGTAGTGAACCTGCAACCTTTTGGAGGTTCCAACAAACTCCGCTCGCTAAATTTCGCCGACTTCCCCAAATCACCAGCTGAGCAAGTTAAACAAATTCGGGGGGGGGCGGCCATTGAACCTGCAACTTTTGGGGCTTCCGACAAAAGATACGGCTCGGAAACTCGGAACCCCCGACTCCGCCAATCCTTTCCCCCTTTTGCGCTGCCCACCCCGAAGGTTCGATCAGAATTCGTGGGGTTGAGCAAATGGTCACAGGGTGCCATTTTGGGGGGAAACCACGAAAGAGGTGTCCCGCGAAATGTTTTCACAAATACCCGTCATTGCGGGCCAGGAATGTGTCATCAACCCCCCAGTGTGAAGAAATCTCCGTTTGGGACACCACACTTTGATTTGATTTGAAGAGCAGCGGTCCGGCTGTAGAGCCTTAGATGTGTGTGTTGTCCTCCAACAAAGACCCTCTGCTGTCACCCTACCCCTAAGTGGTACTTAGGATAAGTGGTGGTTTGGTGGTTAAGGGGTGGTTTCCCCATTTAGCCTCTACAAAAGCCAGGGGTGCAAATCCCACCAATCCAAACCACCCATTGGGGGCTACCTGATGCTCGATGTCTGCATACCTCCGAAACTCAGGAATCGAGCACGCTTTCTCACGTGGACAGCGTGAGAAAAAGCCCTGGCTCTTCGGTCTGCTCAAAGAATCACGGGGCCAAGAGCCAAGAAACCCAAGGCTTTTCCTCCGAACCATCAGGTTACAACAACTCACTTGCCCCGAGCAAAGACCTGGAAAGCACAAGTTGACCATGCTAACCCAAAATGGGTTGCCATGCTGCCATGCCGCCGCACCAAACAGAAATGGCCGAAAAGCAACACAAACCCTCGAGAAGTTCGCTGGCAAAAAGAAAAGGTAACGAGTCTCTTTAAGCTGACTGCCAAACACATGCTGGCAGTTTCGTTTGGGAAGCTCAAGCGCTGAAAAAAAATCCTCCACCCCCCAACTGTTTTTTCGGGCACCCGGTGGTTGGGACATGGGAAACAGCCGGGTGTGAGCTTCAAAATTTTAGAGCCCGTCGCTGATATCATCCGCCAACCACTTTTGAGGGGACGAAAACTCATTCCAATCGTGACCGGCCTCGGGCGAAGCTCAGCTGGTGCAGGCTCATTTCGTTCCCCTGCCATCCGATTCCCGAGGCCACTTCTGTGGCTTGCACTTGGATGAAAGCTGTTGGGGGGGTTTCCCATCCGCCCTCTAGAACCAGGGCTTCAAATTCAAGGCGCTCCAAACCAGCAAGGCTGTCGCAAGGGCTTCGGAATTCGGAAGGTTGCTTTGTTGTGTTACTTCCCGTACTTTCGTGGATTGGCGGAAGTTCATTTCTCACCAAACAGGACCTAGAGCACAACGTCCAACATCACTCGGGGGTGCAATGCATTTGCGTGTCTGCTCAGTGTGGGAGGCAATGCGACTGGGCCGCCAACGCCCCCAAAAAGCTCACTTGACGTGGGTCCGAAAAGGTCCTGGCTGTTTGCTTACTGCTAAAATCATCCCATTTACACTCAACAAGAAGCAGGGATACAGTAGAATGACCTTCCCCCAAAAGTATCAAGTCCAAACGCTGGAAGTGAAAGCGAACACCCATGCCCAACGAAAGAAGAACATCACGAGGTGGGAAAACAGCGTGCTGGTGCGATAGGCAGAGAATGAGAATTGGAATGACTGTTATAAGCCATCCCCAATGGTTTCCTTTAAGGGACCCCCCAGGTTCATTCCTTCATTCCTGAGCACCAGCAAGCCAAGCTCCCGCACACGATTCTCGGGACGCTACTGATTGGTGATCCCCAGCAATGCGCAAAAACATGAGCGTTCCTCTGATTTCAGCGCGGAACTTTCAGCCAAAACTTTGCCCGTGTGGTGCTCTTCCTCAATCACACTGCGGGTGGACGAAATCCTCCACCACTGGAATGACGATGCCCCTGTAAATATTAACAAGCGTTGGACGGCTTCAAAGTGGTGCGAACGGATTTCAATTTCGCAATTAGCTACCGTATTGTCATTTGGAGCTTGGGTCGTTTCTCACACAATCAGCCCTCTTCGCCTGCAGCTCTGGCGCATCGTCCAAGTCTGTGCAGTGGCAATCGAAACACCTGAGCAATTCGAAGGCTTCAGTGGGGTACGTCTTGAGGTTATCTATTGGTTCCAAGCTCTATCCAAGAGTCGGGTAGAAGATACGGGCCCACAGGATCTGACAGGTGTGTGACCCCAGAGACGAGTCACGAAGCCCAATGTGATGGGCTCCTTCCGTTGATCAAAATGAGCTTGGAGCCCTCCGCAATCTCCGGGACAAGGAACCATTTTGTGAGGACCCGCATGGACCTGGATGCAAGAACAAGAACGGGAAACAACAAGAACAACCAGTACCACCTTGCATAAGGATTGCGCTCCCTCCCGCAAACATGGCACCAAACATCTTCCAGGTACCCTGGACAAAGATGGATTTAAGATTTCCAGTCGTTTAGAGTTTAGAGGGCAACGGTAAAACCAGGAGCCTGTGTAAGTGGCTGTGCGGGTACAAGAATTGCTGCGGGCAATGCTGTGCCTCCATGGGAACATGAGCAAATGGCCTGCTGAGGTGAGTGGCTACAAGCAGTTCAAACTTGTTGGCCCTGGACTGCAATCATAATGAACCCTAGCAAAGCACTTTGCTTTAAGGCTTTAAGGCGAGGAAATCGCGCACATGGCAAGCAAGCTCCACACCCTAGAGCCACCCAAGTACTCTTCAGATTGGGACAGTGGGACACTGGCCTTTTTCCTTAAGTCAGGGATCCGGATACATGAAAAACGCCTGAACATTGCCTGACTTGTAAATGGTGGGAAACCCATTTTATTTTGGTGCATGGAAGAAGCAACATGTTTCAAATGCGCAACATGTATCTGTTAAGGAGCCCTGGTATATTTTTTTGGAGACCCATGCTTTACAGAGTCAGGGACACCACCAGAAAAAGACCCACCATTGGGTTCCATCTTGGCATATATGAATGTTTCTCAAAATCGTGGACCCTCTTTTGTTCGGCAGAAAAAAAGGGAAGCCAAGCGGGAAACGCTCGTTTAGGGGGCCCATATGCATCCGAAAAAAAGGTCTCGGTTGCTTTCTGCTCCCCTGCAAGTTTAACTTTTAGTGGTTTCATTGAAAACCCGCTAGTTGGCAAAAAGTTAAAGTCCTAACATCCCTTGGCAAAAATGCAACAAAGGTTCAAAGGGGATCCAAAACTGCCTATGGGACGGACTCCCCACTGCGTCCAAAGCGCCGGAACCGGCTCAGCGCCGCTTCCATGGCGCCCGGCGAGTCGGCGAGCGCCGCTGCCCCTTTTCAGATCCCCTGCGAAACACGTAAGAAGCTAAAAGCTTCGGGGATGGGCAAAAAAGTGAGAAACTTTTGGTGCGTTACATGGACAAAAACCACTAGGTTGACGTTGGAAGGGGAGCAGAAATTCTAAAATTTTAGCTGTTAAGTGGATTTGGATTTCCCACTAAACCACAACAAACAAAAATGTAAAATGTGTCCCAACAACAACCATGACTAAAGACTAACATGGTTGAGAACCACCAAGATTTGACCTTAAGCCAGATGCAAAAACAGGGAAACAACAACTGCTTTAGTCATGTGGATGGAGAAAATCCATGCCGCGCCATTTTTTGGTAGGTTCCCAATTTTCGTAGGGCTTCAGCTACCCCTAGTGGTGCTAAGATTTGGTTTGCCATATGGAACCTTGTAATTTTCATATAAGTTGGTCTTCCATGAGGCAGTTGCCAACTAAGTCGCCACAGACTCAATTGCTGTAGGATCCTTCTCTTGGCCATTCACAGGCAGTCCTTGCCACACCTTTCTGCGCATCAGTTTTTCTGTTTTTTGCTTTGCGGGTGGGCGTAGTTCAAAGGGGGTTCCAAGGGAAAACACGTTTTTGTTGGTTCTTTTTCTTTTGCGGGTTGCCAGGGATAAAAACAATCATCAAGAGGGACACATCAGTAGTGACCACACTCAGTGGTGTCCCTTGGTGTCAATAACTCATGGGGTAAGGCAAACGAGCAATACCTGCCCAATGGATGTATGCGACGTTGACGGAGGCTATGCACTCTAAGCTTTGAGAGCCAGCTGCAGATCTCCTGAATGTGCTCCATGTGCCCAGGCCTCCAGTAGATCTCCATGAGGAAAAAGAGGGCCAGCTTGGTGGGTTGACAAACGACAATCAGGGCACGATTGGGTGTCTGGGATATATGTGTGTGTATGTTTGTGTTGCATTGTGTGGCACCAGCGAAGCATGCCACTAAAAGCAACCGCGCTCCACCCGCAAGGTGCTTTGTCATGGGTTCTAATATGCTGCTCACATGATCGCCCTTTGCAAGGTGGAATCCCTTTTGAAACTCACTTCCTTAGCCGAAAACAGTCCAAACCTCTTTGCCACCCATTTCTTGTCAGTCTCTTCCAAAAGTTTCAAGTACCTGAAACCGTTGGCTTTGGAACCCCAAGCCCCGGGAAGCCTTCGCCCCGCGGGCCCGCCAGCCCGAAAGCCGAAAGACGGAGCTCCTCCTTGCGGGTGTTCATCTCCTCCAGGGCCTCGAACACTCCGCCAGGTTTCACTTCGTGCAAGCCCTCCCGGGGCCCCCGAAACAAACAAAAACAAAGGCCAAACAAAAACTAAAACATCCGGCTTTTTGACATCAAACCCAAAGCTTTTTGACATCAAACCCAAAGGATTTGCTTTTCGACATCTAACCCCAATCAGGCATTCTGACATGATTCCCAAAAACCCTTTTGTTTAGATCTTAAACAAAAAAAAAAACATGGGACCCTGTACCATCCACCCTCCTGACCCCATTCCTGGCATCTACCTTCACTCCTAACGTGTGCCAGGAGATACCTCAGGGCTGTGGAAACCTTTGTGGTCGAAAAGGTACTCCGACCTCTGGCCACCAGGGAACAATGGGCACCTGGATTGGTGGATTTGAAAGCCTCCGCCCTGAAAACAGAAAAGGAACAGACATGCTCACTTGCCCAAAGGACCTGCAAATAAAAGGTTAACCTTTTGGGACCTCTACTAAAAATAGACCAAAAAGGGAAAACCAAAAGGTCAAAAGGTCGGCTTTCAACAACTGAGCATGTGCTTGTGTGTGTGTGTGTTTGCTGGTTTTTATCAGCCCCGGACTAAAATGGCGGGTGGTTCCTTCCAAAAGCGATGCACCCCACCAAAAACGCCCCCCTATTAATCAACCAGGAGGAAGGGTTCCCAGTATCCCTTTCACCTTGGTTCAATGAAACACCAAGAAGATCCACTCTATCTTGGGTCATCCTTCGACACATATCCAAATACATTCCTGCGCTCGAGTTCTGCGCAGGTAGGCTGCTCTAAGCTCTCAAGGCGAAAATCGGGTTGCTGAAAACTAGGATCGCCATGTCGACCTGACACCCAATGAAGGGAGTCCCCTTGCAAGATGTCTCAACTCACCTGACCAAATGACATGGAAAAAGAGGTCGCTGGACACGACATTTGGCTTTCCAACGCCGAAGGAAGGCGTCGACCATTGTTTGGTCCAAACGCGTGATCATCCTTCAAGAATGGCCCGCACAAAGCGACCCTGATTTGAGACCCTTTTTGGCTTGGACGTTCAACCCGTGGTTTCCCATGTGCCCTCAAGTCAAAAATGCCCATGCCCTCCTCGGCTGCCATGCTGCGGCAAGTCAACATGAATTCTGGCTTCATGGGGTTCCCAATGGTTGCTAGTCTCACGTCAACTGAGGCAATGACGCCCCGCTCCAAAGTGATGCGGAGTTCCCACCCCAAAAAGCTCGTGGATTTCAATGACACCCCGCTCTGCGCCATAGCGAGCGCTCGGCCTTGGCACGCCCCTCCTGAGACGGCTTCCGAAATTAGCGGCAACCAAAATGGGAAGGTGTGGGAATCTTTAAAGCAAAAGCAAGTCGTCATGAGAGAACAAATCTAGGAGTCTCTCTTTTAGGAGACGAACCCCGAAAACAAATGGATATGCTGTTCAATGAGACTATGGAAGCTCACGAGAAGGGCTTGAAAACTAAGCGCAACACAACCAGGAGGATTCTGGGCTGCCCCCAGATCCCTCGCTAAAAGTTTAGCTTTTAGTGGCTCAAATGGAAACTACCACTACACAGGCTAAGGGCTGGGAACCGCCAAGGATTGCAGAGCCTTATTTGGCACCACTGAAAGGCAGTTCCAACGAGCTTCTCCCAGGCCGCCAACTGCCCTCAGGCCCTAAGGCCCGAAGGCTCCCGGGGCTTGGTATGCAGAACCCGGCGGTACCCCTACCACACCCCGAGTTGCTCAAAGGGGGTGTCACGAGGACATATTTTGAGGCCCCAAAATCCATCAAAACCCTTCGGATTCATATACGGGTATGAATTTTTCATTGAGAACCCTGTCGTGGACATCATTTACACGAGAATTTCTGTCCACCCGGACTTGAGGCCGCGATTGCCCCCAACGCTGAAAGCTTGCGGGTCTCTGCCTGAATCAGCTCGGGAGTGGTTTGGGCGTTTCAGAATGGTTCGGGGATTGCTGTTGGGCTCACCCTCTGATAGGAGAGTTTCGAGACTGCTTTTCTTTTGGGAAACCCTCTGCCACTGTCCATTTCCATGATTGTTGTGCAAAATGGCTTGAATTTTGTGGCCACTTCATGTGCTTGAATCAGCCGCTCGGGCACATCACCTCTGAAAGCCAAGAGAAAGTTAAATAAATAGAAAACAAGAGAAACAACAGGAGACAACATACCCCCCAAACAACTTAACCGAAACTAATCCAAGTTGAAAACACTCACCACATCTACATGTGCATTTATGCTATACAGGAGTCTCTCATGTATTGTAGATTTACACGCGTGGGTACAGACGCTCCGTCCTGCTCTTGGCACAGGATCTGCAACTCCGCCTGCACGCTGAGTGGCTTCTCTTCAGGGTCGATTCATGGAAGGCAGAAGGGCCCGCGAATGGACAAACTTCTGCAGTTGGTAGGTGGTTTATCCCGTTCATAGTGTGGATGAATGAACATGGGAAACCAACTGTTGGTATTTACCAGGAACATCATCATTCCAGGGTTCTTTAGGTGGTGCGCAATGGACTTCGTCCATCCACAGTAAAGCTAGCATTCCCTGTGTCCATCCACAGTGGGGGGGTTGTATCCTAGCTAAGCCCCGTCCGTAAGTCTTTAGGAGGTCATAGCCCATCCCTCCCCTTAATGAGTTCCGCGTCTACATTAAATGATCGACCAACCACAAACGAGTCACTGACAAAATCATTGGCAGTATGCGAATGGTTTGGGGATATCACGGGCGGACAACCCCAAACTGGTCCACAATGTATTGGATTGCTTCAACGACCGTGTCAAGGGTATACTAGCTTGGGTCACTAGAAAAGGAACAAAGGACCCGATTCTCATGGCCTACCCTTGAGGTTTGGTCATTGAGGTTTCTGAGACTCTGTTGCTTGAAGGACTTTGCCTCGGAAACATGCATGCTCACCACCGTATGTGTAACATGCGGTGAGTGGATCTAATGGACACTTGGGTAGGGCCGCCTGGAATGCGCCCAGTCGAAGCTTCAGCAGCTGAAGAGCGCCAGGGCGAATGGTCTCTTTTCCTTCCTGTCACTAAGGCAGCCTTCCCAAAATCCACTTGTCCAACAACTTGGGGTCTGAGACCGTGTAGCCCTTCCAACTGGATTCTTGCTTTAGCCTTGCTTGCCCCGTGGCGAGGAAGCAAGGACTTGGCTTGCAGCTGTCGTGCTTTGAGGGAAACCTCACTGCAACAAAAAGACGCATGGGTGTGACTGGGCAAATGGGCAGCCTAACACTAAGACTGCCTTTTTAGGACGAGATGAGTGACCCGTCCAGGTCCTGAAGGAAGGGGAGTCAGCTGAGGGCAACCAGAAATCAAAGTCACTGGGACTCTGGAAGCCCAAGATGTGTGAGTCTGCCGGCTCCCGTTGCTCATGATTGTGGTGTTCTCCCCCTCCCTCCATGTTTTTGCGGAGCTTGTAACCCTCGGGGTGGGAATGTGATGCCGGTTTTTCTGTTAAACCAAAGAGGAAAACATGGTTCCCAGTTCTAAGCCTAGGAACCGGATCTGGGCAAGCATGAACGATGCCAACCGCAGATAGGAATTTCGCATAGGGGAAAGAAAGGGGCACTCCCGGATCATGCGCAGAAACACCCTAGAATACCCCCGTGGTTCTGGAACATCATACGTTTTGGGAAGGTGGTATTGCCAGGCCCACTTTGTCACATGAAAGCGCTTTCTTGGCCAAGCAAAGAAGGTGGCAACCCGCAAGCAACAATGATCGCAACCATGAACTCCTCTGCCCCTTTCTTTCCTCAAATGCAACCCTAATTCACGTTGCTAGTTCTTACTTGAAGGACACCAACAAGGTTGTGGGGGGTTGCAGGGTTTGTTGCCTCAGCTTTTGCCTATTGGCTTCTGGTCTCCATACTCCATAGTTTTTACAAGGTGACAAAATTTGAGAGGTCGCACATCCGCACTCCATTTGAAGTCATGAAGGCCCCTTCTTCTTGCTATACATGATGTTCTTATCCAAGCGGAACCATGAGAAATGCAGAAGGGTGCCGCGGCCCCTGAAAGGCAGTGGGTCGGGCCCTCACTATGCATTTGGGAGAGATGATGGTCTCACTGAGGCAAACGCGGGTAAAACCGCACGGGAAACCTGGCAAAGCGAAACTGAGCATGGGAAATGGAGAACGCCTCACTCTGTCCTCAGATCCTCCGCCAAAAGTAACTAACTAGTGGGCGAAAAGGAAATCCAACAACAAAACACCAAAACGATCCAAACAACTATAAGGAACCGGATGGCTGGTTGAACCACCCTCACTCAAAGACACCAATGAGTTCGCCCGCTCGCGCGCAAAATAACAAACAAAAAACACCAGGCGCCTTCTGATTCATCTCCGCCTGCGCCAACTGCTGCCGCAACTCCCCGACCTCCGGAGCCATCCGTCGGCTTGAGCCAAATCCGCGGCCTCAAGTCACAGCTCCGCCCTCCACAGGTCCTTCCCGCGGTCTGCGTGATGCTTTTGATACGCCCACAGTTGGCAAACAAATTTGGCCATGGGTCCAACATGGTCCAAAACCCAATCGTACCCCCAGTGAACATCCCACTCCAACCACTAAATAGACTAAAATCAGTGGTGCACCCACCCCAAGATGGTACCATTGGTTTTGACCCGCAGCCATTTGGGTCTGCTGTGAAAACCAGCGGTTTGGATTGAAGACCGGGTTTCTGCGCTGATCCCGAACAACATGCCGGATGTACGGACTACATACGGGGTGGAAAAACTAAGCCGGGGTTGTGTGCTCCAAAGAACCGGCGGTTCATCACCCCAAAGGAGTGAAAATATCGCGCCAAAGGGTGGTGTGTCAAAACAAAAACCTGCAGGCTCCGGACCCGACGTGTTGCTTGCAATGACCTTCCCAAAGCCACTTGGTTTGGAGGTGTTCCGAGGGCACTTGACGGCATTTACCTTCCAGATTCCGGGAAAAAATCTCCAAACCACCAACTCAGTACCTGAATTCAAGTCCGGAAGACTTGGAAAGCGAGAGGTTGAACATATGGACGCGCAAATGACCTCCCTAGTGGCTCCCAGGGCTCAGGCTCCATGGGCAAAACATTTGGCCCACATCCCTCAAGTCAGAAATTCCTCAAGGGGCCTTCATTGGCCCAAGCACCAGAAATATATTATCATGCCTGAAACCCTCTATCAATGTTACTCCAAGTCACAAAACGGAAATCTGAAATCCTCCGTTGCACCGCTATACCCCTGGAATCGGCGGCATCGCTAGTTCAGGTGTGGATTTGTCAGAAAGAGCCCAAACGGTTTGCATTCCACAATGATCTTCCTGAAATTTAAGGTTTGGCAGGGAAGTGAAGTTTCCCTCCAATTGGTGGTTTGGAGCCGGGTGGTTTGGTGGTGAAACGGACCATCTCCCACTTACCCACAAGACCCAGGGACCCATTCAAAATCCCACAACACTGATACCTGAAACGATCCCTTCCAAACCTCAAAAAACGCCTCGGGTACCAATTCTAGGTCCTCCAGATTTGAGAGGTTAGAATAAGTTGGTACCAACTTTTGTTTGGTCGATTTTGGTATGGGACTCCTCCCCACCAAAAAAGACAGGGAGAGAAGGGCATTACTGGGGGCCACAGTTCAAAATGCCAGACAACAACAAACCTTGTCCAAGACAACTTGTAACAAGACAACAACAAGACAACAAACGTACATGAACACATAAAAGGGCACCAATCGCCGGGGGACCTATTGGTAGCCCCAGGCAGCGAATCCTTTTGGCCTCACGGATCTTGCTCAGGCTCAGCCAGCAGCTGGACCTCCAGCCAGCTGCTTCGAGCTAGGGGAAACAGGGGTTGCAGCCCCAAAAATGGTCTCTGGCCCCAAATTTCTGGGGTAAATTCCTGTTTTAGGGGTAGTGTGAGAGTCCAGGTGCGACTTATTGAGTTCGTAGATTTGAGTTGGGAAATCGGACACCACAAAAACAAAGGAGAAAGAAGGCATGGCCCATGAGCGGTCCTCCTGTGTGAACCATTGCGGTCATTTGTGGCGAACCTTGAAATACAACATCGGCTCATCCAGGCATACATGGGTGTATCTTGTTGTGATGGTACTCTTGTTGGCCTTTTGGTGTCATCTTAAAGGTAAATCAAAAGAAACCCGCAATTTGCGGGGGGTCTTCTGCAAACAGTCACCCCCCCACAAGAAGGCTTCTCAAGAAAGGCGACCCATTCCAAAGTTTTTGCACAACTGTTAAGCCTCCCCAGGAGGACTCCAAAGGGAACAAGGACCATGACATCCTCCCCAAAACAAATCTGGATCCTGAAATCGGGATGGTGGTGGAGGGAAATCACGTTTTAGGAGACCCCCGTGTCTGGAACGTCTAACTATATAGGTTCGCCCTTCTTGGACCTGATGTTGCCAGGCTCATTCGGCCAAAGCTACACCGTAGATGGCACAACGCCCTGCATGTGGGAAGTACAAATAAACCAAAATGGGTTGGATGCGCCATCTACATTCACCGTAAGCTTTGAATAAGCCAGTGCGATGTGATTAGGGTCCCTGGCTTGCAGACAGGAGCAGTCAGAATCCATGCTTTGCCCAACCTGGGAGGTATACCAAACTCAAAGGGACCAAATTTGGACACGACACAGAAAGTCGGACCTGCCTGATATTGATATGATCCTAAATAATGGCGGTGACTTGGGGAAGCCATATATTCAGCTAATACTAGGTCCACATCAGCCAAGTCCACCTTTGTTTTTTTGGTCCTGCTTTACATTTGGACACAAAACATGTTTTTTATCCTGCTTTATATTTAGCCCATCACTCAGATATGTTCGGAGTCTATCCCGGGTTGGTGAGCATTACCATACACATTCGCTGACCGGGTGTCTTCCTTCCTGAAAAAGCTTCGTAAACGCCGATTCTCCCATAATCCCCACCTACCTGGGGGAGTCCCCAAACTTAATCTGTCTGGTCAAAAATGGGTTGCCATAAATGGAATCTCAGGGGTTTCCATGGGTTTCCATGGGTTTCCATAAGTTTCCATGGGTTTCCATGGGTTTCCATATATTTCCATAACATTCCATGACTTGGTTTGCATACATTTCCGTAAATTTTCACGGGTTTCCATGAAAAAAACATTTCTCCCACCGGTCGGAGCGAGCCGCTCGCCGAAACAGGGGCTTCCGGCTCGGTTCCCGAGGCCGTGCGCGGAGCCCAGGCCCACGCAGGACGTGGCGTTGTTCACCTCGCAAGGCCCGTTGGGCCGTGCTTAGGTGTCCCATATATACTGGTCGGCAAGCTGCTGTATGGGGCAGTCGCTCCCAAAGAAAGGCAGTTAAACATGGGTTTCGAAGAGGGATCCAATGATATTTCCAGTGGCAACAGTAGATGTCCGATATATCTCCAGTGGCAAAAGTAGTCTTAGAATGACGACTTGAAAGAAAAATGCAATTTCTGGGGACACAACCCCCAAGTTGAAACTTAGCGCAGCCAGCAATCATATTTGCAGATTCGGTTTCATTCTTCGTCTATCTCAAAAGAGAAACAGGTTCAAGGAGACACCAAAGATCCCCAGTTAACAAGTTCTTCAAGTGGGCCATATGTAGGATCAGTCCCACTTGAGACACCAATTCACGATGCTATGCACTTATTAGGCTAATAGTGAGAAGGGAGCCGATTGGGTTGTGACATCCCATTTGTGTGATTTTCCAAGTGAGCCCAGCAAAACTTCTTGTTTCCGCAGGTGGAACTCGGAGACCCCCCACCATTTTACTGAGTGATGAAGCCCAAAACATGTCAGTTGCGCTGGTCATGTCAAACGGCTGGTTTCATAGGATACTCTCCCCCCTTTTGTTTCCCAATGCCAATGATCTTAAGAAGCCGAGCAAACCCTGTTTCGGAGCCAAGCGACGCTTTTTCCGCCTTAGGGACCTTCGGTGGAGAGCCTCCGCCTCAGGGCCTCTGCCACTGCAGCCCACTTTCTGCCGGGGTTTCACCTACCAAACCACCGCGAAGGCTAAATTGAGGGGGTATACAAACACAATTTGAGCACCGAAAGGGGCAAACAAAATAGGACCGATAGGAAATTTCTGGAATGGCACGCCTTGTCTGACCTCAGCTGACCGCCCAAGACAAATCAAGCTGCAAAGGTCTTTGCAAAAATGATGAAGCATCAAAGCACCCGTTCAACAACTTCTTTGCAGCTTGCCAACACAACAGGAAAGCTCTCAGACCGCAAGTTTAGACAAGCAGAACTTGAAGGTCGATCACTGCAATGCCTCAAAACGAACTCATCACTTCCATGGCCACTCTGAGGCAGAAGGAGAGGGTTGCCAAGTGGGTGTGTCTCTTTTGTTTGGGGCACCCTTCAAAATGGAATCGACACGCCAAGTGGGTGCGCCTGTGGCGGACCCCTTCAAAATGTCTGGGTTCCTGTTGGTTTCCCCGTTAAAAAAAAAAAAAAAAAAAAAAAAAACAGAAACTGGGGTACCCTCCCAATTTTTTTTTACGAATTTATCTTAAGCCAGCACCAGTGAGCCCCGCTTGCTTCCAACGTCCCTCGGGCTCCGGCCCCTTCGGCGACTAAGGCCTTGCGGACCGCCTCCGCCCGCTCCTGGGGGGTAGTGTGGATGGACAGCTTCCATGGGAAACCATTATTTGTCGGTATTTACGGGGGAATCATCCTTCGAGGGGTTTTTGGGCGGTGCAGGATTTTGTCCATCCACAGTATCGTAGTGGACCTTAGCGCAACAACGCAACAAGAAACAGGTGTAACAATGTGCACGCAATACATACACACATATCTATATATATATATGATTGTATGCATATTTGTATGCATGTAGAATATGAATATATATATATATATATAATTGTGCATTAACATGCCAATGACAGTGAAGCTATGGAAAATAGATCCTCCCTGAGCTGGGGCGTCCAAATGTCGCCCCCTCCAGCTCCATGGAAGGTTAACACAAAACCTGTTGGCACTCAAGGCTCCACAGACCTGATCCTTGCTGGCGTGCTTGCTTGCTTTCTTGTGTGCGAGTTTGCTTTCTTGCTTGCTTCTTGCTTGCTGTTGACCCCCCTGCAAAAAGTTGTCAACTTTGTGGGGGTTTAGTAAAAAACCAAACTTGATTTCAACCAAAAAGTTAAAGTCTAAAGATCCGTTGCCCAGTAACAGTCAAGGCTTGCTCGCTTCTCCGGTGGAGTTCGCTTGCCGATTTGTTCACGGCAAGCGAACGCGGAAAGGGTCAAGGGCATCGTCCTGCGAGAGCCGGATGCGAGCATCATTGTTCTCCTCGACCTTACCCTTGGTGTGGCCCACGCATTGCACCTCAGGCCGATTCGGACCTGGACCTCTGTCCACAAAAAACTTGTTCAGAGTCTGGCTCATGCTTGGTCTACCCTCAGATGTGCAATATGAGGGCTTGTCTCAAAATGGTGGAACCCCCAAAATGGGTCGTTTCCTACTGGAAATCAACCAAAAAGGGATACCCCCAACAAAGAGACGCGCCCGCTAGAGAGGACGGGCTGTCCCTTGCAATCCCCGAACTGGAAGTCGAAAGGCCAGGAAGGGAAGCCCGAGTGGATAAGGTTGGGGGCTGGGGGTTGCTTTGCTTTGTGTTCAGTTTTGCGGGGACACTTACCTGAGGAGACTGGAACAACAACATCGGCTGAAACATGTCCTTTTTTTTTTCTTCTTTTTTCGGGGGGGGGGGGGGGCGTTGCGCCCTTTTGGGCGGGAACATAGGTAAACCAACTCCTGCTTGGGGACCTGATTTGCTGTTGCTGTGTTGGCAAAATACATCAGTCGCAACAAAGTAATGGAAAGCTTTCTTCGTGTTCTGGTCCCCGGTGAGCGATTGAGGCGAGCAAATAATGGACAGTTCTTTCCAACCTCATGAATCAACACCTTGCCCAAATTCTTCGAGCAGCCACAGTCAGCCAGCAAGAACAAAGGTATAACTCACAACTGAAAGGATGCGTGCGACTCTTGACTTAGGCCCCCTGCAGCAAGTTAACTGTTTGTTGGCAACAGGTAAACTACGGGCACCAAGGAAAATGTTTGAACAGGCAAGCACTGATTCATGTTGGTTAGCACCTTTGTGCAACACCCAACTGCCAAGGCGCTACGAAGTTCGGAAAGGCCTGCCAGCAAGGCGGCAGGGCAACACATGCAAGATCCTATCTAGGACATGTCGAATGGGTTTGCTTTTGAAGGGGTTGATCAACGGTGGATCTCTGGGTTCTAAATGGCGGGGTCTGGGAAAAATGAAACCCCTATACTATACTTATTCTGCTCCTCTTGGTGTTCTTCTGCGGCAAATAAACAAGACCAAAGACCAGGAAATCAAAAGCAACACCCCTCAAACGAATCACCAACTCCCATGTGGCCTTCCACACACGGTTTGGCCCTCAGACTCTGGACGTCGAAGACTTTTTTGGCAAAGAGCCCTGCAGGTCCAGATCGTGATTGTTGGTGTTGCAGGGCAAGCTTGTCCAAAAGGGCTATTTACCAATCTCCAAAGAATAGGGACCAACAATTAAATAACAAAAAGAACAGGACAAATATCTCCCAAGAAAACAAAGGAACACAGGAAGAAGGGCCAAACATTGCACACCAAAAGAACAAATCAATGAAACAGTGCTTCCGCAACTGCGTGCATGGGCATCTCAGATGTGCTCCCTTGCTCCTAGCCTTATGATGAATAGGAACATGACCATTCATTGCTCAGTTGCTCACCTCCACTCCCAAACCCAGCCAATGGGATCACATGTCCGCTAAAACAGAGACCAACGGAAGCTGACCAGACATCCTCTTCCATTTGGTTCAGGCCCCAGGGAAAAAAACTATGTCTAGTAGTGATGAATTCGGTTTAAAACAAACCAGGAAGAAATTAATAATAACAACACAAATCTTAAGCAAATGGAGGTCCTCCAAGAAATGGCCAATAAACGGCAGCGTGTCCGTCAGAAAGGTCGCCTCTCCCCTTGGTTGCTGTTGAGCCCCCTGCAAAAAGTTCAACTTTTTGGGGGTTTAGCGGAAAACCCAACTTGATTTCAACAAAAAAGTTAAAGTCTAAGGGTCCAACCCAGCAGTCAAGTCCCAAGCAAACAGCTCCCAGCGCCGTGTTTGCGCTTCCGTCCGCCTTCAGGGCCTCCGCGAGGTGCGGCACGGCCAGAGCCGAGCTGAGCTGCAGCTCTGTCGTGTTGGGCCTTAGGCCCCAGAAGCCACTTGTGCTGAAAATTAAACAGGGGTTGCGCAGTTCCATGTTTCCACGGGTTCCATGTGGTACCGGTTTTTTGAGCCACAGCCATTTGTCGTGTTTTGGGCTTTTGGGGGATGGCCGTGGGGATGACCCTAGACTCTTGTTTCGGTAGTCACTCCTTTTAGAAGGGTTGCCGTTGTTCCGTTTCTCTCTCTCTGCCGTTGCGTCCAGAGCGTCTTGACTCAGCAAGGAAACAAAAAAGGTGCCCACTGATAGTCAACATTCTAGGACAGCCCGGGCAGAAGTCACTCCTTTCAAAAGGGTTGCCGGGACTAGCCTGATAAACTCTAGGCATCTTTCTTGCTTGAAATCACTGACTCAGATCAGCAACCGGGGGGGGTCCTTGCAGCCTAACGATTTGGGCCTGATTTGGGGACGGACCAAGCGCTGTGAGCTTCCCATGGCCGCTCTTGAGATAAACATCTAATGACCTACCTAGAGTCTCCATGACCCTTACAAAATGGGTCCATGACCCCTCAATTTTGGGTAATGCCTTTTTTTTAAGAGTCTCCAACACTCCAGGTATCCATAGACTAGGGTTTCATACCCAGGCAACCAGACCCGGCCCGAAAACCCCTTTCTGCTTCGCAGCGGCTGGAACTTCAGCCCGTTCTCCGCAGCTTGCATCAGCAGCTCCTGCAGCCTCACGGGGTTCACCCAGAGACGCGGTCGTTGAGGCGCTGGAGTGTCGGTACTCATTCACTCCAAGAGTCCCCGAAACTGATAGTAGACTCCCAAGAATCATGTCAGTTGCCTTCCATTTGCGTTGTTCGTCCCCTGCAACCAAAAAGACAACATGTAGGAGTGATAGATTCCCCTTGAAACCAAGAGGGAACATAAAACAAAACCACTAGCAAATGAAAGTTACTCATCCATCTTCCTGGACATTTCGATTTGGAAGGACCCCTTTGTTGGTAAACCTGCAAAGTAACATGATCAGATTGAGGAGTGAAATAGCGCTGCGGCGCTGCGCCGGTCAAAAGAGAGCCATGCCGTAGCAAGTCTGAAGCATAGCCACTTCCAGCTGAATTCTTCCAGCTGAAAGACCCCAACGAATAGTTCCACGACACGGATGTCCACCGTTGCCGAAATCACGTCAGTCGAGGGCCAAGGGCAAGCAACATTTGTTGTACGAGGTGCTACCTGAATCAACTAGCCTGTTGAATCACCCAGCTTTCGGGTACGTGGTAAAACATGGTTGTAACCTACTTACAACCATGGACAGTGGGTGACGTCCACGGTTCTTAACCACTTGCCGACATACGCTGCCCCTCCAAAGGGAACCCCCCGACTCTTTTATTCCCATCCTACTACGGGGTGTCACCATGTTTCACCCACAAAAGTGATCCGGATTCCCATAAAAACAGGCCACCCCAAACGAACCTCCTGTCCAAATGGAACCTGACTGAGGGGTTCTGGACCTCATTTTCCTTTCAAAGCGCCCCCGAGGTCCCATGTTCGTGCACCAGTGGGTAAGGGTCCCCCAATTTTGCTTTCCTCGAATTTGTGGTTTGGATATTCCCCCCCCAACTTTCTGGTGCGATTGACACAAAAATGAGAAACCAATAAACAAACATCCAGCGGGTAGTTTCCTTTAAAGGGCCCAGGTTCCTTCCGACGCAAGTCAACTCCCGGCACCGCCTGAGCTGCTCTTCCCAGGGCGCGGCCTCGAAAAGACCCGCGAGGGGCCGATCATTTTGGCCACTCCCGTATGATGGACACTGACTGAAGGTCGATTTTGCAACCTCCTGTGCAACCCAGAGGGTCCAAGTACCTCCCGAGGATGGCTTTTGGGGGGTAAAAAGGTCCTTAGAAGGTACTTGGACCCTCTGGGCAAGGTACGCAAACAAACAAACAAACAAACAGAGGGACGGAAGGACGGAGGGACGGTCGGACGGACGGACGAAACAAACAAACAAGCAAACAAACAACAAACCACCAAACAAAACATATATGGCGGACGATCCATGTTTGGTCTGCGAACCTTCATTCACTCCAACAGGTGCAGGCTGTTGTGCATCCACAGTAAACTCGAAAATTGAAAGGGATCCCCCAGGTGTTCTTCCAAACGTGGGCCGAATTCTTCAGCCTTTCATTCAATTGGGCGTGTGCTTTTGAGGGCACCCTTGTTGGGATGGCTTGAATGGGGAACCAAAGGGGAAGCTGAAATTTAGGGGGTCCCAATCCCCATCTTTGACACATTCCCAACTCAGCCCGTCACCGTTTGGGCCGGAACCGGCTGGCACGGCAGTTTCTCCTCTTCATCGTCCACGGCCTCAGGCCGTCCGCTGGCGGGGATCCAACAACTATGTCGATAAATAGGGGACGCTTGCAAAATGGTTGTCCTTTTGGTTCCTTTAACTCCCCCCCCAACAAAATGTTGCGTTGCGGTTTCACCCTCCAAACCACCCTTCAGAGGCAATTTTGAAGATGTGACTGAAGATGACATGTTCCTTCCAGTAGTGATAATCCCCCGTAAAACCAAAAGGGGGATGATATAAAATATGCTTTGCAGCAACTGGAAGACAATGTGTCCCATGGCAACCATGAGGTGCCTCCTGATTTCAGGTTAAGGGATCAATGGCAAGTGGGCTCCTTGGGAAAGGCAAGTGGCATTATGTTACGGTAATCTATGAACTCTCAGGGAGGAAATTGAGATGGCCAGCATGAAAACTTCTTCGCTGCCTGTGCCGAGCGCGTATCTGCTACCGTTGCATATTTTCGTGTTGCGCCTTTCACTGGTTGTTCCGACGTTTGTTTGGTATGTGTCCCTTGGAGTTAAGTAGCTCAGTGCTTCCTCAAGCGTAAGCAGCGCCCCCCAAAAGACAAACAACAATAGCGCGTAGTTCGCCATGGGAGCTGCTTGGCCTGGCTTCCCGAAGGGTTGGTCTACTTCTAGCCATGGTTACCATGGCTAAAGCTTCACCTTTGCTTCACATTGGTTGTTTGGTGGGTCTGGCATTGGGTGGTTTACACCTTTGCACCAAGTGGGGTCCAGCTTAGCCCTCCCAGAAAACATGGGCGTGGTATTGGGGCAAGCCGAAAGGAAACCAACCATTTCAGTTTCTCATGGAGGCTAACTCCGAGGGTGCCAAATGCTACTCACATTCCACGGGCAAATCACTTGGCAGCTCGAACCAGGGATCAACCAGCTAAGTTACCTAGGATTGCAAGTGAAACAAGGGATTTGTTTAAAGGGTGTGGACCGTGACCCCTCTCTGTTCCTTGACTGGGGGTTCGGGGTGCTGCGCCATCCCGCGATGAGCCGCAAAACCGCTGAAATCACGCGCCCCAGAACAGTGAAGCCTTCTCAAATCATGATTTCTTCAGAAATGTGCTTTTCTATGTGCTGAGAAGAGCAGATGTGTTGTTCTATCCTGTCGGCTTTAAGGGAATCTAGCACTACTCTGCTGTTTCCCCGCCCGACAGGTTTGGGGTTGCTACGTATTTGAGTAGGTCTCCTCAACCCCCAAGAACCCGGGGTTGAAATCCCACCAGGCTCCAAACCACCTAACTTTAGCTCACTTGCTGAGTGGATGGCCCAAAAAAAGTCCAAACTGTACATTTAGAACTAAAATGGTCTTCCCCAAAAGGTTTAAAGTTCATGAACTGGGTCCAAATCCTGAAAAAAAAAAAAGAAAACCGGGAGCCCCTGCCACACGGATGCTGGTGCCCAGGCCCGGCTCGCAGCCTGCCCGGCTAGTCCCGACTGGGGATGTCCCAAGTTTGCCGCCCGAGTTTTGGTGAGTCACCGTTTTTCGAGGTTTAACCCCCCTTGAGAGGGTGTTTCAGCAGTTTACTAGGTCCTCCAGATTTGAGAAGTTCGAATAAGGGCACCAACTTTTTTCTGTAGTCTATTTTAGTAGGAGAACCCTCCCCCAAAAAAGGCTACTGGGGGACCTAGTTTAGAGGATCAGTGTAGGGGGAAAAACCCGTTAAGCCAGTGACCCACTCAAAGCTGCCACAAGTGAGTTGCCGGTTTTTTAGTGGTTTACGCCCCGAAGCAGAAACTCACTTGTCCCCCTGACATGGGCAACGGTAAACAACTTGCAGAGGGCTTCCCAACAGGTCGCTCGATCTGGGCGCGATTCGACTCGAATCGCCTCTCCCGAAGCAGCGGATGCGGTTGCTGGCGCCCGCCTGGATGACCCCGGATTTTGCGCAGCGGGCAAAGTGAGTCCAAAGGCATGCGTCATCCAAATGTCAGGGCTGAAGGGGCAAGATTGGATTGTTCGGTTTGCAAAGTTTGAAAGGCGTCCCTTGCGAAAACATAAAGGCTTCCCTCTTAAATGGGAACCCCCCCCTGTTCAACCAAGCAATGACTTTTCCACGGCCCTCGCGCAGCGGAAACTCAAGCCTTGCGCAGCTCCAGCTTGAAGGCCTCCGCTCGTAGCTGCGACCTTCGGGTTTCGGGGCTGGCGCGGGGATGGATCCCCCCATTTGCAGTAGAGAAGAATGGGTTCAAATCCAACTGGTGGGTACCCAAAGCCCAAATTGATCCTGTTTTTGCTGCTGCGTTTTTTGGGGAGACCCCCATGTATTCCACAAAAAAAATCCGGAGGTCTAGGCGGACTTCCTTATTTCTTTCCTAAAAACGTGAAGATCTTGCACACATGCCGAAATGCTTGCAGTTGCGGAAGGTGCCGTGTTGGTGCCGAAAAGACCTGAAGCAACTGTTGCCCATGCAAATGATGTCCACGAAAGGATCCCCCAGCAAGCTTCAGAGTGGGCAGGGAAAAAATTGCGGAGTAGGTACCCCATTCACTTACAGGAACCAAGGGTGCTCATGCCTCACAATGCCAAACCAATCCACCAATTTGGGCGCCCCCCAATGTGCATTCACTTAGACGAAGCAAGGGTGCTCCTATTGCCAAACCAATCCCAAACCCAATTTGGTCACGTGCAAATGGCAAAGCTCCATTTCTTTTTTTGTTCAATAGCCGAGAGCGAGGAAAGAAAGTTTGGTCATGGGCAAATGGCAAAGGAAAGGTACTTTTTTCTGTAGTCTATTTTAGTAGGGGAACCCTCCTCCAAAAACGAAACGGTAAAAGGGCACTACTGGGGGACTTAGTTGAAGTGGGCGGTCGAGATCAGTTACTTCTTTCCGCTGGGTGCCCCTTGCAGGCGTTGCTTCGCATCGCCGGTGTCGCCAGGCTGACCTGGGGAAGTCTCGCGCTTCGATCCGGGACGCCTGCCGAGCCTCTGGTCGGCGCGGAGGACAAACGGGAGTTCGGAGGTTTCAAGGGTTTGGGGGGTGGAAGTGTGGAGGATTGGTGGGGGTCGGGTTGAGGTTGCATGAGGGGCTTGGAGACTTGAAGACTTGACGCCTGTCAACGCGCGTTTGGGGTAACTACCCGCCAGCGAAAAGGGAACACGGGTAAAAGTCATTGAGCGCAGCAAATAATCCTCAGGCGAACAACCCATTTGGTGGAGCACGCGAATCATGTTATCTTGAGGTTTACCATGTGCATTGCGGATTCCACCAAGTAAAGCAAACAACAGGCACAGCACATAACCCGTCTAGGTGGGTGCGCGGGAGAATGTGGGAAGCCAAGTGCAACAGCGGATCTATAAGCATATTTAAAACAACAAACACTCGCATGGAACCTCAAATAACAACTGGTGAGAATAAAGAGATCTCTGATGGATTTTCCATGTTTTGTTGCAACATATTGGATTGGCCAATCCACAGCCACTCTCAAACCGCAAGACGTTCTCCTCGTGCCTTTGACCGGAGTGTACATGTCATGTTTCAAGTGCTTCCGACAAACAGCATCAAGCATGGGTTGGTTTAGGGGCCAGCATCATACAGCTTCAGTCATCCCAACAAGTGCCTGGCGCGGATTTGGTTCATCCACACCATAGGGACCCATTTGCCAAATCAAAGATGATCACCTCTTGGGTCCACTAAAAAGATCCAAATCAAAGATCATCCACGTTTTGAGGCCGCTCAGAATGGGAACCCGTCAATTCAGGAAATATGTTTTGTGCGGTTTCAGATCCGATCCATTCGCTTGAGGGCATGGAGAACGCGTTCATGTGCCCGCCTTTGGCGTGGCCCTCGATGCGCATGGGCAGGTCTGGAAAGGCTTCGAAGATGCCGACCTTACAGATCTGCCGAAAGATCTGAAGGCAGAACTCCCGTCATGCGGGGTGTGTCTTCTTTTTCGGGGCCACGAATTGTGGCTTTTCTTTTGGTTTGCCTGTACAGATGGCGGAAATCACGCTGAACCAACCAGGGGAACTCAAACTCCTTCATTTCAGCAAATGGACAATCTCCAATAGATTCCAAAAAGCCCATATGGGCAGACACCAATGTGGACAAAGTCAAACACTGTCTAAACTTGCTTACCACTGTTCCCCTCTTGCCGGGTTCTCACTACGGTGGAGACCCCCTGCCCTATAATATGCGAAGCCAAGCATGCAAAAGGAACCCCAAAACCCAAAATCACAACTCGGCAATTCCTCGACCCCCCCGACTTGCAATGCTTTCTCGGTTGCAAAATCTGCTCCCCTGCTAAAAGTTTGACTTTTAGTGGTTTAATGGAACAAAAACAACATTAGTTGGCAAAAAATTAAAGTCCTAACATCCAAGCAAAATGCACCAAAGATTTAGTGCACCCATCGTTCACCCCGAAGATGGTTCTGACAAAGGACCTTGGTGGAAGGATAACGTTCTGGTGCCAAAAGCGAAGGGTCATATCTCGCCTTATTCTCTTTGCCCGGTGACAAGGGGGTCCCGGAAGACAAGCTTTCTGAAGGGATTTTCTGGGTTACATGGCAACGTTGGTACTGGCAAGAAGGGTGAGACCCAAAAAAAAAGTCCTTGCCAAAGGCCAATTACCAACCTGACGTTCGGGAAATGGTCCCTTCAAAAGTAAAATGGTCTAAACCAGGACTCTTCCCTGTCTCACATGTTAATTAGTGGGAGGGTACTGTGTCTAGGTCCTCCAGATTTGAGAGGTTATAGAATCAGGATACCCTTTTTCTGTAGTCTATTTTAGTAGGGTTCGGAACCCTCCCCCAACAAACAAACGGTGCACCCAGCTGGGGGCCCTAGGTGTTTTATGCCAGCCGGGGCCCGTTTCTGCGTGTCCGGAAGACAGAAGGCACGAGACTGGGCTGCGGGCCAGCTTCTGCACCACTTCCGCCTCGGGCGTTGCTCGAATCGGAAAAAAACGCGGCGGTGAACAAACCGAAGACGTGGCCCGGAAAACTTCCATTTGCTTAAGCCCCCTGGAAAAAATGAAAATATTTCCAGTGTGAAAAATTCCTTTTGAAACCAACAAGGACAAATATAATAATAATGATAACAATAATAGTGAAAACTTAAGCAAATGGAAGAAAAAACAAGTAAACCGCCACTCCTGCAGCAAACCCCAAACAGCGTTGCTCTGGGAAAAACCGAGGCGGTGAAAAGGCGACGAGGCCCAGAAATTCGGAGGGACTGAGAGGGTCGACTGGGCTGGACGCTTGGCCTCTGGACTTGATTGCAGCTATAGGCTTGGAGCCTAAGCTGTCAACTGCTCGTGGGGTGCAGACCGGAGGAAACAAGGCCCAATCTGTGTTCGTGGCACCCCCTCTTTCCCCATTCGCTTCCTGTCCGGAGTCCTTTTTGAGAAAGTAACAACGAGAAAAAAGAAAAAACAAAACTTCGCTTAGTGGTGGGTTCCGTGGCGCAAGGCTTGCCACCCTGGAGTTGCGTTGTACCATATGCCCCTGGCGGATGTTGCAGTTGCTCTAAGTCAGCCAATGTCCAGCAAACGATAGCCATCTGAGTGCTCGAAACCACAAATCTCCGTCTGCCCCATGCCGAGTTGCGCAGGATTGGGGCACCTCCGCGAGTCAATCGAGCGCCGTTGCATTGGGGGGAAGTGCAATGTATGTAGCGGTTTCGGAACCAACACAACTTGGCCCAAATCTGGGGTACACAGAAACAACATGATGGACATGGTCAAAAAATGTACACTTTTTCACCCTGTCCCTTCGAATATCCTTGTTGCCCCGTGGGCTCTCTGTACTAATACGCAACCATATCCAGAAATGATCCCCCACAAGTGCCACTGGACACGTGGTGAATCCGGTCAGCCCCGAACGAAACAAACGCGAAAAGCACAGGGGTAAAATTGAGTTGGCCCCCCAAGTGATTGCTGGATATGAGGGATGTTGCCAACCCCCCCTCCCGAGCCAAAAGCACCCAAACATATTGTCAGTGACTCACCTCCCACAGCACGTCATCTTCCTGGAGTCTTGGTTGCTGTTGACCCCCCTGCAAAAGTTTAGTTTTTTTTGGGTTTAGTGGAAAACCCATTGATTTCCCCAAAAAGTTAAAGTCTAAAGATCCAACCAGTAGCAGTCAAGGAGTTAAACTGCGAGCCTCCATCCCGGGCGCCCCCCCAGTTCCAAAGCCGCTAGCAACTAAGGCCTGTGAGCTTGCCTTTTTTGTTGGGGCTTCCCCCCCCTATGGGCCCCTAACGCAAATCTTCCAAATGCCCCACATGTTGGTCAGTGATGCTTCAGTGACCTTTTCCTACGGCTTAGCCAAAACCTCTGGATCTGCGCTGCCCATTCACTCCGGCAGAACAAGAAAAACCCTTGCAGATTGACCAATTGTAGGGAACCCACTACTTACGGGGAAAAAGGCTTCACCGAACAGCCGGACCCAACACAAAAGAGCCAAAGAAGCCACCAACCTGTGGAGAATAGCGAAGATACGTTGGTAGAAATTGTCACCAGAATAAAACGGCCGCAATGTGGAATTGCACAAACAAGAAGGAAAAAAAGGCACCGCTCGTCTTTTTCTTATGGTTGCCCTTGGGCACACGAGAAAACATATGGGTGTGTCATGGTGTGTCTTGTGTCAATATTTTGGTGGTTTTAAAGAGAAATCGGTCCAACCTAGAAAAAGACAGACCCTACCATGGCCGCTATTGATCCCACTCAGCCTGGTAGGAGTTGGAGTCGAACTTTACGCCGGCGTCCTGACGCCAACCCAAGTGGTGTTCCTTGATGCAACCTTAATGCCTAAGCAATAAAACCCTGGCGACTTGTGGAATTGCACACTTGCGCGTTAGGGACCTAGAAATAGGTGATCATCTTTGGGGGCCGCTACAAATGGAAACCAAATGCTCAAAAGCTGGATTCGATTTAGGGCAAGCGAGTTTCAAGGCTACGCCACAAAAAACCAGCGACACAACCCAGGGGAACCCCAGCATCACTCCTGCAATGCAACTGGAGTAGCGGTTTGCTGGCATCACAGAAGCGGCCCCGAATTCCCACAACAGGGGTCCTACCCCACCTGAAGGAAACTCACTTTGGTCCAAAAGGTGTTCGAATCCCAAAACATAGACAGATAGATAGACAGATACATAGATAGATATGATAGATAGATAGATAGAAAGATAGAATAACTATATATATATATAGGCAGATAGCAAGATAGAAAGAAAGGTAAATAAATAGATAGATAGATATAGATATATAGATTGGTAAACGTATATATATATATATACGTGCACTCATGTTATAACGGGCCTTGTCCTTTTTGAGAAACAACAGACCTAGAGTCGAAGACGTACATGGGGCAGTCCCTTAGTTTGCCTTTCAACCCAACATAAATAATGCACCCTAACAAAAAGGACGAGGCGCCCATACTCAGTCGCCCAAAGGACCCACAAAAGGTGATCACCGTTCCGGGTCACCAAAAATGGATAGAAAGGGAAAGCCAACAAGTCCAACAGTCAAAAGGTCCATTCGCCCTGGTTGAAAACTGAGATCATCTGGATCCACGTTGTACCGCCCCTTGGCTCCAACAAATCCACACGGCTCCGCGGAGCCCAAGGCTCGGCTGGGTTCGTTCGCCTGGAAGACCTGCGCCAGCATCTGGTTCGCCTTCTCCCGGCGCTCGTCCAAGAGGTCCGAGGCCACCTGCGAAACCACAGGTAGACGGAAATGGCAGGGTACTGGGAAGCCATGAGGGGGGGTTCTAAAAATGAAGGAGAAATTCCTGGCCTACCTGAATAGCGGGTATGGGGTACCTGGAAAACCACAAAGGGGTTGAAGGGGAATTCCTTTAACTTACGCTGGGGGGGAAGGCGGGTGGAGTGAAGGTCCAACCAATTGATGATCGCCTCAAGGAAAAAGGAAGGACATATGCCGGGTGTCATCCGTTCCTCTTTTAGGGGAGTGGGGGAGGCGCCTTCCTTTTCCAGTGAGGAAATTGACCAAAGGACAATCGGCCCCAAACTAAAGTCACGCAACAAGCCATTTGACAGCCGTTGGGGGCCCTGGTTCAGGTGGCTCGGTTTGGGGGGTCCACAGCCTAAAACCAAACTGGCAGCATGAACTCCTGGCAGCTCCTGCCATGAACCTCAGGCGAATGGGCTTCACTGGGGAATCTTGTGGCAAAGAACAAACAAGCTGCTCACTGGCCCCGGCACCCAAAAAACAACAAATCAATTTGAAGCCCTTTGTATTGAATGCGTAGCTTTGGGAAATGGTTTTTGCAGAAGTATAGACTGTATAAACTCCAGAAGTAAGGCCTCCATGTTCTTAAACTTCAAAATCAAAACCAAACTTGTGGGAAATGCGGGTTGTCCTCCTCCAGTCCGCCCCAAACCTAGTAGACTCGGAGAGCCCAAGGGACGAAATAACCCGGCGTCGCGCGCGACGCGCGCGCGGCGCGCGACGCGGGGCGCACGCGGCTCGGCGCGGCCTCCGCGCGCATGGCGAGGCCTGGCCCGGTGCCGCGGGAGCAGCCGGCGCCCGAGGCGCTGAGCCGCTGCGGCACGCGGCGCTTCTGCAGCTCCTGGCACCAGAGCTCCTGGGCGCCGAGGGGGGGTCGTTTCTGGAAGGTTGGTTGGGGTGGAACGGGGGTGGAATTGGAGTTGGGTGAAGGCTGGTTGGGGTGGGTATTGTTTTTGGAAGGTTGGTTGGGGTGGAACGGGGGTGGAACATGGTGGAATTGGTTGGAGTTAGGCTGGGGTTGGCTTTGGGGAGGGGTGGTGGTTGGGAATTGGCTGGAGTTCTGGGTGGAAGGTTGGAAGCGGGGTGGAACGTGGTGGATTTGGTTGGGGTTGTGAAACGGGTTGGGTGGGTGGGGTGGGTGGGGGTGGCTGGCTGCGGGGCTCCCTAGATTTCCCAATTTCTCGCCCAGGAAACGCAACTCGAAGTGGCCTTAAAGGTAATGTTGAAAGCCACCCTTGAAGGGGAAATTTTGGGAGCTCTGGCATGGGTGTTCTTTTTTCCTTGGGGGGGGGGGGGGGTAGGCGGCTCCGCACTAAATTCAACTTTGGATTTGAGCGCGGCTTGGCGGTGAGGAGCGGCTGTTGCCACGAAGGATTGGATAATGAGCATTTCTTTCAGGATTGGTAGGGGGAAGGTGGATACTGGAGCCTCCAACTGGGGTGTTTCAGGGTTCCCTCAAACATGGGACACCCTCCTACTTGAGAGAGGGTAACCCAAGCTAGAAGTGCCGACGCTGCTGCTCTTCATCAGCCTGCTTTAGACAAGTCCTCTTCGATGGAAAAGTGTGTTTGGGCAAGGTGTATCAGCAGAAGGGAAGCCAGTCCAGCCTGCACAAACAAGGAAGGCAAGTCTGTGGAAAACGGGCCGCTTTGCATGCGCCCTAACAGTGTGTGTGACGACAGCAAATGGGAAAGCAGCCTAGCCCGGCCAGCAATCGAACTGCCTCGAGTCCCCACTATCTTGCCACCCCTGCTCGCCAGGCAGAAACTTTGAGCTCCTCTTCGAGGCAAGCATTACACCAAGGGCGAAACTCCGAGACCCCAAGTCATGAAACCAGCTGCAAGGAAAAATGGAGGAAGTTAGGCAAACGAACCCAGAGAAGCCAAGCAGCTGCGCGGCGTCTGGTGAGCTTGTGCTTGGCTTCCTTGGCTCGCCAGGGATTGCAGGGGGGGGGGGCTGCAAGCAAGTTTGAGCTTGCATTTTGCAACTAAAACGACCAACCAACCAACCAACCAACCAACCAGCCAACCAGCCAGCCAGCCAGCCAGCCAGCCAGCCAGCCAGCCAGCCAGCCAACCAGCCACCTGACCGGGTTAACCAGGAACAAAAACAATCCACAGCGAGTGAGATCTCAAAATTGCACCAAGTTAAGCGGTGACAGCCTATGCGTTCAACATCAGAAGGGTACCACTCAAAATGCATCCGCGTGTACACACACACATAGAGACATATGTGTGTGTATACATCTAGACACATAGAGACATAAGTGCATATGTTGGCCCGCTTTTGCAGAATTAATTCTCGCAACCGCAAGGATGGCAGAAAGGACAAGGCATGACTCTTTTGACCTAGAATGGTACCCGTGCAGTAGGACACCTACAAAGGGGGGCCATTTCCACCAACCTCGCGTTTAAGGATGTTTTTGACGATAGCACTGCGGCAAGCCTAGCAACACAGACTTACTGCCTTTCCAGCAAGGTTGTGCCTGTTGACGCCCGTTTCCCATAGGTAGCCCCCCTGAAAAGGGCTTCACTCGCCAGGGTTGCAAGACCCAAAACGCGGTGGCTCGCTTGCTTGAGGCGAACATGGCCAGTTTCTCCCCAAGCCCAGAGAGGCGGTCCTAGTGGGCCAACACCCCAAAGCCGGCTACTCAACAAACGTCATGAAGGGGGCTCGACTTCTCCAAATTGGGTATCTAACTCCTTTTTCGCCAACATACAGCACTGTCCACGGCGAGCCAACTTGGGTGCGCCAAAAACAATATGTTGAGACTCTGTGACACATTTCGCCAACCCCCAACCAGGGTCCCTTGTACACCCAAAAGAACAAACTCGTTCAAATGCATCCCCCAACGCCTTTTCGATCCAGCATTTCGACCCTTTGGCCTTCAAAGCAAACAGGTCTTTGGGGATTGCACATACCATTTTTGCGGCTGGCAAAACTGCCAGCCTTCAGACTTACTACAAGTCAGCAGCACTTCAGGGATTCTGACGAAAAAATTGGAGGAGACGCCAGGCAAAGCCATTCCTCACTTGCTGAAAGGACCTGCGCAGAAAAGGTGATCATCTTCGGGGGCCACTGGCAATGGTTGCTAAACAGGGAAGACCGAAACGTCGGATCTAGTCGATTCGCTTTGCTCGCAAGTGAGTGTGTCTTTTGTCCTTTTCGTGTCCCTTTAAAAGACCAACCCGAACAACAGGAAGCTTCCAGAGCCTTGTAGGAATACAGCCGAAACGTATGTGTTGCCCGCGACCGCCCGGAAGCGGGTCCCCGAGACCTTCAAAAAGTGTGGCAGGCGCAGCAAAACCGCACTTCCGAGCCCCCCGGGCCCGAAGCCAAGTATTCCTACCCACAAAACATTCGTGTCGCCCACAAGGTCTTATTGTGCTGTATGATAGTGCTGGCAGGTTTAGGGTTTTTAGGGTTTAGGTTTTGGGGTTGTAGGGTTTAGTTTAGAGTTTTCAGGGTTTTTATGGTTTTTAGTGCTTGTTTTTAGGGTTTAGGTTTAGGGTTTTTAGGGTTTAGGTTTAGGGTTTTTAGGGTTTAGGTTTAGGGTTTCTAGGGTTTAGGTTTGCTTGGAGCTGGCTGTCCGGCGCATCCGAGGCTGGCTTTTCTGGTTTATGTTAAGGGTTGTGTTGATGATAGCAGCATATACTGCTTTCTGAGGGAGAGTACTCCCCAAAAAACGTGTTTTTGTTCACGGGACACACAAAAATGGTGGTTTCCTTTTGGCGTCCCTTGAAAGACCAACCCTTCAACAGCTCCGCGGAAAAAAACGCGGCAGCCGCTCGCCGTGGCGCGGAATCCTCCTCCGGCAGGCCACGGGCGTGGGCCTCGCAGTGCACCGCCAGCGAAGAGGGAAAGGCGCGGAGCAGCGCTGCCACCGTCTCCAGCAAGTCTGCCGCATCTCTCATCTCTCTCTCTCTGTGCTTAAAGGGGCGATCGATTCGCTACGTCAGGCAAATGCCATTCTTCAATATAGGTATATGAATGTGTAGATATATAGATACATATATTAAAATATATATATATATATCGGTCTCTCTCTCTCTCTCTCTCTCTCTCTCTTTGCTGTTGCGTGAGGCTTGAAACAACCACTTACCATGGTTATAAGGCACCTAAGTAGGTTCTAGCCATGCAAAGCATTTACTAAGTACCCTGCCCCTTTAGGCATTGTTATCCGGGTCAAAACAGGCGCACCCTTGGCCAAAACAGTCATGCATGGACCACAACACTTAGGCATGGCCAGTAAAATCGTATTCTACAGCATTTTCTCGCGAAATTGACGTATTTTACACTAGCCCGTCAACATCGCCAGCATGGTTTTCAACATTCCCCCTCATGGCCGAACAACAGCATCACCAGCAAATCGTGGGTAAACAAATCTAAAAAGTAGCTGGCGCATTGACGGGTTTCAATCCCTGTCAAAATATGAGAAGTAGCGGGGGGGTTCGGGGGGGGCAGGGCCCCCCCCCCCCCCGCCCCCCAATGTTGTACCGCATTTTCTCGCGAAATCCATGATGTTTAAAGAAGTGATGATTCAAATGGGGGGTGCAATGAAATCTCTGTCCAAAAGCCCGGAAAGGAACTGAAAGCGGAGGATGCGAAAAGCGAAAACCACCAAAAGCCACATAAACCAACAAAAAGCCGAAAAGCCAAGAAGCCGAGAAGCCAAAAAGCCAAGAAGCCAAAAGCAACACAAAATATAGAAAAGAAAAGAAACACAAACAAAACCTAAAAAAAATACCCCTCAGTAGTTTATATAATTCTAATGGTACACTACTGGCACCACACAATGTACAGGATGCTCAGGATGTTCAGGCTGGCAAGCCTCATGGGTACAATCCGTTGTGTGACAGCGCGGCCCAATAGCAATGCTAGGATTTTATAGGACGCGTTGCCGGCTTGAGAAGGCGCGCGGCTCCTTCACAAACGTGCGTACACGGTGGAGCAGCCGATTCGATTGTTCTGAATTGACACCCCTGGCGAAGTCAAATTGCTCGCAGCCCAGTTGGGATAACCCCAAGATCAAAAGCATTTTTGGGGATTCGGCAAAAATTGCCTGAAACGGCAAATGTTCGGCGGGCAAACAGGAACAGCAAGAAGAGGCGCCAGGAAACCAACACTAAACCCTCCAAGAACCCGAAAATTCCCACGACAAGCACCAGCATTACTTCCGTATTGAACCACAACTGAATTCATGCTACTCCAATACTGGCCGGTTTACAACTGGAGTCAGGCCCGCGCCGTCTCCTAAAAAAACACGAACCACGAAGGGGCTACACATCACAGCCCATACGTTTAGGAGGAGAAGCATCAATACTTGTGGAGTTTAACAAGCAGAAGCAGCGGCAGCTGCGGCGCCAGCGGCACCAGCGGTGGCGACAGCAGCAACAACATCCTGATTGCACTTGTGATGGCAGAATCAATCAGAAGCAGCAGTCGTAGCAGCGGTGAACATAGTGGTGTGTTAAAGTGGTGTTCGAGGTGCGCGGTTACACAAAGAGCCCTTGCCAAGGCGTGCAGCATTGAATGCTGGTGACAAGGGTGGCCGCACTTTTGAATACCAGTAGAGCCGGCGAAGCCGGTGGGCAGAAGTTGTAAACATATATCAACACTATAGCTCTTTTCGTTATGTCTCTTTGTGTGTTTGCTATTATTATTTCTGTCCTGCTTTCCTTTCGCTGTTTCTTGCTCTCCGGCTTTCTTTCTTTCGTTCAGTATTTCTTGCATTTGTTTCTTCCTCTCTTCCTCTCTTCCTTTCTTTATTCCATTTTTCCGTTCTTCCTTTCTTCCTTTCGTTCTTTCTTCCTTACCTTGCGTCGTTCTTTCTTTCCTTCCTTCCTTTCTTTTTCCTTTCTTTATTTCTTCCTTACCTTGCGATGTTCTTTCTTTATTTCCTTCCTTCCGTCCTTCTTTCCTTTTTATTTCTTGTTGTCTTTCTGTCTTTCTTTCATTTCATTCTTTGTGTTTTCCTAACTTTGGTGTGTGTCTTGTCGTTTCCGTTCTTTGTTGTCTTTATTTCCATCGATATGCTCCTGCTTTCTTCCCATTTACGTATTGATCTAGGTGTCTATCAATCGATCTACCTATCTATCTACTATCTGTCAGTCTTTCTATATACCTATCTATCTATCAATCTACCTGTCAATCCATCTATCTTGCTGTTCCTTTGTCTATCCATCTGTCTATCTGTCTATCTGTCTATCTTTCTATCTGTCTGCCATCTCTCTAGCTATCTATCCATCCAACTAGCCATCTCTTTGTCTATCTATATATCTATCAACATATTTTCTCGTTCGCCCGTTCACTTCCCGCGGACAGGTGATTTTCAATAGTTTCTGTAGCACGGAAGTTCTTCTAAGCTTCCTTTCATGTACTGAGTGCTTAGGTCCTTACCTTCCAGGACCTCACGCATCCCGAACTTTCAGCACAAGCTGCCACCAGCAGCTGCCAGTCGAGAGTCCTTGCCAAGCTGCAAGCGACTCATCGCCAACAGAAACACATAGCCTCTTTGAGGATTGAAAATAGAAACTAGGCACTACTCTGAACCAGCTACGCAGCATTACGCAGCTATGCTGAGTTGCGGCCAAGAGGCCTGCTTCTCCTCCAACTTCCACCGCGTCACAAAGCTGGGCGCAAGGAGGTCTACGTCTGCGCCCTCCAGAAGGAAGGCCCGGCGGACCTGCACTATCTTCAACAATTCCACCTAGCTCTTGGCTTCCAATGGCAACGTCAAGCTGCTGCGATGGCACACGCAATGGCTTGGACGACCTCATCTACGAAAAACCCGGCAGCCACAAGATCCTCCTCTTCTAGGAGGAATGCTCAGCGGCTGCGTCAGGTCAAAACACTGGTCGGCCTGATGGGCGCGCGTGAACATACGCCAAACACGCAACAGTCACATTGCATGCGCATGCATTCTGCAACAGGCACACGTGAGAATCCCGCTGCACAAGTGCGGACTGCTTTTTTCGAACCTGGGATTCACAAGCTCAAGACCCCAAGTTGGAGGATTTGGGGGCTCCATGTCTCTCATCACACGCCGACCAAGCGTGGGACGGCCAGCCCGAACAAGCCCCGAGAGAAGCCAAGCTGCAGAGTCGCCCTGCATAGGGTCTCTCGCGGGCACTGGCTTTGACGCAGAAGCAGCCTGCATCAAGCAGATATCAAGCATCGGCCGACTCGGCTCGAGAAATACCGAGCTCAACCCCCAAAGGCTCAGAAGCCTAACGCGGCGAAAACTGACTCACAGAGGGCTGAAAAGGCTGTGCGAGTCGGTCTTTTCCGGTTGGCATGGTGTTGGGCTGGCTGAGCAAAATGGGCTGACAAAGGGCACTCTAGATTCTAGATTTGAACTTGAATGTTGGGGAGGTGTTGTTGGGATGTGCAGGCTGCTGGGCGCACACCTGATACGTAGTTGGGGCAGTTCCTGCGCAAAATCAACGCCAAGCCACACTTGAGGGGGCAGTGTCTGCGCTTCATACAATGTTGGGCGCTCGCGCCCTGCACACGACTAAAACTGCACACGATTAAAACACTATGAAATGACAGGAAGAGCGGACAATGGTCCACCAAAGCACGTTTCTGTGACATTCATGCAGGCACTATTTTTGCCCCGTTCTTCACCCGCGGATCAGGAACAAGCCACGCTGCAGTTCCCACCCCTGCCGCCAAGTCACTGGTGATTTTCTGGCCAGGACTAGCTAGGCACATCGTCTTCAAATGGCCATCTCTCAAGAGTGGTGAAGACTCCTTCCTCCCTGGCGCTGAAAGCGCTCGCAAGCACATGCAGAATAGTAAGAGAACCCGCAGAGAGGATTCAGCGACGAAAGCAAAAGCACAAGCAGGAAGTAGGTGGAGTGGAGGCAGTTGAGCGACGCAAGAGGAATTGACGAAATGAAAGCAAGCTTGAAGCGGGAACTCAACTCTCGACAGGTAGTGCCGTTTTCCAGGAAAATATCTTCTCCAAATTAAGTATGCACCATTGTTGGGCGCTGCTTGCCTTCACTTTTGGGCTTGCGCAGCCTGGCTGGCTCGATGCAAACTGAGGCTGGCTGCAACCTTCCTGGCAAACTTGACGTGCACATGTCTTGGACAGGCTGGGGTTGCACGGCTCCATGGCAAATGAAATATTGAAGTGTCTCATCGAGCTCTATCTCTTCATTAACTAGGCGGCTAGCCTCGCGTGTCTAGACCACTCCATCTGGCAGCACGGAAAATGTCAAGTACTGTCTTCGCTTTCATGTCCACCATCACTGCATAAATGTAGTTCTAACTCTCATTGTCTCTGTCTTTCAATACATAAGAGCTACTGGTGTCGTGGTAAGAAGCATCGTTCATTGAAAGGTCTTGCCACATTCTCGCTCAACTGCTTGTCTTCATGATTGCAATCAGTATTCGTGAATCTGTGTTGGAATTGACGCTTCAAATAGGGGTGCAGGCAAATCTCTGCAAAAAATCTAAACAGTAGCCAGGGCTGGGGGGGGGGGGGAGACCCCCCTGATGTTTTAAGAAATGATGATTCAAATAGGGGTGCAATTAGAACTCTGTAAAAGATCTAAAAAGTAGCGGGTGGGTTCGGGGAGGGGGGGGGGGGGCAGCCCCCCCCATGCTGTTCGAAAAGGTGATGATTCAACTAGGGTGCAAAGATTCAAGAAAGGGTGCGATATAAGATAAAAAGCAGCGGGGGGGTTGGGGAGGTGGCTTCCCTATGATGTTCAAAGAAGCGCATACAGTACATACAGACATACGTACATGCAGACATACATGAACATAAATATAAAGAACACTTGCCGGAGAGGAACTGGTGACGCTGAGGATGTGGGAAGCCAAAGCCAAAAGCCAATGAAAGGGTGCAAAAGACAAAAAGCCCGGAGTCGGAGAGGAACTGGGAAAGCAGAGGATGCGAAAAGCGAAAGCCACCAAAAGCCGCATAAACCAGCGAAAAGCCGCCGAAGCCAAAACGCCACCTGCCGGAGAGGAACTGGGAATGCGAAGGATGCGAACCCAAAGCCAATGCCAAAAAGCCACCAAAAGCTGCATAAACGCATAAACCAACAAGAAAAAAGCCAAGAAGCAAAAGGGGGGAAAAAAACGGGAAACAAAAGGAAACCTACTCTCCAACGGAAGTTTGACCACTTGCTAAGTGCGGTGGCCTTTGGGGTTCTGTTTGCGGGACCTTAGGCACATGTGGCTTTGACGTCGACGGGATGAAGAAATGGAGTTGTCAAAAGTTGCTCAATTCACATTGATCGGTGGATCAAGAAGTCAGGGCCTGGAAAAGAGAGTCAGGCACATGCAACTGCAAGCAAATGTGGGGGCTCCCTACCTTCTCCAAGTAACCGACAAAATTCAAGCTCATCCCGCCACTGCACTGGGCGAGCCTTCCCGGAAATGTATGAAGGGGTGTTGCAAGGGTAGGGTTGACAGTTATGCGCATCAGCCCCGTGTCATGCTGGACTGTTCCAAGCTTGCCGATTGGGTGGTGAGTGTCCTCCCCCTGCTGGGAGGTCCTTGGCCCATTCCACATCCAAGTCATGGGATTCATCCAACTACTACGGCAGCTTCCTCTTGCCAGGGCGGGGTGGTATACAAAACTGCCCACAAATCGCCTGCAGCAGACTCGGGGATGGCGGCGTGGTTCCTGACGATGCCCAGTGACCCTCGCAACCTCCTGTTCTTCCCCCGCTGGATACCTTACCGGGCTTGAAACGTCACATGATGCCTTTCCCGCAAATGAAAGTCAGCATTTCAGCGACCGATGTGAGAACAAACGGGGAAATCCCAGGTTGCGTACTAGGTGTGTTTCGGGCTGCTTAAAGGAACATCAAAAAAACACACACTCAGTTGTGTGCTTGTCTTATTTCTAGGCCAACCCACTCAAGTTGCCAAGTCATGGCAGAAAGTGGCATGGAACCATTACCTTTGCGGTTGGTTGATTCCATTTCAGTGGGGAACCCACCAAACCGAAACGGAATAAGGGTGTCACGGAGCCACTTCGCCCATGGTTCACCAGGCGTGAGGCGTGCATCCTGGATTTCTTGAGGATGCCTTTTGAAGGCTCTTTCCGGGGACGTCAAATGGAAGCCACCAAACATTTCTTGTCCTGGTTGCTGTTGACCCCCTCTGCAAAAAGTTTAACTTTGTGTGGGTCCAATGAACATTCACTGTTTCCCAAAAGTTAAGGTCCAAAGATCCAACCAAATAGGCACACACTTGTGGGTCCCTTCCTTGTACTTGTGACCCTGGTTGAACACGAATTGAACCATGTCCTTTTCGGTTGGTTGTCCATTCTTGGTGGGGAGACCAACCAAAGCACATTGCGGGTTTCCCTTCAACAGCCCACTGCAAAATTGTCCTTTCAACAAAAACACCCATACCTAGATCTTCCATTTGCTCACCCTGTTAGGCTCCAAGCATGTTTGCTGCTCGTTTTGCATGCTGAGCGGCGAAAATGGAAATGAGTGGTGTGGCCAGTTTTATCCCGGAGAATAAGCGGAAACAAGCGGCACCTAAGCTGAAATTTGCAGGACATGAGCAGAGGAGGGAAAAAAAAACATATTCAATTGAAACCGCAAATCCGGCGTTGTCCATTGGGCAAACGTGCTTGGCACTATCATTGTTTTCAACATGAGTGTGTTGCTCTTGCTCGCTCCGGACAAAACACAAATCATGTTGCCAAGGAAGGTTTAAGAGCAGCACCCACGAACAGCTCCAAGGGTATCCGGGTGCTCATGAACCGTGCGAACAAATCCCCATGGAACTACGTGAAATCGGGCGCTCGTATTCAGAGTCACCGGTACCATGGGTTCCCAATGGACATGGGACATGTTTTGCGTGTCACCTGGTTATGGTTGAAATTTCCCGAAACCGAAACGAGCCATAGACTACTTGGATGTTCCACCAAGCTAGTAGGTGAGTAAGGGGGTAGCGACTTGGGTTGTTTCACCCTCCACTAACCAGGCTAACCTCACATTGACGGGGGACTTAAAAGTGGGCAAACCTAGGCTACCGCTACAACTTACCAACTTGGCAACAAACACCCAAGTAATGAACGTGTTTCACCAAACCTCGACTGGCTTGGTGAAGGGCATCACTCGCCAACTCGGGGCCCTGGCGGTACAAAGTCGATGCTGCAGTCCAGGGCCTGCTGCAGAAGCTGGTTCAGCTGAAAGCACCTGGCGCACCCTTTTCCAACACGAACCACTCAGCGAGACTCAGCGCACGGAAAAAGCGGTCAAGTTTCGAGAGGGATATCTTTGTACCATGGAAACACAAGCACAAAGTTCCTTTAAACTGGAGGCATATATTTATACACGTGGGGCATGTTGTGATATCAACCGCATATGAAGCATTATAAATAATTAAATGATTAAAACAATCAATAAATAAATATAAAACAAAATAAATAAATAAATAACTATATAAACGTAAATAAGTACATACACAGTATACATATGTATATATATAAATATATATATGTATATATATATGTATATATAGATACATGTATATATATATATATTAATTATTATAAGCAAACTAAGCAGGGGGGCCTTGAGCTCCACACCAAACCTGCCTCAAGTCACCCCACGGACCTGGGACTGTGCGAGATCCCTCGGATTCCTGTTCCGCGGGAGGCCTCTCTTCCTCCGTCAAGTGGTCCAGCTGCGGGATGCGAAGAGCTCCTCGCGCGTGGGGAAATCCACGAAAGGTCTATACGTCGCCGAGACAGAGAAACTCCAATTCGCACGCAAAAAAGATGCTGACACTACCCTCGGGAAAACACTAAGGCCGTTGTTGCTGCTGCTGCTGCTGCCGCTGCCGCTGCTGCTGCCTTGTGGTTGTGGTTGTGGTTGTGGTTGTGGTTGTGGTTGTGATGGTGGTGGGTGTAGTTGTTCTGGTTGGTTTGTGTTGAACACTTCAGCACGGGGAACATCTTTAATATGTGTGGCAGAGATCCTGCAAGTCACTAGCGGTTGTCAAGTTGTCTACCCTGTGTTACCTTGGGGTGGTATGGGGTTCTTGGAAATGCTCTCTTAGTATGATAGTTGGCATATGCAACTCAAGTCAAAGGAAATGGGTGGTATATACGCGTGCCTCCTGTAAACTTTACAGGGGAACTAAACCTTGGTGGCGGCTGCCCCATGTGCAACACGTTTACGTAAGTGATCGATTTGTGGGACAACACGTTTCAAGGTTGACAAATACCTTGCTCCAACAATCCGGTGCAAACATGCTGGAAAACCTTCCAACAAATGCGCCAACCTACAAACAAAAACACGCATATTAATGGGGATTTACCATTTGAGGGGTGTTCCAACCATTAATTTTGAAATCAAAAGGAAACCAACAAACAACCAGAAGGCCCGTCCTTCCCTGCCCAGCGCGTACATCCGCACCGCCATGCCGATTCCAAGCTCGCAGCCCATGCCGGAGCAGTGGATCACATTCTTCACCCCCAACTCCTGCATTTCGGCGTCTCTTGTTTTAGGGGGCTCCCTCGTTTGGGTTTTTCAGGGCCAGCCCAAAATTGTGGTTTCTTTTTTGGTTTCCCTTAAAAACCACACAAAGACATCCCTCAAAAAAGCGCTCCCATTTGTTTCGCCATGGCTTGCCCAGTTGAGTAGCGCCTGTTTCACTAGCCCTGAAGCTCCCCCTAGCTTCGGGACCAGGGTTTTTGTTGAAGTTCAACATGGCTGAGCCATTGACAGGATGTTTTCTTTGGTCCTTCAGAGCCCGTCGGAAGTTCTCTGCACGCACCAAGGACCTAACATCGGGCCGAAGTTTTCAACACCCCCAGGGAAATATTCACATATGTCTACAGATTCAAGACCATGGGGGAAGCCATTGCAGTCTGGCAGCTATGTGTGACTCTAAGCCACCAAGGACCTTTACGGACGATGACCCCTGGAACATCCTCGGGGTGCCTCAAAACTTGTCCTTGAAACATCGTACCAAAAGACGCTCTCTTCTGTGCGGCCCCAACACGTACTTAAGTTACCCAAATTCCTGAAACATTAGACACCTCGCAGCTGGTTGTCTTACACCTGGACGCCAACAAATGTGTCCGTATCCTTCTTCGCTCTACTCCAAACCAGAACCTGTAAGGATGTCTGGTTTCAAAGGATCGCAAAGAGGGTAAAACACAAAGCCCTTGCATGAACCCTAGGCATGAACCCAAAAACAAAACGCATAGCTTCATCACTCCTTTCAGTGGGTTTGGGAATCAGGGCAAAAAGAGCCATGGATCCAGGACAAACCATCTTCGCAAAGGGCTTGGGCTGCGCTCAGGGTTCTGGCGGGTTGGCAAAATAGCCGCACGGGCTCAAACAACAAGGCCATAGGCATCTTTGAGCAAATCGACGGCTTCCACTTGGTACAAAAAAGTACAATCGCAATTCTATTCGTGCCTTACGATTCCTTTTTCAGGGATCGTTCTCTTCAACCCCCCCTGAGAAAGTCCCTGGCTTGTGAAGGCAAGCTGAGCCTCACGAGACACCTACCTGCAGCTTCGCCAGGCTGCAGCTGTTTCTTGACCAGGCTGTTGTCTTTGGGGATGCCTTTGGCGTGCCCTTCGCACCTGCGCAGAGACTTTCCAGGGCCAGGCCTAGGCCCCTCGAGGAAAAGGAAAAAACAAAAACGACGTACTCGTGGCTCAGAAAACGCACGTGGCAAATCGTGTTACTTTGAGCAATCCCCGGCCCAAGCCATTGTTTGCTTGACTAAACTCGACTGCAAGCAGGGCCACAAAAGGTCACGGCTGCTGGGCGGGGCAAGTATGCTGATGCGCTGGCAGGTAGCGAAGAAGCTCAGACCTAAATGGAAGCAAGGCAGCACTGACCCCTCACCAAGAGGTCGGACCTACAGTCACTGCAAGAAGAATTGGAACCCGTGGGGAGGGGGGGGGGTCTTGTGGGGGTCTACCAAAGTCAGTTCAAACTAAGGGATTTGGACCAGGTTTCCCTTGGTTGAAACTGTAGGCCCACAGTCTCAAAATCGAGTCAGCTTGGGATCGACCTTAGCCTACGCCTGCCTCCCAATACCTGAAGTAAAGGTCCCCAAGGACCTTCGTCACGAGTGAGCTCCTTGTTTTCTTTTTCTTGGTGATTGCGGGGTTGCAAGTGTCTTTTTTAGTGGAGAGGTCGCTGAAACAAAAGGCCAAACAACAACTCCTCGGTGCTCGATCGGGGGTCTGGACGAATAAACATACCCCTCTGCTTTTGGCTCCCCTTTGTCTGAGCGGCAATTTGCCCTTGAGCAAAAAGTCACCTCTTGCGTAATTAGTGGACAAAAGACGTGCTTCTTGTTCTAGCAAGATAAATGCAAAAGATCCAACCCACTAGGAGTCGCTGTGGCTGCGGTTGACTGCACCAAGCAACGCCCGGCCTTAAGATCCAGGCAGGAAAGGACTTCAACACCACCGCCACCATCCGCAGTGTTGGCGACACCGGGATCCTAGACACTGAGATCAAAAGGGCTTGTCTCCAAATAGGTAACCCCCCAAAAGCAGGTTGCGTCCCTTGCGCGTCCCTTTGAACCAACCCCAAAAAAGTACCCTCAACAAAAAACACTCACCCATCTGGATGGTGTTACGGTGGATGCCCCCTTCCATATTGAAAGTACACCAACCAAGCTTACGTTCCCTTACTTGCAATATTGAGGGCATCCACCCGTCATACCAGTGAGGAAGCACTAAGTGGATGGGGTGAAATTGGGGTCATAGTCGTGGTTTGTACCAACCTGGTGTTCAGTATGGGATCTGTATTGGGAATTCTGCGCAAGAGAAAGCAGCTATCATCTGGCAGGATTCAGGATTGACATTTCAATAGCCCAGTCAGACCCCTCTTGCAACTCTTCAAGGGAAAGCCCAAAATACACCAACCGTTTTGCGAGGCGAATTGGCAGTCACCCAAACCAGCAAAAGCAACAAAAAAGCGTGGGGTGTGTTGATCCTTTTTGGCACCTGGAAGCCGCCTTTTAGAAGAAAGTGCCAAGAAGGGCCTCTACTCTCGACAAACCTTCACGTCCCCCACTGTTCGCCCGGCATCTTGTGCAATTCTGAAATTCTGGGCACCAGGCGCCGGACCGCCGGAGCTAAGCCGAGGAATCCCGGAAGACTTGGATTGACTTCCTGTGGCATCCATTGGTGTCCTAAAAGGAAACCAAAGGGAAACCAAAAGGACACCAAAGTCTGCTTCTCTCGAAAAGGGCGTGGGTTGGTGGATTGGTGGCTTGAAGGGTTTCCCATTTACCCTCTGCAAGAGAAAGGGCTTGAAATCGAAAAGTCCCAACAACTGTCGAGCCCAGCTCGGACACAACTCTGCTCATAGCAAATCGCGCAGGCAAGCCCCTTCCATTTATCGGCCTTCCCCCTGCAAACAACTGGCTGTGGGTCAAAACTAGGTACCCTAAATGGAGCCCTGGTAAATGGAACCAAGGACGAAAACCTGCGGTCCCCTGGTGGCTTAATTTTGACCCGTACCCAATTGGCGCCCCCGAGGCCAGCTGGAAGAACATGGGTATGTGAAACTTGAACGGAACCCAAATAGTGGTTTCCTGTTGGTTTCCATTTTGCGCAATGGTTGCAAACCGGTCTATGCTGGCTTTACTATAACCCTCATCAAACTACCCCTCCACTCCACTCCACTCCAGGTTGCAAACGTTCACATAGGCTATACTGGAACCCTCATCAAACAAGGCAAAACTACCCCTCCAATCCACTCCGCTCCACACATTCGCAAGCGCAATCGAAGCCCCCCGACTGGAACCGCCTGACAAAACGGCCACTGGGAGCTTGGGGCTCTTAACTTGCCCAGCCCCGCCTGGCGCGGTTGGGCTCAAAGGCATAGGCCTGGAGCAACACCTCGCGGTGTTAGATCGTCAGCCGATGTTCTTTGGGTTTGTGGGTGTTGAATCGCTGAGTTGGATTGGCTTGGAGCTTAGAGGGGTACTTTCTCATTACCCTCCGCAACATGAGGGGCCTCAAACCCAGCCACCAATTAAACAATACCGATTGAGGGATTCCTGATTGTTTCTTGGGCGTGAGATCGGGCTGGATAAACATAACAATCCTCGTTCATGTCTCCTTTGTGGAAAAGAACACTTATGGGCCATTCAAACCCCCGATTATACATGAGTGTCCCAAAGCCCAGTGGCGTTTTGCATTACCACGTCGAGGGCTTGACCGAGAAATTCGGGCGATGTGCACGCTCTGCTGGCTTCATGATGGCCGCGAGACGGTAGAGCCCTGGGTAAACACTCTAATTAACAGGGCGTCGGTGACTTTTTTACGGAAATCCCCTGTATGAGTCTCGCTGCTTTTACTCCGGCAGGGACAAATTTGATGGGGAGATGGAAGGTGTGAACCTTTTCTCTCCGGCCAAAAAAACAACCCAGGTCGTACCCCAACAATCATGGAACGTTCTGGACCCTCCGGAACCCTCCCCAAACCACCCCCACCAGAGCCGATCTAGGCCTTTCGACCCCATAGCCTTCAGCTGGGGAAACAGAACAGAAACCTGAGCTCCACTGAGCGTCTGGGTTTCACACTCAGCGTGAGTATCCGAGGGGCCTGCAGCAGCGCATCCAACACGTCTGCCTCCTCTTCCTCCGGCACAGCCACTTGGGCCAAGTGGGGGATCACTCCTTGGTTGGTAGATGGCGCAACTCCCTTTTCTTGGTTGCTGTTGACCCCCCAAAAGTTAAAGTCCAATGAGCGGGGTCCCCATTTCTGGGTTTCGTGGGTGGCATCAAACCACTTTTGGGAAAACATGTCCAATAGTGCAGAAATCTCTTTCGCAACCCAGAAACCATGGTTGACACCATACCGTTTGTTGATATTTACCTTGCGGAATCGAATCAGAAGCCAGAGTTTCTGAGCGATGGTGCAGGATTAGCGGCCCGGATGAATAAATAAAACCGTCCTATTCACTCCCGGAGTTTCTGGGATTGTAGGATTTCACGAAGCCCAGTTTAGTGGTACATCAAAGATTCGGACCTTGGCCAACCCACTCAGGAAGAGACTACTAATATCGGCGTTCATTTGCTTTTAGGTGTTTTTTTCTTTGTGGGGATTCATCACTTTTGGAGGGGTCACACCCCCCTAATACTCGGCCGGGTTTTGTTAATCCGGGGTCAACATTAGGCCGCCGCAACTTTCCGAGCTGCTGAACTCCTCCGAGTCCGCGCCGGGCGTCTCCGGAGTCTCGGCTTCGAGGTCGAGGGCGGCCGCCAGCCCAGAGCCCAAGGCGGAGCCGAAGCCGTAGACGGAGATGGGGTTGCTGACCTCGAAGCGAGGGTCTGGTGGGTTGGAGGGGTCTCTGGGTTGAAGGGTTTTGTCTTGGAGTCTTAGGGATGGTCTGAGGGTTTAAGGGCTTTTCTTAGAGTTTTGAGGGATCGTCTGTGGGTTTAAGGCTCTTTCTTAGAGTTTGAGGGGTGGTCTGAGGGTTTAAGGGTTTTTCTTTGAGTTTTAGGGATGTTCTCAGGGTTTAAGGGTGGTTTTTAGAGTTTTGAGGGTTTTCCTGCTCCTGGGCCAGTGTGGAGTTGAGGAATACGGCTGGAACTTTCGGAGTGGACTGACAAATGAACATCTTGCTGACCAAAAGTGCGGTAAGTCGAGTGAGAAAAGCGCTGAAATGGAAACCGACGAAGCTGCAATTGAAAGCCAACAGTATGGGTATCCCTGACGCTTCCGCCTAATGAAACCCCGGGCCATGCTAGAAGCTGATTTCCAAATTAAGCTCGGACACCTTGCAAAACCAATTGACCTACCTCTTTCCTTGGATATCGTCAAACAAAAAAGCAAAGCAAGCAAGAAGTCATCCCGCATCTCGTTGGTCGCTCTCAGTATTCAGTACCCTCACATCATACATAAAACCTAAGGGTTGCTTTAACTTACATGTCCTCTGAGGGGACCCTTGTGCAGGTTCCATGTGTGTCCTTGGGAGGATCATTAAGGCTGCATGACCTGAACGGTCAAGACCAGTGACCGTAGACAAAGACTTGAAACCCGTTGTTCTGGTCAATGCCCTTAGCCCGTCCCGAAGTCACGAAACAAACATGGATTGACCCCTCCAAAACAGTCATGAGAGCACATGAGGCTACCCTTTTTGGATCTTTGCAAGGGAAACCACGAGGAAAACCACATATTTTCGTGGGCCCCCGAGAAAGCAGACAGGCCCATTTTGCATTTCCAGTCTCCGAAAAGAGAGAAGAAACAAAAAAAAACAAAACAAAAAAACGGACCCCAGCTCTTCCAAGCGGCCCCGCTCTTCTGCAGCGCCCTTTGCAGTGCCTGGGCCCGTTCCAGGCTCAGCTGGCGCTTGGCCGCGCAGTCCTCCGATGCCCGGCCCTTGGCGAAGCCTCGCGGATGGAGAGACACAAAGCCAAGCCAGGTGGTGGGGGGGGATCAGCGCCCACAGAGGCCCCGTGCGAACTTGAGTGAGTGAGTGGATATGTTTGTAATGTTACACCTCCTTTAGTAATAGTACCCTTAAAAGAGGGTCCAGCTGACTGGTTCCTCTGTTCCATCCGGGGAGTACCCTCAAAGGAGGGTCCAGCTGACTCTGGTTCCTCTGTTCCATCCGGGGGGGTGGGGCGTGTAAAGAGGGTCCAACATTACCCCTCTCCCCCCCAAAAGAATCATAATATATGTTATTTTTAAATATATGCTCCCCCCTTGAAATACTCAGGTTCTTGGCCAGAACTGAGGTTTTTGGCCAGGCTGGGGGTGACAAATGCCTTGAGCGATGCTAGAATTTAAGTCGCACCCTCTCCCCTCCCCAACAACAAAAAAAGAAGAAAAACAAATAAGCTTAAATGGTATCCCCCCACGGCCCCAGAACCGCCTGGAACCCCAAACCACCCCAGAGCCTTTCTGGGCAGAGACCGGAAGCTTTCAGCTGTTGAAAAAAATAAACACGTGTAAGAATAATACACTCCCATCCACCAACATGAAACATCACAGCGGGTCCTGAAAGACAATTCCCTTTCGGGGGGTCCCTCAATTCCATTTTCAAGGGCGTGGGGAAAGGTTAACCTTTTGGGACCTCTACTAAAAATTGACCAACAAGGGAAAACCAAAAGGTCAAAAGGTCGGCTTTGAACAACTGAGATACGTTTGGGCTTTACCAGCTGATTCACAGGATCCCCTTGCAAAGCAGGTGGTTTTGGGACTTTTTCTTTTTGGAATCCTGTCTAAGAAATGCAGCTCCAGGCAAAAGGGGATGTCTTTTTTGCGGCTACCCATTGTTGAGGCTCATTGAAATGGAAGCCACAAGGAACTGAACCGCTGGGTGACTGGGAACTCTCAAAGCCCCTAGACCAGGCTGGAGCTGGATCCGAGGGTGTGAGATCCAAGTCACGAAGGATATATGCCAAACCCTCCCCAGCTCCACAAAGAACTAGGTCATCCAGGGTCATCCACCCTCCCAACTCCCCACAAAGAGGCCTGACACCTCAGGGCAGTCATTCAAATGGACCCGGAAATGGCAGCCAAGTCAACCAGGCCACACTACCCCCCTTGCAACCAGTTGACTTTTGCTGGCTGAAATGGAAAACTGGAAGAGAATCAAACTAAAACACACAGAATAAAATGCACCAAAGGTAAGCTAAGCCTGCGTAGCAACCCTGAGGTGTACACAGCCAGGGCTTCCATCCGTGCGCCACACGCGCGACAAGCGCCTGAGCATTGCAGCACCAGGCCGGGATAGGGTCGAAGCAACCGGGCCTGGCGAGAACTCCCTCACGCTCGGCCCACTGTTGAAACATGCTTAGCTTGCCTCACTTCAAGCAAACAACCAACCAGGCGCAACCAGCACTTGGGATGTTGGACACCGAAAAAGCAGTGTTTGACTCGCCAGATTCCCACTGTTCGCCAGATTCCCACTGTTGACCCCAGATTGAGAAACCCCTATTTAGAATAATAGGGGGTGTCCCCTAGATGCTTCAATTTATGACTTCAGCAAGCGAACTACAAGCCAAGCGCAACCAGCATCCCCCAACCTCTGCTTTTTGGACAGCACTTGGGATTTGGATGGATTTGGGACACGGAACCAAGCAGTTGTTGGGGGAAAGGGGGGTGCTGGAACCAACACACGCACAAAGCCCCACTTCCTGAGTGAACTGGCCAAACAAAAACAATCAAACTTCTTGTTTACCACTAAAATCATCCAAAACCAGAAAGTGACTATAAAGTCCATGAACTCAGCCCAAATGTTAGATTTGGATTTATTGGGCATCAGCGTGGTCCCCCTTTTAGTTGGGGATTCATCTTCTTTCAGGCGAGTCCTCTGATTAGAATGGTCCTCCGAATGAATATGATGTTAACATTACCAACCATCTCTTGTGGTTTCCTACCACTTTGAATCCATGCGAATCCATCATTCTTTGTTGGTCTTTTACAGGGGAATGGAATCCGTCCAGGGCTTCTGAACGGCGGTGCCGAAATCAGGTTTTGCAACCACCCACAGGTGGTCCCGTTTGTCTCATTCCCGAAACCCCTTAAGAACCAGCAAGACAAAAGAGAACTCAGGGCAGCACGCACTTCAGCACGAAGCGGTTGCCCTCCTGCGACAAATCACCTCAGTTGGTCAATGTGATTCCGTTTCCCGTCGTCAACCAATTCTGGCACCAAAAGAGTTGGAAGCCCAGTTCCGGGGGTGGATTCCCCATTTCTTCCGCTGGGTCGGCTCGCCCACGTGTGAGCTAAAAGCCTTGCACAAATTCGGGAAGGCAGAATGAAAGAAGGACGACCAAACCAAAGCTCAAATGCCCCAAACCAAACGAACTAAAAGCCTAGACTTTTCGAAACCAAAACGTCGATCTACGTCACTCGGAAACCGAAAAGATCAGATCCGGTCGAATTCGGAACGAGATCCAAGTCGCTGGAGTTGGACTTGAAGGTCAACGGTGTGGAACCTCGGCGAATTCAGTACCACCAAACCCCTGGAACATACCTATGGAAATAAACCAAGGGAAAAATAGGGTAAAAGAAGGGCTAAAATAGGGCTTATGTGGTATATGTTATTCTTTGGTGTGTGGTCTGACCCGGTCAGTGGGGGAAGTCTTTAATCTCCAAAGCCTCTTTTCAACATTTCTTGAAGGGGGTGATGAGTGGCCAAAATGAGGGATTTAGGCTTTTTACCCATCCAACTATTCTACCTCATCCCCTATATTTTGGTTGCGCCCCAGGCAAGGGGAAGGGGCATTGAACCAGCATTTGGAAGGTGTCAAAAGTCGCAACATGTCAAACTACATTTGATACACCGGTATATAAACGGTAGCTACAAGGGTAGACGCATGTTTTGCACTATATCATGAAAGCTAAAACTGATACATGTTTCAATCAACACAACAATAAATAGACTCATACTCCCTCCGCAAATCAATCTGAAACCCAAACCGCTATTGCTTTTAGAGGACTCTTGTTTTGGAGTTCGACCCCCCGTGGAGTTCCATATCAACTCAAAGTACGTCACCGGACTGGACCTCAACAAAGTTTGCGGCTTCAGGCGCTCTGGAGATCTTGGAGCTGCTCCTGCACCGTACGTTCCTCGGCTTCGACTTCCCCGAGCCACTGAAGGATGCTGACAGCCGGGAATCAAAGCTGACTCTGCACCCGATAGGAGCACGTTAAACCAAACCAAAACACGGGAGAGGCGTTTCCAGCGTGAAGGACCTCCCTCTAAAATGGGACACCCCTTATCGCTCAAACAAGCCCGTAACATAGGGGTCCTTTTGGTGAAATAGACGGCACTGGCAAATGATTGGAACTAACCTGCAACCAGCGCCATCTATTTTCAATCAAACTACCCGAAAAAGGGCACCCTAGAGAGTAAAGAGACTTGCCCTTCCAGTCGGCACCTGTTGGAGACCAAGCGCAACCAGCACCTCCGAAACAAGCAGGTCGGGGGGGGGGGTCTGAAACTAACACGCAAATCCCCACTTCCTGAGTGGATTGGTCAGAAGTCCAAACCATGTCTACCCCAAAAGTTTAAACCCTAAACCCTAAACTCCAAGAAAGTAGGAAGAGAGATAAAAAAAAAAAAAAGAGCAACAGACTCTGAGTACCAAGGCTCTCTTGGCTCCACTTGCGGCTCCTGAGGTGCACAAAACCCAACACCTGTCCGGTCAAACCCGCTTGAAGCCTCGGGTGCATAGCAAGTAAGATGTTCTGCTCGCTTGTTTTTTCTCCTAATATATATATATATATATATAAAGATATATATACACCCGAAAATCGACAACTGCTTGGGACCCAAAACTCCGGCTCAGGGAACCTGATTGAACATGTAAACCACCGTCTGGGATGGTGAGCTCGGAGGTGCTGGCAACAAGCACGCAGCGCAACAATTAGATATTATTATATGGAATGAGGCGGCTGGAAGTCGAAGAAGTGACGCACTGTCAATTCCTCGGTGGTTTGAGGCTGGGTTCCTTGCAGTGGGCATCCACTGCAACAGGGTGCAATCACAGTTTGATGGTATGGGTGCTACACCGACCAAAGTACCAAGTAATTTTGAAAACAACAAGAAAGCAACAACAAACAAAACAAACAAACAAACAAACAAACCAACAAACAAACAAATCAAAAACAAAGGCCGAAAATGGCCGAAAGCAAACCAAACACACACACACACACACACACACACACACACATTTCACTGCGGTTTTTGCGTCCCACCCCCGCCCCCCCCCCCCCACCCGTCCAGCAGCCGCAGCTTGAGCCCCGCGCCAAGGCCACTGCCGCAGCCCACCGCTTGCACCTGGCCCTGCCAACCCAAGCGCCGGAGCTCTAAAGCGCACCTCGGCGCGTGACGCGGCGGCAAGCGGCGCGGTGACGCGTTCGGGTTCAATGGAAGCACAACGACTAAACAACTCAAAGACGAAAAATCTAAGGAATGGAATACCAGCGCTAAACCAACTGAAAGGCGAAAAAAAACATGAAGATGTGATACTTTTTGTGGGTGCAATGGAAAACACAACGACGAAACCAACTACAAGGCGAAACATCTAAGGAATGGAATACCAAGCGCTAAACCAACTAAAGAGCTAATGGACACCCAAGCACTAAACCAACTAAAAGGCGAACATATTGAGGATATGATACTTTTTTTGCGGGTCACATGGAAACACAGCCACTAAACCGACCAAAAAGCAAGGACTTATAAGGGTGTGATTGGTTTTGCCAAACGGTTGCCCGATTCAGAACAAACCAAAATGACCGAACCAAAAAAAATGGACAACAATGCCCACGACATTCCTTTGTTGCTGTAACGGCCCCTCTGCAAAAAGTGAATGACCTTTTGCGGTTCAATGGAAAACCCCTTGATTTCAACCAGAAAGCTGAAGTCTAAAGATCCAACCCAACAGCAATCAAGACGATGACACCCTTTATCAAAATAAACCAGGCGTTTCTACTTCGATGGCAGGTCCCGTCCCCCTCAGCCCGAAGAACCCTGAAATAGAAGGTTCGCCTTGGGCCATGACTTCGACAGGCGAGCGGGTTCGAGTGAGACGCCGCACGCAGAGTGGTCCCATGCCGGGCGCCACCCCACACATAGACTAAGGCAAACCCAACACCGAAGAGCCCGGAGAAGGCCAACATTCTTCGTGCAAGGCAAGCTGCCAAAATGGAAAAGCACAGACACCACTTACTGGTGAGGAGCCAGTGCGCCATTAACGATCGCGCCACATAGGCGATGCCTGAATTCACACACCGGCCCACCATGGAGGTAAGCTCCACGGGGTCAGGAATCTTAAGTCGGGTCCCAACGGCCTGGACGCCGAGGAAGACAAAACACTATCATCGCAGGCAGGTGTATGGTACGTGCATTGCGAAGTCACTCACTCATCCGACATCACACTCACCGTTCGGCCACACGGCGGAACAGGGACCTGGGTACAAGACTGTAAGGCCTGTCTCCACACCATCCCAGCACCATCAATGTCAAGACTGAAAGCCGTTTGCGTTGTAATCTCCACTGCCGTGCACCACATGGGCCTGGCCACTCTGATTCCATGATAGATCTCAAGCTCAACCTGTAGAATTGCTATGATGCCAAGGGCCCGGAGGGTACACATGCACCATAGATGGCGGAATCTGCGCCAGAAAGCAGGCCTAGGTCCATCAACGTGCACATACGGGAGAAAGGTCCCCCCATCGGCATTCACAGTGCAATGCAGGGTAGCGCAGCCACGCCGCACACCAGGCAGCGCAAAAGCCGGGAAGCCCGCAGACTCCATACAATCTTCAATCTGCACAGCTATCTGGGGAGGCAAGGATGCAGGGCTTGCAAGGCGAGGTGCCAACATCGGAGGCGACGGCCGGGCCATGGCGAACTACAACCTACGGCACAAGGCAAGCACTGCACAACTGCGAGAGGCCGATCGGAGAGGCCAGCACGAACACAGGAACGGCGCGCGGGCGGGTGGCCACCCACTTTGTGGACGCAAGACCCCTCAGGGAGAGGCAGCTTTGCCTTGGGCGCGCTACTCCCTAAGCCGAAGACTGGTGAGCCAGACGGCTAAACCTTGGGCCATGACTAAATGGACCAACAAGGGGAAACCAAAAGGTCACAAGGTCGATTCTCTTTGGGCAAGTCATTTGGCAAGGAAGGATGGACGATGGATAACTAAAGACGATCAATTTGGCAACAGGGCGTCCCCATTTTGGCAAACATCTAGCCTTGGTCACTTAAGGCGCAGGGTACGTCAGGTAAGTGGATAGTAGCCAGGGGCAAATAACCCACCAAAGCCATGGTGATCATCCCCTAGATTGTACCCATGGTTGCAAACTTTTAGCAGAGGTGATCCAAACGTTTAGTGGGTTAAATGGAACACCCACTAAACACTAAAAGGCCAAAAAGCTAAGGAACCAGATGACTGGCTCTTGGCCTCCAGTTCATAGGTGTCTAAATGTGGCCCTGGTAGATGATTAAACCACCAGGTAAACCAGGAATCGAAACGCATCGATTTTTCGACCAAAGCAAACAACAAGGACACCTATGGATCCAAAGGTCCAAAAAAAGATCAATTGGGGGGCTGGTTGTGCTTGGCAACTCAAGCTTGAACGGTGGACACAGAACATTGAAGGGAGCTTCTAGGAGGGAAAACAGCAACAACAACAACACCCCGTCCGCGCACAAGGCGCACAAAAACGCCCGAAAGGCTACAATAATATGACGGATGCAGAAAATACTACCCGTCACCCCAGCTGCCACTTACAAGCAATCATTAAGCCTGAAATGAGGATAGCATATGTCCATTGAGCCCATGACCATCTTGGGGGCTCGTTTGCCATTAGTAAGCCATGACTAAGGATTCAGTTGGAAACAAAACCAAACAACAGTGTTTTATCAGGGTTCGAAGACGGGTCAAGAAATACGTGAGTTTAGCAGCCCTAAATTGCAAATGTGTGTAACCAATCTTCACCAACAGCTCAGTTCCTAAGTAGATTGGCAAACCTCTGAAGTCTGAATTGTTTGCAAGACACCGCGGAAGAAGGACAGAATATACACAGGGTATGGAACGGGCATACATTTTTAAGAGAACCTCCCATGATCGAAATCCACCCACAGCTTCGAGAAAGAAAAGGGACATATCCAGGATACACTAGCCACCCCGCATACTAGTATGTGGCAACTACCCAGTGGTCCATTTTACGGTTGTAAGTCGTGCAAAACCCTGGTGACGAACAACTTACCTGACTTACCCTCTTTCAAGTAAGTCTTGCATCACTAGTTTGTTGCAGAAGGTAATGTGGAATAATGTACAGCCAATAGACAAATCCTGTTGCCCGCATGGAAATAACCTTAGAGTTCCCTTGTGGCTGCTTTGCTTCACAACCCTTGGTTGGTTGCCAAAAAAACGCTGCTTTTTTGCAGCCCCGTACTAAGAATGAACCGACCCCTCCAAAAAAAAACAACAACACACTGCCAAGAAAAAAGAAGCACTTTTGGGGTTCCTCAGGGGTTCCTATGGGTCAAACCCGCGACTCGCGACGGAGAGCTCGCTGGGCTCGGCGCAGCTCGGCCAGCTCCTCCCCGATGGATCGCCGCAAGGTGCTGTTCTCCTCGGGCGAGCCCGGGGTGTGGCCTGGCGAAAAATCCGCGGGCCATGTGTCCCTTTTGGGTTGGACACCAACCCAAAATTGGCTCGGTTGCTTTCTGCTCCCCTGCTGAAAAAGTGACTAACTTTTAGTGGTTTAATGGAAAACCCATTAGTTGGCAAAACGTTAAAGTCCTAACATCCAAGCAAACTGCACCAAAGGAATGGTCAACCCAGAACCATGTGAAGAAAACAGGAAGGCGGCCGCAGCTATTCATGCTTGGGAGTGTCCCTTACGAACCAACCTTCATCTTCCCGCGTTTTTGATTGTGGCCCATGCAACCCAAAATTGGCTTCGGCTTTCCGAAACTCAAATTCACGAAACAAAACCACCTGTTTGGGACACACTCGCATATCTCAAGCCCTGGATGTGAGTAGCTACTTTTCGGGGTTGGTTCAAAGGACATCTGCCGAAAATCGACGAACATTTCTGGGGGTCGTGGTCCCCTTTGAGACCAACACATGTTGCTGGGTCGATGGGTGGGTTGGGGTAGCCCGCACCCCCCCCCCCCAACCACTGCTTTTTGGACATTACCTGGGATCTAGGACAGTCAAAAAAAAGAAGTGGTTGGTTGGGGGGAGCGGCAACTTGGATTCTTTTTCTTGCAGGATGTTTATTGCGAAGTTGCGATAGGCAGGGAAGGAGTTGGACTGTACTGAGCCCTTTCCCTCGATTCATAAGCCTCGGCTGGGAACCAGCACGGCCCAAAGTTTTGTAGGCGTTAGCTCACAGGGAACCCCAAAGAAGTGCCCTAAAAGGAGTCCAAATCACGGCTTAAGGGAACTTTCAGAAAGATGGATGGGTGTTGGAGGTACGGAGTTTTTTTTGGGAGTATTCTACTGCCTAAGCTTGTTTTGGTTGTATATCTGCGCATCCATAGCTCGCAATCCCTTACCTGGAATATTCCTTGAGTTGGGCTTCGATGTTCGCCTGGGAAGCACTTGTTTTGGTTGCTTGAAAACCGAGGGCAGCTTCATCCCCGCAAAGTGCCCAGCTCCTATTCGACCCTTCAAGGGGTACAGTCTTTCAATTAAGGAAAACGAAAGGACTCGTTTCACCAATCGGCTCCTTTCGTCGCTGTCAAGAGCATCCATGATCCGACATCTTCAAACTAAAGGGGTTCCACCATCAACAAGACACACTGCCCCGATTCCTTAAAGATCGGAAGTCCAAGGAATCTCTTCTGCCTCCAGCAAAATCCACCTAAATTCAAGCTTGACCTTCTTGGGCCCCTCTTCAACTAGTCCTCGTGTCTTATTGTCCGGGGTGGCCAGGGGAGGAAAAGAAAAAGGCACCTTTTCTTGGCCGATGCGTCGACTCCACAGGCCTTCCACCACGACCAGCTGCTTCAGCTGCAGTTGCTTGGCGCAGGCTCGTAGCTTGGAAGCCACCGAGGGCTCCGTGAACCTGCGGGGCCATGCAATGGTCAAAGCCGGACAGGTTGTGGGGTCGACCCCTTGATCAACGTTGGGTTTGGGGAGCAACATTCTTTTTTAGCAGTTAAGTGGGGGAACCAACCCCTAAACCACAAGCAAACATGTAAAATGTTTGACAACAACAAGCATGTCTAGAAAGCGTGAAAGTCAAACACTGGGGGGGGGGGGTTCCCTACCTACTGGGGCGACTTTGGTCCTCACATTGGGGCCAAACTAGAAATTCGCAAAGCAGGTCGAAACGACCATGGTACTTCTGATTCACGGCCATAGGCAAGGGAGCCAAAACCATGGTTAGTGCCTATGAGGATCTGTCAGGCCATGAACGTCCCAGGGCTCTGCATAGGCTGGTCTTCCTTTGGCTTCCCTATACAGATCCAACATTGCTACTCTCCACCACACAGCGTGGGTATGAGCTGAGAACTGGACATGCGCCCATTGCAGGATTCGAGGATGGGAGGTCCAGCCAGGAAGTCTATCAATCGGCGTGTGTCTCCTTTATATAACTGTCACCCCAAGTAAAGGCAGCACACCGTGTTAAGGTGACGCTGTTCATTCCTGTGTCGAGCTTGTAGCAAGCACAAATACCAACATCCACCAAAGAGCAGGACCAGGGTTGTCCTTCTAGAGGAACTAAAGGGCTCAATTTACCCACAACAATCCTCTTCCAGTCTGGGCTGTTGGAGCTCGGTGGGCCCTCTCATCTTGTTTGCCCTCGCTTGGAAATGTCCGGAAGTGCTTGCCGTCGCCTCACGCCAAGGTCGTTCTCCTGCGCCAAATCGAGCGACCGAGAGCTAGGGACATCGCCAGACACATCCCCCCCACGTCGCCGTGGCACCTGGCAGGGGTCCCTTCAAGAGGACCCGCCAGGCACCTCCTCATAGGTATAGTTAGTGGGAGGGAGGGTATCACTCAGAGCTGTCACGTGTTGCTGCGCCAGTTTGCCAGCACTCGCTTGGCGTTTCCGTATCTGCGCCGGAAACGTCCTTGGCAACAGGTTGCTGCAGGCGAATTAGCCTCCGGGCAAACTTGCCAGGCGGCAAGCAAGCAAGCAAAAACACACGTGGTAATTTGGCTTCGTGCGGCAATTCTACATTCTGGCTTTTCCTGGTTTGCTCGCTGTTTTGCGGTAAACTGGACAAACCTCCCACCAACATCCAACATGGAACCTGACAGGGGGTCCCTTTAAAATAGGCGTGCAGGAGCCACCGAACGTCAGGTTTCAAGTTCATTCGTGGGAGGGGAAGCTCGCCAGCAACAAAAAACAGCCACCTCGAGCCTCCATGACCCCTAGAAAAATGGCTCATGACCCTTAATTTTGGGTACCCTCCCACCAGCCAACATGGAAGTACACAGACCCCTGTAGAAGGACGACTTTCCTCTTGCAAAGGGCCTTGTTGCGCTTCCATGTTAGTTGGTGGGAGGGTAATGACCCCATTTTGCAAGGGTCATGGAGACTCTAGGCAGTTGCCTTCTGCGGAGGCCCGCTCCTCGAAGGCTTCATGGCGCACGTCCAACGGGATCTCTGCCAGCAGCGTCAGTGGCTTCATGACATCGCGGCAGGTGGGACGCGCGGCTACTGCGACACAAGGCGGACGTGACTGTCCAGGAAAGCCAAATGTTTTGGACCCTTTCTGGTCTGTAAATGTTGACCCCTTTTTGTTTGTCAACCCCAGTTTATTCCCAGGGGTTGTCCCTGGGTTTAGTGGGAAATCAGCACTTTTGGAGGTGAACACCTAAATAAACAGGGGTTGATTAATATGGGGTCTACATTAATTACCTCACTTCCTCAATGGAGTGGCCCAACAAAGTCAATGTGATTTGTTGGTTGCCACTCAAGTGGTTTTCCCAACAGGTATGAAAAGCATGCACTCAAGGACTCAGGTACTAAACTGATGAAGAGATATGTTCAGGAAACGTTTACGTATACCAACTTGCCTCCCAAATGAAAGGCAGCGATGGACTGGGACCAATTATGGTGGCCTAGTGTGGTGCTGTTTCTGACCAAGCAAGCTGCTAGCTACTCATCAAACATGTAAAGCCCGCAGCAAATGGGGAGACCATACACAAAGCCTCACTGCCGGCGCTGTTCGCCACAGTCGGCACCCCCTGAAGCCGATGGCGAGTTGCACATCACAGCCCGCCTGGCAAGTTGCTCCAGTACCCCTTCCCATCTCCCAATTGGATAACCCAGCAGCTCCATTTCCCACAATGGTACCTGGGATCCACTGGGTAAGGGAAGTTGGACAGAAATTACTTGGGGGGTTCAACATGGCAAAGAAGATGCTGGGAGGATGCTGAACAGGGCACTAAGGAAACTCGCCCTCACTGAGCACGCAACAGGCGTGTTTCGAAGCGCCAAGTTGGGGAGATGCTGGTCCGTCGGGCAGAGACTTGCTGATTAGCCTCTCCTAAAGCCCCCCCATGTCCACAAAAGTGCCCTCCCACTGACTTTCTGCAGACTTACGACACAAAGAAGTGACACGCAATGTATATATATATATATACATATATATATATATATGCACCCCCCCGATGGATCTACCGTTTTGCTGGTTGAAGGCTATTTTGCAGATGGAATGCAGCTGTTTTATTTGGAATGCCCGATGCGACTTGACCAGTATCAGCACCAAGGAAATCCTCTTCAAAATTCTAATTTGGAAGAACAACTCCAATTTTGCGCTTTCGTTGAAAAGGAAATCCTATTTAAATGATCTTTAAAACTGGAGATTCTACTATGATTATGTCCTGATTAGATTCGAAAGTTGAGAAACGATGTCAGGGAAAGGACGTTGAATTAAGAATCCCAATTAACAATGTTCTTCAAAATGGAAAACCTATTCAAATCATCTTTAAGTCTAGACATTATATTGAATCAGGTGTTGTTTACTTTCAATTTTCTATCCAAGGTGCAATTAGAAATTCGAAATCATCATGGAAAAGACATGATTACAACACATGGCTTTGGAACATGTAGTTTAAGAACTCCAATCATTAAACACATTTAACAAAAGAACACACACACTATGTAAATTATCTTCAAAGCTAGACATTCTATTAAAATTATGTACCTATTGAATTCGATTGAATCTATGCCAACAAATCAATCCCCGTTAGAACATCTAGGTTCAAATAATAATTTGACACACATCTAGTTCGACAAGGAAATCCTATTAAAGTCATCTTTAAGCTCGAAACTCTACTAGGGTGTGTTGCTTGTTAAGTTCCATGTTAACGCTATTAGGAAATGGAAAAAACACAATCCTAGAAACAAATCCCCTTTTCAACGGTATCTTTCACATCTATTTTGATACAAGAATTCTAATTGATTTGTTTGATGTTTAATCCTTATCGGATACGTTGAATTCCAAGCAACAAATCACTAAACAGGCACAACAATCTGTTTTTCAACAAACAAGCATGTTTCCACCAAATTACGAGAAATACGTCCGATTCCTTTAAACGTGAGCCAATAACCCCCCAAACCCTACACCCTTAACCTGTCCATTCTAAGCTCAGGCCTGGTCAGCAGATGCAAACCGGCAGCTTGGAAATGTCAAAATACAAAAGTGAAATTATGGAGCCACTAGCCCAAAAGTAAAAGCGTAAAGTTCTGGAGCGAATGATTAAGAAAAAAGGAAAAAAAAGCATGTGGAGCCAATGACCCAAAAGCAAAGAAACTACACTTCTGGAGCCAGAGACTCAAAAGTAAAACCGTAAAGAAGTAAAAGTAAATGTCTGGAGTCAATGACCCACGAAATAAAAGAGCAAACATGCAAAACAGTAAAACAGTAAAAAATCAACAGTAATAAATAAGAAAAACAGTAAACATGGGAAACAATTAAAAAGTGAACAATAAAAACAGTAACAAAGTAAAACAAATCAGCCAATGGTCCTGAAGTAAACTGCTTTGACCATGGACTGAAATATTTTACTTTTACTTTCTTGCTTTTTTACTTTGTTCTTTTCTGTTATAGTTGTGTTTGTTACTTTTTTTTTACCTTTTTTTTTACTTTTCTTTTGGGTCATTGGCTCCAGATTGTTTTACTTGTTTTTTTACTTTTGGGCCATTGGCTCTAAAATGTTACTTCTTTGCGTTTTCACTTTTGGGCCAATGGCTCCAACAAAGCTGTTGTTTTGCATTTTCTGACAAAGCCTCAGCTTAGGAATAGGACCGAGGTAGATCCAACCCGACTGGCTTTGGAAATCTGCCTTTTTTTGCTGCTTTCCCCAAAGCCCCCAAAAAGGCACAAAACACTGCACATGCCAGTGAATTCTCAAGGAAGGTAGATCCATGCCGGGGGGGGTACCATATATATATATATATATGTACATATATGATATGTGTGTGTGTGACATGGGCCAGACTTGGACCGCCCTGTAAAGAAAGTGAAGGAAAACTAAAACAAGTGAAAGGTAAGAGTCTGGCAACATGACCTGGGAAGAACAATACCGACTCTCCGCGGTGAACTTATGAAGCACTGGGGTCTAGAGAAATCACTGAGCCGACTCCAAACAAGCCAGCAAGGGCAATATGTGTGATTTTGCGAACATAAACACGGGTCCAACCAACTTTTGGATCCCATCCCTTTCCAACTTTAAGCCCTGCTACTTCATGTTTGGCAGTTCCTTGGGAATCCTGATGGAATCCCCCCCCCCCAAAAAAAAAGAAGCAAACCACAAACATCAACTATAGCTGTTGGCTTTCCGACCTCAAGGCCGATTCATATTCATGTTAAGCCGATTGGACGAACAAATGCTATGGATTAGGGCGCGCTTTCGGGATTCAATACGAAACAATTCTAAACATTCTCCTTAGGAACCCGTTTAATCTGAGGTTTGACCTTCTGGGTTTGATTGGTAATCCGACATTCCTTGTGGGAACCCTCGGGTTCTTCCAAGCCCCAGCCTGCAGGTTGCCGTGATTTTTTGTCCAAGCGCTGACTGAGAACGCTCGCCGCGGTCAGCGCAACCCGTTTTGGATTGCGGCGAACTGCTCCGAAATCACAAGCCCTCAGTTCAAAAACTAGCAAAGATTGTGTTCTCTCTCTCTCTCTCGCGTTGCATCCTGGGCTGTCCTCAAAGGACTCGCCACTAAACACTAAAAGGCTAACAAGCTAAGGGGATGGCTGGGAGCCACCAAGCATCGTGAAGGTTTGCCGCCCATCATTTTTCTTGCGCCCACGTGGATTTGGAATGAACTTGCCCTTGGTTGGAGCCCCTTGTACCACTTCTTGTTCGACTTAGATCATGCCCAGTGGATCCCAGTTGCCTCTATGCAGCAACCAGCAAGTTCCTTGGTTTCCTATACCTTGGCCCACATCTGAGGTACGCAGCACATCGTTTTCAAATGCTTCATGCTTGGTCCGGCCTGAAATGTAAAATCGTCGTGCAGAAAACCGCGCATACAGCAATAAAACCGCTGGGGTGGCTGTGACATGACTCGCAATTTACCTGCTGTGCCTTGGCCCACATCTGGGGTACACAGCACATTGATTTTAGATGGTTCATGCTTGGTCTAGCCTGAAATGTTTAAAATAATTTGGAGGAATGAAATCACTGGGATTGTTGAGACCCCGCAAACCTACCCTCACATGGCTTGAACATCCAAGCATCGGCTCTGCCAGCGCATCTGGCTCAGCATTCGGGAGCACTTCGCTCCGCGCATCGCCGCCCTTCTTTGGAGCGAAGGCAAAACGGCCCTATTCGGCCGGGTGAGAAGCGCAGGAATCCGTCCAGGGCCGTTCAAGACGGCAGTTCGGGTGGTCATGTTTTTTGCTTTGGGGTGGTGTCCCTTTAACTCAACACTTCTCGGTTGCTTTCTGCTCCCCTGCTGAAAGTTTAACGTTCAGTGGATTAATGGAAAAAACATTAGTCGGCAAAAACTTAAAGTCCTAACATCCAAGAAAAATGCACCAAAGACTTTAAAGGGGTTCTCAAACATGGTGGTTGGGCTTGGTTTCCCTTTAAACCACCATTCCGAGGTAAGTTTGAGGATGTCACTTCGGTAAAGTGAGGCGTCGACAGAAACGGTGGCCAATTTTTCTGAACTCCGTGGCAAAGGCGACAGAACTCGACACCAGGACATTGCTTGCCCTCAACACCACCATCAAATGATTGATTGTATCATGGGTTCGGCGGCGTTGGGATCTGTCTCCGCAGTTGTGTTGATAGAGAATACTTTGTCATGGACCTCCAAGGGGATAGCTCCTATTAAAACCTCAAGACTCAAGACCTAATTAGAGCTTTCCCGAGGCTTATCCAGCGGGTAGCGACTTTTCAGCTGGCCCAAAACTCATTGAGAGAAAATGATATGCTCCATGTACTGTTCAAGGATACTTTATATCAGGCAAAAGCTCCCTATATTTGAAGTCATCCAGCAGTGAAATTGATTCCCTTCAAAACCGGGGGGGATAAAACAAAGACCTGAGGCTGGATCAAAAGGCCCTTTACATGGGATGACTGGGAAAAAACCACCAAAAAGATGACCTTTCAACCACATGATTTTTTTTTTTTTTTTTAAAGTGACCCCTGGTCATTGGGAAAAAGGATCAACCCCCCACATGGAAGGAAGCCTTGGGACCCATGACCTTTGAGGATACCTACCCTTTGCCTCAGGGTCCGCTGCAGCCCCACCAGCTGGCCCCTGGCAGGTCGGAACGGCCAGCTCCAACAGCCAGGGGGGGGGGAAACCAAAATTTATGGAGTCACAATCAAAACCTGGCACAAAAATAATGAACCCAGAACCATGTAAGGAATTAAGAAAGGCGGATATCCGCAACTGTTTCCGGCTGGGACTGCCCCTGACTGATCTTCATCTACCCGGGTTTTGATTGTGGCTTACTTGCGAACCAGTGGATCGGTCAGAAAACATCAAAAGGTAACGGAACTTCTAATGTTTGCCACATGGCCTACCTAAGTATCGATCAAGTCCAGGAACTCAGGAAGTGAGACATAGAACATCGCTGGTGTGGTTGGGCTGGGTGTTTTTTTGTTTTCTCGTGTATTGTTATGAAAGAGGGATGTTCAGTGTCAACGATACTCGGTTGCTTTCTGCTCCCCTGCTAAAAGTTTAACTGTTAGTGGTTTGATGGAAACCCTAATAGTTGGCAAAAAGTTAAAGTCCTAACATCCAAGCAAAATGCACCAAAGGATAAGCAGCTAACCCACATATTTGTTCTCATTATTATCATATTATATTATTATCATATTTGTTCTCATGTTTTGTTCCCAAACACGCAAACTCAGTAGGTCCTCCAGTAGAGAGGCTAGAATAAGGGTACCCTTTTTTCTGTAGTCTATTTTAGTAGGGGAACCCTCCCCCCAAAAAGGGTAAAAGGGCACTACTGGGGGACCTAGCTCAACTAACAACTGGATGGTGCATGCACATCTCCGTTTGCTTGTTTGCTCTCTGTTTGGTGGAAAAGTAAATTTACCCTGCCCCTTGGCCAAAAAAACAACCAGTAAACTAACAAACACGGCAAGCAAACAACACGGCAAGCACACACACCACAAACTGAGCAAAACTGGAATGGGACAAGGTTGCAGGAAGGCTTGCCATGTTAGATCTGCCCCGAGAATTCCATACGCAACATACCCCCAAGCCCTTCCTTTCCCCGAACCATCTTGCTCTGTCTAGATCTTTGACCTTCTGCAACAAGCTGCCTGATTTGCTAGCGAGCTTTCGAATTCAACATGAACCTCCCTCTTAGAAATACTTTGGATGGACAAAATCCATTTCGCACCAATTTGAATCCGTGGTTGAAACCATTCTTTGTTGGTATTTACAGGCGAATCGCATCATTTTCGGGTTTCTGAACGGTGGTGCCGAAGAACATGGATTTCGCAACCCACAGTAGGGCAGCTTCCTTCAAGAGCACTCCAGGCGCTGAAGAGGGAGGTTACGCAAAGGCGCTAAACCCAGGAGGCCCTATTAAGCGTCCCCGGGCGTCGTTGCGTGGCAGCTCACGAAGGAGCGAAAGATCTCGAGAAGGGCAGCAGTAGGGTAAAGCTCGTCTTGAATTCGAGAGGTGATGCAAAAACCCAGCAAATTGCAACTCTCTTCTTGAGTGGATTGGCAAAAAACACACATTGTGATTTCCCACTAAAACGGTCGTCCCAAAAAGTATCAAGTCCAGGAAGTCGAGAGGAGAGTTGCAAATATAGGGACCGCAAGGACCCCTCTTCAACTTGTCTCGGCTCGCGCGGGCGCGCCATTCGTCTGGCCTGCTTCGCGGCTTTTATCTCTGGCCGTCAGCTTTATGTCCAAGGGGTCGCCTGGCAAACGTCATGGGACGAAGGAAGGAAGGAAGGAAGGAAGGAAGAAAGATTCGGGAAGACAAGGGCGGGGAGGGGAAGGGGAAAGGAAGGAAGCAAGAAGGAGGGAGGGGAGGAAGCTAGGGCAGGGGAGGGCAGCGAAGGGAAGGGCAGGGAAGGGCAGGGAAGCCAACCAGAAAGCCTAATGTTGGCCGTGAAAGTGAAGGATCCACTCAAAAATGGGGACACCATCCCCCCTATTTGGGTGTGCCATTTTTTTAAGGGGACCCCCATTTGAAGAAAAAGGGGCGTCAACCAAAGGTTCAGCAATGCACTCCCATGCCCCCAATGAGTTGGTTGGTGCCATGTGCCACTGGAGGTTCCCCTACCCCCCAAGCAACCAATCCAACACGTCCAACCACCCAAAAGTCAAAGTGAAACTCGGATGTCAACAGTCCCACCTATGCAAACAAAAACCATGTTTGGGGTGAGTACCTTGATGAATCGCTCTTGTGCAAAGTCTATCCATGTAGAACTTGCTGGTTCTCAACAGGGAGGGATTCCCACCTGGGGCCGGAAACAAGCTTGTGTCCGCCCAAATAAGCTCTGGAGCAGCTTTCAGGCTGGGTTAGGGAGGGTTCGAGGAATTGCGGGGCTGTTGGGGATACCTGGGATGAGTGTTTGGTGGCTTCCGGCAGTCGATAACCATCCAACTAGTTGACCCAGACCCCCATTTTGGTTGGGAGAATTGGGAGAAAGCCCAACTGACTACCCTTAGCAAAAGGATGTCATTTGAGACCTAAAAGGCGAGGGGACGTTTGCCAGATCACTCTCGATGTCAACGCGCAAACTCCCCAAGCAAAGAAACAAAGGGGAAGCCCCAAAGGAAGGTTTCCTTCGGGGGTCCCTCTGACAAAATGGGAAAAGAGGCACAAAACACCAGAGGTCTGGAAGGCGACACTTGCGCCCTCAGCCTACACCCAACCATCTGCAAGCCTAGTGCGCAGGTGAAGTCCGCCATCTCCTCCAACCTCGGCCAGAGACTGAGATACTCCAAACAAGTTCCTGACTCGGTTCCATATTCCTCGGTTGCTTCTGGCCTCTGCAAAAGGTTCCACTTGTTGTGGGTCCCTCTAAGAGTTAAAGTCCAAAGATCCAACCAAATAACAACAAAAAACACAAACAGTATCTACATCTACAAAATCTCTGCAGGCCCCAAAGCCTGCCAACATCCAGGGGGAACCTGGACAGCCGCTGTCGCTTCGGAAACAAAGCGAGCGGATGACCTGATCAACCGAAGGTGGCTTTGAGGCTGACCCCGAAGCGCCAAAGGCGCAAAGTACAGCCGAGCTGGCACCAAATACACAATTCCGGCCAGCTGAGCCAATAGAAGAGGAAATTCCAAGGGGGACCGGGGAGAAAGCAACATGCGTTCCCTTGCTTCAATTCCAGCTTCCCGTAAGCCACATCTCGTTACAGGGTTTGAGCATGCCAATCACTATGTTTGTTAGGCTTCCAATCCAAAGACCCGGAAGAAACTTGGAATGTCCAAGCAAAAAGCCACACCCACTGCCCATTGGAGGACACCTCCTATTGTCCTGAAGGTCCGATTTCCGTCATCGTAATCCCACACCTGAAGTATAAAATGCATAAGGACCAGGGCAAATCGTCCTTGGGGAAATACGAGAACTCCTTAAAGGAATCGCATGAATCGGTAAGCTCGGGTTCCAATCTGTCCTCCAACTGGGGAACGCCATTCCGTGACGTTGAATGCTTTTTAGACCCCTCCGCTAAACAAGCCTTTACAGTTTGCGGTTCTCTTGAGAAACCCGAATCATTTCAAGCCCTATAGCTGGCGCTTCAGGATTCCAACCCAGCCAATAGGGAAGACGAATAAAAAGTCCCTCGTTTTGCTTCCAAATCTCCGAGAAGCTCCTTGGAGTGCTTCTCGCTGAAGAACCTGAGGTGGGGGTTCTGCGATTCTGTCCCAAAGGGGCCCAAGGAATTGTGGTTTCCATCTGGTGGTTCCCCGTGTAAAAAAAGAAGAAGTGTACATACCTTCCCAACAAAAAAAACCACAATCAGGCGGCGACAGCGCCCCTGTGCAACTAGCGGCTAGCGCTTCAGTCTTTTATCGATTGGTGGCAGGGTGGTCTGTTGAAAAATGGTTTGCACCACACCGCGGATGTGCAGCTTTGTGCTGATTCATGACATGTTAAAAAGTTGAAGGTTAAAGATCCAACCAAATTCCAGTCTCTGTTTCTGCAAGGAACATCCCATCCCTCGACCAACTGGCCCCAAATGACCCGGGAATCAAAGGTTAACCTCTGCGGACCTTGACAAACATTTGCCAACAAAGGCACGCTCGAAAGGGCTTTGAAAGACCGATCCAACGGAGAGTTAAATGGAATCCAAAAGGGAGAGCAAACATGGTTATAACCTACTGCGGGGGCTTAAACCGCGCCATGCTTGTTGCACTGTTACACACATGGTTACTCACCACTTGCCTGACATTCCCTGCACCTTTCAGCGGTGTAGCTGTAAATATAACTGGGATCCGCAAAATGACTCCCAAATCCCAAACCCCCTCTCCGCTCCCCTATCTCACCCCCCCCCCCCGGGAAAAACAAAAAACTGTTTCGCCGCAAACCAAAAGAACGATACACACAAACGGGTATGGTTCAAGATGAAACCACCAGGTTTTTGGACCGCAGGTTAAATCGTCCTTTCCATTTACCGATCGGGCTTTTGCCATCTTGGGGTCACTAACTACCTGGACCTTCATTCGTTGCAAAAAATTGTGTCCTTGGGTGTTTCGTAGCATAAATTTGCTAATCGGGTGTTTTGAGGGGAACGGGCGCAAATTTAGATTCGAGCATTTTTTTGCGGCGGCTTCTCTCTTCTCATATAGTTTGTTGCGCGGAAACATGTGGAAACATACCCGCAAAACGGGTGCAAATACCCGCAAAACGGGCACAATACCCGCAAAACGAGCGCAACTCCGAATCATGTAACAATTGGTATTTTGCGAGAAGCCCGTGTTCATGAAACGAGCGTTTGTTTGGAGAACGAGCACTTTTTGGATCATTGGGGCAAAATAGTTTGCCCGATCAGGGTTTTTTTTTTCTTTTTTTTTCGTGACACAAATTTATGTAACACTGGAAGGACCAGGTATGTTTGACCAGAAAAATGACCCCAAAATGGCAAAGGAACCCCAAAAGTTGCAAAAAAAAAAAACTTTGTGTCTTCGTTTGACCACCACACCCAATTTTTGCGCAAAGGAACCTGAAAGCTGAAACCCCCGAGACCCCATCCCCTGGCCAAGGCGCACCGTCCGCCTGCGGCGTCGGTGCTTCGTCTTGGGATCCATCTCAATGCCCCGCTCCTCCACGAACTCCCGCAGCAGGACGGCCAGGTCCTGCCATGGCCACTGGGTGAACTCTCATACTTTTCACCCTGAAATAAGCTGGCTTGGGAGCTTTTCCCACCAGAAACCACCACTTGGGGCGAGTTCGGCCGTGTGAGGTCCTAATTCACGCAGACTCTGGGGGAAGGCGCTCGGGGAGTCACCGTTTGGCTCCCCGGAGGCCAAAAGATCGTTGAAAGGTCGAATCGACCTCTCTACTCTTGGTATGGTAGCAAACAACTTTCTTTTTGTTTTTTGCAGACCCCCAGTAAAAATGAACAGAACCCAAAAAACTAAAGCACCGAAAAACATGCCAAGAACAGCGAAGTCGACCTTTGGGCGACTGAGCTCTAGTTCAGCGCGGTTTTTCGCATCTCGTGAAGTTCCGTGGGTGAATCCACTCGCTCAGGGCCACAAACTCCAGCAGAGCCATGCCGACGGCTTCACCCGGCAAATTTCATGAGTCATGCAGTCACTGGAGCTCCCCAAATTCAATGCTCATCAATTTACTGGTGACTCCCCATGAAATGTTGTAGGTCCAAAAGGGCTGGAAATTGAGGGGCCCGAAGCTTCAGTTGGGCCTTGTGGGTTCCGTTCCTCGCTTGGATCAAGGCCCAAAAGCTTGGGATTTGAGTCAAAAGATTTGGTTCGAGGTGAAAAGCGGCACTCCGACCGATTTTTGGACTTCCCAAAAGAGACAAGCGCCACTTTCACGCGAGATGTCCCGCTTGTTGCTTACCACTGATGAAACCAAGCCTCCATGTGCTTTGAGTCTGGGAAAAAACAACAACTCCAATACTGATTCCCTTGAAACCAACGAGACTTGACCAAATCAACTCAAATCCTGCCGTGACAAAAGCCCCTGGACGAAACCGCCAGGTCTGTGGTTCCGGGAGGTTGGCTATTTTTGAATCGGCCAAACAGGAGAACCAGGAACCCCCTCCCCCAGTCATCTGTTGCTCAGAGGATTCCACCCTACTGTGATGTTGTTTCTTTGGGCTGTAGCCACAAAGCCCATCCAGAGCGGCATGAATCCGCCATCCTCAGGCGCTGCCCGGAAGTCGGCCGCGTTTTTGAGGCTACGACCCCTCGAAATCCCTGAAGGTGGAGAAGGTAAGCTAAGTCTGGCAAAGGAATTTCATTGCAAAGGAAAACCCGAAAGGACAACCACCAAATTGGGGGGGGGGCGTCCCCTAAAACTTGTTACACCCAAGTGGGTTGGTCCAATACCAAGGCCACATCCGTACATCCAGCCTGGGCCAGTTCCTTGTCCAGATCTGAAAGTGGACTGTGCAAGACCAGCACCTGAGCCCATGTTCTTGCGACCCGTTTCGCGGTCCGGAGGCCTCGAAAATCCGATTTAAGAGCACGCTGGAGGCCGAGAGGGTGTAGAACCCAACAAGAAGTGAGCAAGCGTGAATTGATTGACGCCATTTCATCATTAGGGCATAGCGGGTGTGAGGGCCCAAGATAAGTGGCAACGGTCAACCTACGGTGCATCCCACGTTATAAGTCCCCCGTTCGGTGGGGTTAACCTTGTTAGTTGCGGGGTGAAAAACTCCGGGTGGTTTAAGCGGCCAACCACATACTGACTTGGCAACGAACATCCAAGTGCGGTTTCATTGAGGGCACGCGTCCCGCCCTCCACCCGCACTCCAACCATTTCTGGAATAACCATATCTTGGAAAGGGCGGTGCGCACAGTAGCTCGGTATGTTGACTCTGGACCAAAACCACGGACCAGGGTCCCTTCATTGGCACCATTGCAATGCCTATTCATATGGCTGTGGGTCAAAAAAATGTCAAAAATAGGTACCCCAAAAAGGAACCCTGGTAAATGGACATGTGGGCGAAAACCTGTGGCCTGGTTGTTCAATTTTGACCCACACCCATATTTGCGAATCGCTGATCCTTGCCCCAAATGGATGTAGGGCGTCATTGGAAATTCTGGCCTTAGCTCTCCCGCCCACGCTTGCTGCAGGGACCCGATATGAACGTGTTGGGCGTCGAAATAGCTGAGGCTGATAAAGGACTAGCATTCCAACTAGCAAACGAACCAGCCACTGTACAACGCCTTCGTCGGCCCTGACCTGGATCATCCAAAAGAAGTCCCAAGACAAGGGAGACTGCCTTAGAATCAAAGAGCAACGTGCAAAATCCATCGATTTCACTTGATAGTGAGACAACCAAGTCCTCTAAAGTTCCAAACCCAGCTATAGGTTCGGAAGGAATCTCAGTTCAGACCCAAGGTTTCGCATACCATCTTGGGCCAGCTTTGTCTATCCTGAAAAAGTGAACTCAGTTGCTCTGTGACCCTGGTAGAGAAAGGTAGCTGTGCCTTTTGGGGTTGATGCCATCTTTACTTGGGAACCCACCAAATACTATATATGTTTGAGGCACCACAAATACAATGAACTCGGTTTCATCTGGCACGGACCTGCCCGTTAGGCAAATTTGCTTGGAGGCGATTCAAGATCCGGGTATCGCGACCCAACCTGCTTGCCCATACTATAGGCATCTCCTCACAATAAGGTCAAAACTGTCTTTTTGTCGCATCAAAATTGGGCTTCCCGCTCTCTCCCTTACGAGTACATCTCGGGATGGGAGGCTCCCATGTCTCGGTGACAATGGACAAAAGCTAGGCCCAGTGATAGGTTAAAGAGGAACAGTGTTGGAGCTGGGACTTCTTATGTACCTTCTTTTGCTTGTTTCACTTTGGGCCAAGAGACGGGTGATGGATTCGGTGAGTCAGCATGAACAACCCCAAGCCACGAGAAGTTCACACCTGGAGTCTCCATGACCCTTTAAAAATGGTTGGTCATTACTCAAAATAATCGGGTCATCGACCCATTTTTAACGGGTCACGGAGACTCCAGGCAGCCGTTTCCCCCGTCAAAACGAACCCTCGTGTAGCGTCCGAAAACCCGAGCCTCGGGGCTGGCGATGAAGGCGCGCGCCAGGTGCAAACGCTTGGCCTCGCTGCGGCTCATGCGATTGTACCAGGCTTCCTGTCGCTATCCGCCGGCGGATGAGATGTCGGGAGGCGAGAAGACCCGTGAAGTTGTTGGCGAAAAGGAAACAAAAAGGAAGAAAACAGCAATAAACCAGCTGTTTCAACGGGTGTCTGTGCTATGATGATTTTTAGGTGCATCCTTTAAGGGACCCTGCTTGGTGGTGAGGTGTGAGTTCAAGTTAAGCTGTAAATAAAAGGCCAAACGAAAGAAAAGAAGGCCTTAATTGACTTTGGTTGGGTCCCTGATGGGTGTGGTGCCTTTGTCGAATTTGGTACCTTGAACAATTGCTACACTTGATTGCTTGCTGGTTTTTTTTTTGGGGGGGGGTCAAATGGTGGTCCTCTGGTTGCTAAGAACTCAAATCAGGATACCCATCAACAGAAAGCCATGGATCGATGTGCGAGTCTCTGCCGTCCTTCTTCCCTGGACGCTTTTGTTTCTTCTCTAGCTCAAGAAGTTCTCAAGACAGGGATCATTACTTTACACACCTGAATATTGCCAGGTAAATGGAGGTGTCCCTTTATGTTATGTTGATTGAAAAAGCCATGTTTCAATTGGGCAAAATGGAGATCTTTTAAGGAGCCCTGCAAAAGTTGGATGGTTCAATCACTACGCCGCCTTCGTGCATTTCTGAGCCATTGACTCTAAGCCTTTTTTAGGCTTGCTGGAAACGCCTTTTGTTTTCAATAGATCTAAGGAACTAAGGTCGAACCAAAGACCACGACCAAATTGGAAAGGAAAAGGTCCACAGATTGTTTTGCGCTGGGCAAGTAACAAAGAAAATGCTGCCAGCCTTACTTCTCTAGGGTGTTCTTTTCAGAATGGGTTTTTGTTGTTTTTTCTTCCGCAGAGTGCCTGTTTGCGTTTGTGTGTGTGTGTGTGCTTGTTCTGGACTTGCTTTGTTGCATTTCCCTTGTGGATGCTTCGGCACATTGGGGATCCAATCTGGTGGTTTAAGGGAAAGCACATCTTACCGCCCCTTCCTCTCAGAACCCCTAGTGGCATCTAGTGGCAATGCCAAAACGAGCACTTTTTCCGCTAGACATGGTGAACAAAGACTCCGACAGCAACCACAACCACAAATCTCCCCCCACCCTGACCCCAGTGGCCAACACTCACTGGAAACAGTCGCGTCGGTCCTCGCTGGGAATCGGGGTGTCCGGCATGTCCTGGCATGATCCGCATTAAGCCTAGGGCTTAAACATGCATGATCGCTTTTGGGCTGAAGGTGCGCCAAGCAATGGTTGAGACATGCAAACAATCGCAAAATGCGGATGCCAACTCAATATTCTCAAGGGAAAGCCTGTGCATTCCGATGGCTTGTGGCTGGTTTACTTGCAATATTGAGTTGCAATCCACCATAGCGCCATGCATGACGAGGCTTACCACCCGGATGGCTAAAAAACGGCGATTCACCAATTCCCAACCAGATCCCTTCGCCACCTTCGATCGCAATGCCGTCCTTTCACTCTTCCCTTGCGCCACCATGGTCTTGGCCAATGAAATACATAATCTTCAAATGGCTATGAATCTATTGCTTGGAACACCCTCAAAATTGCCAAATAAGCTTTGACGCGAGCCAGGCAGCAAAATAATCTCAGCATAGGCCTGTGACAAAAACATGCGTGATTGATTCTGCCTTGCAGTTAGTGAGCTTCAAAATGCATACCATTGCACAGTAAATCCAGAAACATCGCTGGCATGCAAACATGTGTCCAGTTGCCCCCCTCGACCTAACAAAAGTTGCTGGTGAGCCTTGAACAAAAGACAGCAGAAACGCGGCCCCGTTTCACACGTGTTGTGCCTCAGCCTGTGCCCGGCCCAACGGTAGCTCCAATTTGAGTCTTTTACCTGTGAAACAAGTCCAAGCACCCCAGAAAAGGGCCTCTCCCCTATCCACTGGATGCAAACTCATCACCAAGCAGCCTACGATACTATGCCATGCCAGTCTAAACCACCAAAACTGGAAATATGGGGGCGTCTCAAAATTAGGCAAATTCCCGACATGGCTGGCTTCCTGCTGCCCAAGACAGGTAGTTTGGTGAACACCTTTTAGCTGGGGATTTGTGTGCTCCAACCAGTGTTTAGGGTGTTCCCATTTTCTTGAGGCAACCCTGTTTAGCGTTGCTTCAAACAGAAACAAACAGGAAACCACCTCTGGTGTCGGTTCCCCGGTTTTAAGGCAGTCCGCAAAAACCTTGCTGTTGACCTCCCTGCAAAAAGTTAACAACTTCTTGGGGTTTAGTGGAAAACACTTGAATTTTCCAAAAAAAGTTAAAGTTTAAAGATCCGTTGCCCGGCAGTCCGAAAAACCCCCCCCCCAAAAAAAAAGAGGAAACAACAAGAAAAACAAAACGAGGACTCCACCTATGTGGGTGCCTCGGGCGCCTCGGGGCTCGGGTGGCTCGCGTCCCGCGCCTCGATCGCGAGCTGCCCTTCGGGCTCCTCCTCCCCGTCGGCCAGCTCCTCTTCGGCACCTCGCGCCAAGTCCGTGGACGTTGGGTCTGAGGGTTTTTGCATGTTTTTGCATTACACCCTGGGATTACATCGGGAAATGACCCAGAATGGTTCAAAATAACACGGTTTTGGCCGGACATGTGCCTAAATGGGGTCAATACCCAGTGGGTAGTGGGTGTATTCCCAGGGTGCAATACATAAACCCTTAGATTGGGACTTGCCTTCAGCTCCAGGTTCGCCTTTTTAGCCCTTTTTCGCCCTTAAACAAAAAATGAATTAAAGTTGTCCAAGAGTGAAATCCATGTAACTCTAGGGGTGGGTCCTTTCCAACCATGGTTCTTTTCAAAAACCGATCGCTGTTTCCAACCAGGGATTTAGGTGGTTGTTTAGAAAGAAGGATGCATGGAAAGGAAGAATGGGGAAGGTAGCCCTAGCATGTTCGCTGTTTCGCCCGGGAAAGGAATGAAAATATATGTCCAAGAGTGAAATCGAGTCCCTTCAAAACAAACAGGGGGAAAACAAAAACACATAGTCTTAAGCAAATGGAAGTTCTTGGCTGTGGGTTAAAATCGGTACTCAAAATGAAACCATGGTATGTGGAAACAAGGACTAAACCCGGCGGTCACGGGTCGTTTCATTTTGGCCCATACCCTATGGTTGTGGCGTCCCCCAAAAAGAGACCCTATGCACCTATGGAGACCCATTGTTCGATTCAACATACATTCGAGACCCCTTCGGGCACTCATTCTGCGGTGGATTTTATTTGCCGGATCCAAGACGGGTTCTTAGAAGGGATTCTCAGAACAGTTCTCAGAACCTTCCTGGGGGGGCTGATTTGATCCCCAAATCCACAAGGGTGGACTTCGCTTTTAGCCAGGATCCAGCTAGGGGAAGGTTCCCCGAAAGGCCTCAAGAATCTCAACCCTTGGAGAGCGTTGCGTATCCAGCCCCACCTCCCCATGGATCTTCAATCAAGTTCCCCGCAGCCGAAACTAAAAACCCACATGGTTTTTGTTGAGACCTCCTCAGCCCCCTAAAACGCTACGAGAAAACCCGGCAAGGAACGCCCGGTTGTCGAAGTCATGATCATGCAATCTTGCCGGACAAGTCCACTGCACCTACCTGCGCGTTGCGCGAGGAACGTGGGGCGAAGAACTCAACTCAACTTGGGTGCTGTAGCTCCCCCCACCAAAAGCGTCACTTTTTGCTGGTTAAAAGGAATTATGAGGGGAATCCGAAAAGCTCAATGAGGGGAATCGGAAAAGCTCAAGTACTTGGTTGCTCTTGACCTCTTGCAAAAAGTTTACATTTTTTGGATTTAGTGGAAAACCCCTTGATTTCCCAAAAAGTCAAAGTCCATAGACCCAACCCAATGGCAGGAGTCAACAGCCGCCAACTAAGCCTACGGCTCAGCTGCGGCACCGCGTCCGCGCTGTCCTCGCCGGCTTCATTTTGTTTCCGCGATGCCGGGGAGACCGAGAAATCCCGAAAAGCGATGGCGGAGTGGGCGGAGTGGAGGAAGCCCAGTCCAAAAGACACACCCAACTGGTGCAGGATTTCACAGGATCCTCCCGCGAGCAAAAAACAAGACCCAGCGAGTTGGTCGTGGGTCTTGAGGCATCTAAGCGGCTAAGGCACAAACATGCACAGACCAGCCATGGGCTGTTTTCAAGAGAAAGACAAGGGAACACAACCCTTGGTATGCAAGCAAAAAACCGACTGTTTTATGCAGCCCCCTAGTAAAAGTGAACAGAACGAAACAGAAAAAAACTATAAACAAAAAACTGGAGGGCCTCACATTTTTCTCACCAATGATTCCAACAGCTCGCCCATTGAAAATGAGGGCTCCCAATTTCGGAGCCTTCCTCAGGCTGGTCTTCGACCCCCGTTGCAGAATGTGTTTGCAATATCCCCCGAACTGTTTTAAGGAATCCCGAAGTGAAGGACCGTCATCGGCAGAGACAAATTTGGACACAACACCCAGAAGTGCACTCAACTTGCCTCAGCGAATGAGGGCATCATCCAAAGAATCCCGAGGTGTCAAACGCATCGACCCTTGGTTCCAGCAACACCGACTGAACAGGCCATACTATAACCACAAGGCCAGGTAGTAGATCCACATGTTCGATGGCCAATGAGGGCTTGGGCGCTGTCAGCCTGAGGGTCCCGAAAAGCTGCGGTTTTTCCTCAGTCCTCCAAGGTGCTCTGCCAGACCCAGCTCTGATGCAACTTCAGCCGCTCCAGGATCTTCAGGACCTAAGATCCCGACCCCAAAAACCGGCTCGGCACAAAAAAAGGGGCGGCAAGCACAGCTGGCCAAAGAGGGATGGTCACCACTCATGAAAATGAGCAGCATTCATCATGTCTGGCATTTGATTTGCAGGGAACCCCCCTCCAAAACCAAGTTTAGAAGGAAACCCTAGTGATCCCTTATTTTTTGAAGGCAACAGTTGTAACAGCCAAGCCCAGGATGCCAACTAAATACTGCCACCTGAAATGTAAACACACTTGCGATCTCAAGCTGGAACAACTCACGTCCTGAATGGATTGGTCACACTACCTATTAGAACTTGTTCCACCGCTCTCAGCTCTGTGGCTCAGAGCAGCCCGTGTGGGCATACCTGGGCTCGGTGTTTACCAAATGGTCTTGCCAACAAAGCTCCAAGTCAAGGAGCTCAGGGAGAGAGCAAACTGCCAAGCTGGTTGCAAAGACAGAGGCGGAATGTCGGCTTGTTTGATGCTAGGTTCGGAGCAGAGTGGTGTGGTCAGCTTGTCATTTGAAACTTGGTCATACCTACCGTGGGGTTGTCATAGATTTGTCAATCGATAAGGTCTAAGGACCACCCTGTCAAAACTCTGGGGCCGCGGGGTTATGGCTTCCGTAAAGGAACCGTTAAGGTTGTGCAAGATCCGAAGTGTTGACAATTGCAAATCATGTCTCCATCGTTTTCGGACCTGCCATTTAGAGGGAGGCCCGGGTCTTCTGAAGGCGCTGACACGCCAACCGGTGCATAGACAAGGGGATCACAGGCGCCACCCTCCGAGCAAAAGACGTATGTCATGTGTCCATATGGAGTCTAAACCACACAAAACAACGGCACCCTGAAAACCACAAATACAAAACACCAAGTTTTGGTAACACGGGGTTCCCCACAAAAAAAACTTGGACTTCGAGAACCCTCCGAGCGTCAGCTTCCATGATTGTTGGAGGGAGGGATCTGAGCTTCTCGCGCATCGGCCGGCTGCTCACTTCCATTTTGGGAAGGGGACCCTCAAACATGGTGGTTGTCCTCCTAGTTTCCTTTTAAGAAGCACCAAAAACGGCTACCAACTCCAAAAAAGACCGACAGATTTCAATCAAAGCGACCGAGGATCAGCTTGCTGAGTGACGGGCCCGCGTTTGGTTGGCGTAAATCGGGTAGTCCGGGGAAGGGACAACTCCGAACCTGGCGCTGCGTCGATTTTTGGTCGGCCCCGCGGTGTGACACGATGGTTCGTTTCCGTTCTCGTGAGAACACGCTGGGAAACAAAGAGAAGAAGCAAATGTCCAGTGATAGATTCCTTTGACACCAACAGGGGAGAATAAACATATACGTATATATTATGTAGCAACTTGGACATGGACGGATGCGATCCATGATGCATGCTTAAAAGCAATCAATCCGAATATTGCTCACCTGCAAATAATGCAGGCGCGTGCGTTTCTGAAGAACAACCGTGTTGCGGTGGCTAAAAGGAAAACGAGAGTGAAAAGCACATGTATTGCTTCATTGATTGCCCATGTTTTATTGTTATACGATTGTTTGGGGGTGGCGGGGTCCTTATTCTAACAAGCCCCACATATGCTGAGTGCTTGTGGCCCAAAACATCAGATTTCCGTGTGGTAAATCAGAACAGGTCTATTTAAGCCCCAGAATGGTCTATTGAAACCCCCAGAGTGGCTCCGATTGGTCATTCTGAGTTTGCCTCAGGCCAAGGCCCTGCTGAAGCGCGGACTGGGATATTGGCCGCATCGTAGTTGTTGGCTTACATGTGACGTGTTCCCCAAACGAGCAAATGGCGAATGCACGGCCTAGCCCCTGGCATGCTGGGGAACAACATGTTTTTTGCAGCCGCACACAATAAGTAACAAAGCCAAGTAAACGCACAGACATATTATGCCAAGAACAGTAAAGAACCGTGCGGGGAAGGCCACCAAAGAAATCAGGCTTCCCTAGATGTTTGTCAAAGTCATCCAAAATTGAATAAGAAGGATACATCTGCGCAATCTACTTCACCCCTAGGTTCAAACTGGTTGAACGAGAGGCCACCATCCCCATGATGAACTGTGGCGCCCAACTCCCGTTTGTTTGTTTGGGGGTCGGATGTCTAGGCGCCATTCCTGGCAATAGTAAAAAAAAAACGTGGTTTCAGGCCCCAAGCAGAAGATATACAACCAGATGCTAAATTTCAACCGACGCGGCGAAACATGGTGCTTGAATCGAACTGCTTCATGACTTAAAGGAACGCCCTTGCAAGCGGCAACACAACATTCATAACAAACGGCTAAATCAATTGATCCAACCCAACTCCCCATCTCCTAGTCCGACCTCAATGGAAGCTTACCCCCCCCTCCAGTCCTCCAATTATGGAAGCTGACTGTCGGAGAGATTCAGGGAACGTTCCTTTTGGGGCAGGGCTGTGGGAAATGACCACTTCTGTGATACAACAAAAAGGTCCCCCAAAGACTACCCCGACATTTAAAGAGGGGATTTTTTTGTTTCACAAAAGTGGGGACAAACCCCTTGATCCCAATCCCAGAACCCTGCTTTTGGGGAACCGCCCTCTGACCAGTCTTGGAACCAGGGCCTTTTGCCCCTCATGAAATCTCGGCTGGGGCTTCCGGCACTAGATTCGCATACCTGGGATGCCGGATTTTCCGAGTGGATTGGCACCAAAACGCCAAACTCCCTACCTAGAGTCTCCATGACCCTTAAAAAATCGGGTCATTACGCAAAATACAAGGGTCATGTACCGATTTTTAACGGGTCATGGAGACTCCAGGAAGCAATGGAGAAGGCCAGGAGGCCTTCTGGTCAGCTTCTGCCAGGGAGGTCAAAAATGAAAGCCGCTCCCTGCACTGTTGATGCCCTTGCTCGCGCAAAAACAAGAAACAACATACCCGGCTAACAATGGCATCGGAGTGATCCCGAGAACCATACCAAGCAAAGGATGTAGACTCCTCAGTGTTTGTCTGGTATTCCGGATCTTAACATGTCCCAAGTCAACATGAACTGAGGTCTCGATTGATCAGCAGTTCCACAGCAGCCGAGCTAGTGCTCCTCACATGGAGCTAAGCATGATGCAACCCTGAAATATCGGTCGATCTTTTGGAGCCACAGCTCGAAAGCTTGGCACATCCACACATTCGGACCCGGCCCTCCCCTGAAACCCGTATCCACAAGCAGGAAAAAGCAGGGAGAAGGCGCACTTTACTGGGCCCCTGAACATCTACCCCCCCCCCCCAAAACCCCCCCAAAAAAAACTCGCCTCCAAAAAAAACTCGGCTTCAAACCACCCTTCAGCACTGTTGGAGCTGGCCAGTTTACAAGAGCGCGGTGGAAAAGACCGCGCCTCCCTCTGCCAGCAAGCAAGGTGCTTTCACATTAGACGTGAACCATCGTGAACCGCTTTCTTTAAACACGCGGACCCGTCACACGCGTTATCATTCAGGTTGTTCCGGCGACCTATGACTGCCGTGACAGTGGAGTGCAAAGGGCCAGTCAGAACAACCCTGATACGCCTGGAACCCACACCTATGCTCGTCACTTGGCATGGTCAATCCCTAAGCTGATCCTCAAAAAAGGTCTGAACTCCGGAAGCATCGAGCCCCCTGGAGGCCCGGAGGCGCGCACCGCCCGCACAACCCGACTCTCACGCTCTCAACCCCTCTGCTTGCCAATCCCTGCGAGAAACCGATGCGCTGCGTCGAAGCCGTCTTTCGGGGGCCTGAAAACAAAATCTAAAGCAGCTGGAAAGGGAACCCGGAGTCAATTATTTACCCAGTGTCTGCTTGGAATTCCGAAGCATAGGCGGCGAGAATTATGAGGAACCCTGCACAGTTCTCAGAAAGAAAAACCATTGGAATCTTAGGTGGTCTGTTGGACAAATTGATGGCCATGGCAAATGGAATGAACCCAATCTAAACCAGTGCCATCTACAAAGCACATCTATGATTGGAACCCTTTTTGCGGTTCGCGCCGGGTTCTTAGAGGTTGCCACAGGCTCAAGCGGTTGCCAGTGCCGGGCAATATGCGCTATGTCGCCAGGGCACAAGCCCATAGACTTCACAAAGGCGGGCACAGAAGACACGTGCACCACTCGCAAATGCGGCGGCAGCAGCACTGTGCCCTGCTGGGGCAATCCTCGGGCTTGGACCATGGGAAAAGATGGTGGGTGTGTCTTTGGGAGTGCCTATTTTCGGGCTGAGTCCAAGGGAAACATAAGGAAAGCCCATCTTGTTAGAGGTTTCCACACACCCAAAGGGGTCCAAATAGGTAGTTTCCTTACGCTTGCCCGAGAAACGACACGCAAACACACTCACATGGAGCATGAAGCCGCCACATACCCACTTGTGGGGAAGTCGTATGCTTGTTCTCAGTTGGAGCGAGTTTTTGGACTGAACTTGACACCCTGAGGAAGGCACCGGTGATTCCCAGTGAGAAGCAATTTAAACCAATGGAAGCTCCTGCGGTGAGGGTTTCGATAGAGAAAGACCCAAGAGACTTTGCTTCCCCACAGCTACTGGGAACTGTGCCATCTACTTTCAGATCGTAACCAACCGCGGCTGAGAGTGCACGGTCTCACCCCGCCAATCAATTCGATCAACTGGTGAGACAGCCAAACCAAAATGAAAGTAAAGGGAAGCGCAGCGCCACTTAGCAAGGTAAGCCCAGGCATCCCCAGCCGATAAAAGAACCCCGGAAGCCGTTCTGGGCAAGCCCCTCAACCCCCCCCAAAAGAAAAGGATGAGGTTGATTGGTCTTGTTCTGGGTTCCGTGGCAGGATCGGTGAAAACCACCCACAATCAATGCCACCTTCCTGGGCACTGTCCAGGCCCGGGCATGTTAGCACAACAACGAGTTATCTTTGCTGCCAGCTGAATTGAGCCCAAACAAAATAATCTTGAACCTTTCGCATCGGAGCACCCTTCAACCTCTGGAACCTTCCTTGAACAACCTGGCCTGCACCAAAGCACCCCGCAACCTCCGGAACCGTGCTCTTACACCTGGCCTGCGGGGGCCCAGCCAGTGCAAACAACAACAGGCCCCCATCCCCCAGCTAAACCATGGTCACCAATCACTTACCGAGTCCATGTCAACGCTTATTCAACCACAACTTGAAAGACCAGAGTCATCCCGTTTAGTACCGGGCGACATGAAGGAGGTTATCAAAACGCACACGCACGCACACGATCAGCCCAAGAAACATCCAAAAACCAGCAAACGCCAAAAAGATCAGCCCAAGAAACATCCAGAAAACAGCAAAAAAAACCACCCACAAACACCCACAAACACACGCCCAAGGAGTCGTGAAGTCCACCGATCGACGCCTTGACGCGTCGCGTCGATCGATCGAGGGGCGGTTGGAGGTGATCATCCGCAGCAAGGTGGTCTTCCCGGAGCCCGAGGGGCCCGAGACAAAGACCAGGCCTAGGCTCCACCGCGGAAGCGCGGGGTCACTCACTGAGTTCATATGAATTGGGTATGAATCTTGCTTGGGGAAGCTTTGGTGGACATCCTTTAGGTGATTTCTGTCCACCAACCACGTTTCTATTGAAATTCATGGCCAATTGTGACAGCAATATGGATTAATGGACCCCGGTCGCTTGCTGGGGAAATGAGTTGGAATGGTTGATCAGTGCAAATGCTGAACGGTTGCCGGAATTCCAACCTCTGCAGCGTTCCCAGCTCAGTTCGCCTGGAAAATTGGGGGGGCCTTTTGGAGTTGCCGCTTTTCATGTCTGAACATGATTTTGCTCCAGTACCCTTCCTCTGACACTGACACGTCTGCTTGTTTTAGAAAAACAAAGTTGATCTTCAAGGTAGCCTTCTACAAATACACCCTTCTACAGCGTGCCATGATTGCAGAAGCGAAGACTGGTTTACAATGGTATGGGCTGGGCTTCGAGTTGGCTTCGTTTTGCTTCAAGCGCGGTCTAGGATTGGTTGAACAGGTGGCTTCGGCTACGGAAAATAAGCGAAAACGAGACACTCACCGCAGGTGAAGTTGGGTCAACTCTGCTTCTACCGTTTGCATTTGATTCTGCAAGCAAATACTGATAAACCGGGGATGATCGTCACTCCACTTCTCAATTGTTCGGTGCCACTCTCAAAGGTTGACCCCTGACTGGTGCAAAGACTGATCAACCGGGGATGATCGTCACTGTAATAGAGGACCCTTTGGGTGGACCTAACTGCGAAAAAGTTCATCCCCGTTCCTCAAATTCACCGCCAAACGGAAAGGGGTCATCCATGAGCTGGTGCTAAGCTCTCCGATTCAATCCTGGGGCAGCGGCTGCCTTGTGGGCAGCTGGCAGATAGCGTCCCTGCACCTCAAATTAGTTGTACCGCGGGAACCAACAGGGCGCCTGTCACAAAAGCCGTGTGTGTCTCAAGATAGCCAACCCCCTTGTGGCCTGAATCTTGAGAAACCCCCAACCCCTTGTGGAAAATAATTTTGATCCGATCCTGGGACCTTCGTCCATGGCCGCTGGATCCTCATTGCGAATGTTAGACCAAGAATTGGAAGCCCCCGTGTTGGTTGGGTGATTCCATGTTAAGGGGCAAACCGCTGGACAAAATTCGATCAACTGGGCTAGCACGCGGGTGAAATGCTGAAACGGTAAAGAAGGCCCCAGTGCCCATGAAATGTTCTTTGTGTTTACTTGGGCTAATTGGGCCCCCCAAACTTCCAGCATTCACCGAGTGCCTGAGTGGATTAGCGGCCCCAAGTTGTCAAAAGTTCACCACGAGCAAGTTCGGTTTGGCCGAGAACTGTCTTGTTTGATCCTGGGGGGGTGGGGGGGGGGTTGGTCCAAACTCCAACCCTTCCGTGTGCGAGTTTCAAGGCGAAAGGACTTTGCCAAGCCAACGGAGAAGTAAGCAGCAATGCTTAAAGGTGATTCAAACACCAGCGACCAGTTCCGTTGCAACTCCCCTGAAATCCGAAGAGCTTGATCATGGGATCGCATTCCTCTGAAACGAGCGCCCTGTGGGATGAGGGTCCCGAGCTTCCCGGGAGTTGTTTTCAAATCCAGGAAAGCTCAACAAGCCGAAACACTCATTTTCAGGAGACCTGAACATTCATTTCGCCGCGACGCCACTGAGCACCCAAAACTTGATCTAAGTCTTCAGGGTCTCGCCCTGGTCCCATCGAGATAAAGCACGGAGGTGGGTTATTTGCTTTCTGCGGTGGGCGCGCTGCCTGTCCGACACCCCAGAAGTCGGTCGCATACAAACAGAAAAGACCCCACCAGGGTGGATGGATCGGACAAGTCACCAAACTGCTTGTTTGCAACTAAAATGGGCTTCCCAAAAAGTATTGATCAATGTCCAGGAACTTAGGGAGTGTGAGTCTTGTCCAAACCCACTGACCTTTTGGTTCTACCATCATTGCTAAAACAATATATATATATAGAAAGGGGTTACGTCAATCCCGTTTGAGCCAGGTAGAAGAACACCCTACGAAATTGGTGAATGGGGGTTTGAGCGCTGTTCAATTTGCCTTCCCCAAAAAACTAACTTTTTGCCCTCCCTGCTCGTCCTCCCAACGCCACAGCAAGCTGCAAATCTGTCTGTATTGCTCTTTTGGGCGAGTCCCAAGCGCGCCCGGAGACGTCTGGCAAAAGCCATTCACAGCAATCATTGAGCAGTCCTGGAAGGGACCCTCCGTCAAGTTCTGACCTTTTTGGGCGGGGGAACCCACCAAACAAAAAGGGATTCAGAGGAATCCACGAAACCACTGGGAATTGCTCACCCTTTGGCTGTGATCAGCTCCCTGCCGAGAGGCGTGGCGAGGCCAGGCTGCTCTCCCTGAGATCGGCGTTGTGAGTATCACTGACTACCCCAGTGGAGTCACCCTGCCAACCAATGTGCCAGTAACAGCATCATACTCGGAGTGGAGGAGTCTCCGCTAACTTGCACGGAAGCAGCGTATGCCAGCTGCCGGGTTTAGGTCTTGTACGAGCCAAACCTTTTTAATTAAACACCGTGGCCCCTGTCAGGAGCTTTCTACATGTGTATATAGATATATATATATATATAGATTGAATACATATATATATATATATATATAGTGTATAACTATATACATGTGTGTATATATATATATATATATAAGTGTGTGTGTGTGTGTGTGTGTGTGTGTGTGCGTGCCGTTCTCTTCTTAGCCTTTCACCCTTGAACGTGGTTTCCCGCCAAGGGAATGTCAAAGGTGTCCCTCGGAACTGTCAGCTGTCCACGCAAAATTGTTGGCCACTCCATCTGTTGGCCATAACTCGCGATGATTCGAACAACCGTAACTATGAGGTCCTTCAGGGTTCCCTACTGTTGCTGCCAACTCAATCTTGCAAGTGAACAAGTTGGAAAACCTAAGCTCCATGGTTACTTGCAATATGGCACGGGAATCCACCGTACGTTTTCCCTTAAAAGATCTCCCCCAAGGGAATCTCAGCAAAAAAAATGCAAAAAAAAAAAAACATGATGCTTAAGGCCAGCGAAACTCGACATTTAGGGCTGGTGTGAAAACAGGGGGACCCAACAAGTGGCGGTTGTCCGCTTGGATTCTTTTGTAAAATCCCTCAAACAACGCGCACAAACACAAAAAGGCGACTCAGTTCAGGTTTGGGTTTTGGAAGTATCAAGGTTGTGTACCAATACGACTTCCAATTGGTGGCTTGCATTCGAGCCAGGCGTCTTTCCAAACCACCAATCCAAACCACCAAGTAAGGGTTGCCGAATAATATAAAATGAACAAACCAACAAAACTAAAAAACAAAACACTTGCCAACAGTGAAGAAACGGTTCTTTGAGCATTGTTGATCACAGCTGCCGAGGCGCTTCCCCTTCACCTCGCCCGCAGAAATCTGGACCTATCGGAAGACTGAACAAGGGTTTTTCCCTAAATATCAGCTTTTATTGGAAATCTGAGGTGGCCAACTGGGGTGGGTGCAAAGGTTAAACCATGTTTGCCGAGGTGATTTGACACCCTTTATGCCTTGTGTGTGGTTGAAACTGACAGACCGCAGTTTGCCTCAACCAAAGCTTGTATGGGTGTCTTTTTCGAGGATACCTGTTTAGTGGTTTTAAAGTGGAACAGCAAAATCAACAAAACTGTTGGGTCCCCTGGCCCCCTAAAAAACACACAAACACACAGAGCATATGTTTCATTCGGCAAATATTCTGCGAACCTTAAAATACAGCCGAATCTCAAGCGAGATCGTGCTGACGACGGCGGAAACACTGCCACTGCGGGGGGTTCAGCAGAAATCGGTTCCCTACCACAAGAAAAAGAGTAAACAAACAACAATTGACCTGCTTCTGGACAAGCAGATGCATGGAATGAGAGGGCAAATTCCAATGAGCAAAAAGCGGTTTCGGCCAACATGACAACCTTCTCACGTTGAATAGTGCTTCTTGGTATCAAGGACAGCGGCCCCTAAACCCTATGTCCCACAACGATGGCCCACAATATCAACATAAGTAAATGTCGCTGTCTCAATTAAAGGGACACTCAATCAACATTGGGCCAAAAGGCGCTTTCTTTAATCACGGCCCAGCGATCTCATCTCCTAACCTATAGCGGCTGGGTCCGCAACCTAGACTTTTGTCTGGGAAACATACGACCTCACTGCGATCGGAAATTCAAGCTCGGGTGATGAAGGCTCCTTGCTGGAGGCGTCCTTATTTCCAGCTTGGGCCTTACAGTAACTTGGCCAGATGTCCCTTCGCTTTGATTCTGCAGCTGGGTGAAGGCTAAACCAACAGGCGCATATTCAATCAGCATGTTGGTGAGCGCATAAGAGTCATTTTGCCAAAGCCTTGTTGATGGAACTGACATAGTATTGGCGGAAAGTGAGCAAGGAAGACAGGGACTGTTTTTAATCAAGGTGTTTGATGAATGAAGGCTATTCAAACCTGCCTAACCCGTCTAATGTCATTGCGGCTTGGGGATCCATGTTGGGTTTATTGGGAGGGAAGGCTTGCGATTGCTGATCGCTCTCGATGGTTACTTTCTATTTGTGTTGCTAAAACAATAAGCAGGCTTTTGTGCCTTGCGCAAATGTGAACGCCAAAGAAAACCCTTGGTGCTACTGTGCTTCAGCCGGGGGTCATGCTTTCCACAGCATCCTGAAAACGGCTCCAAATTGATTCCGATTTGCGGGAAGGACCATCCTTTTCGGTTGGTTTCTGTCAAGCCGAGCGATGGGCGGACTCCAAAGAAACCCAGGACTCATGAGGCCCCTGTAAATACCAACGAACATATTTCCTTTCCCATGGTTTCAAAGCGGTGCGAAATGGATTTCGTTCATCCACTGTAGGGAGACCCTCGTCCGAAGGCCATGAGCTGCGCGCATCCTTCATGAGGATGGGAATGGAGTCCTCAGTTCGCATGGCTCCAAGTTGTGGATTTGGATCCATTTCCCCGCCCGCTCTCACCCTAAAAAAACAGAAGGAACAGGTTGGGTTCCAACGACTGGATTTGTGCCATCCCCACCAAAAAGGTCGGTTTTTCACGTGGGTAGGTGAGAGCCAGTCCATTTCGGGGTTCCTTATCCTTCCCGCACCAAAGCACCAAAGGTGCGGCTCCTGTGGAAGCCCCCCCCCATTCCCGCATGAGATCCGCCATGCGTCGAACACGTTTTCCGTCAGAGCCGGCGGTGCCAGCGGGAGCGAAGGTCTCTGCGCAATGCACTCGAGCATGTACCTCGCTCGAAACCAAACTATCTCGGTCCCATCTCATGGGCCCCGGACCGAAAAGAACCGCAGTTTCTGAGTCCTCAGATCCCCCGCTAGTTTTACTTTTCATGGGTTCAATGGAACACCCACCACCATGTCCTGCTAATAGTTTACCTTTTAATGGGTTGAATGGAACACCCACCACCAAACTCTAAAAGGCGAAGCAGAGGCACCGGATGGCCTTCGGGAGCCACGGTTTGTACACCGACGTGTGGGAGGCTTGCGGCCACCAGAAGCTGTGCTTGGTCCAAAGTGGTTGGCCACTCGAGTTGGGATGAGTCCGGGCCACATCCGAGAGGTAGCTGCCATTGCCGGATTTCCAGGGAAAGCATGGGAAAACCATCCAAAAAACGATGGCTGGGGAAAGGCTGGTGTTTGAAAAGAACCATGGCTGAAAAGAATGGACGCGGAATCAACCCCTAGATACATTGACATCGATCTTCCAGGATAGATTGGGATTCCTATTCCTTGCGTTGGTTGATCCTTTGTCTGGAAGGCTGCCCCTGCAAGTAGGTCAGCCCAAAAGTGTAGCATTCCTCAAGGGACGTACCACGATTGTGGGCCTGATGAATTCGCACAAACCTCCTGTGCTCATAGGAGAATCTGGTTGATTTTAAAGGGGATTGAACCTCGAGCAGTCAGGAAACTGATGTCATCCACGTTTTTGGGGCCTACGTACCCAGGATTAGATACAGTACTGTTTGATGGCTTTCTCATCTCCCCCTGAAGTCGGATTGGACAGTTCGGGGGGGGGGGGGGGGTCCACGTAGGAAAGAGTGTCGGGACGCTGGGCCGCACCACTTTGCTGAAGATCCCAGTAAAATGTACTCTACAACCCACAGCAATTACACTACATGGTCGTGGTTTGGAGGTCAACCGGGGATACTAGCCACATACCAGGAGTGGTTGGACGCATTGAACATGATAGGATCCCCCCTGCCTTTTGTAGGCCCCTGGCCCACATCTGGGTAGCCTATCCCAAGATCAACAAAATTGGTGGTTGATTCCCCATTATGTTCAACCATCGTTCTTTCCAGAAACCGGCCGTTCTCCCTGGGTTTCTAGAAAGAAGGATCCCTGGAAAGAATGAAAATGGAAGGTACCGGTAGAAAACTGAGGAGGACGCCAGCGAAGCTTTCCGGTCATCCACGCGAGTTTCTTTTGCCAAGAGGCTCCTCATGCTTTTCATGCGCTTCCAGTCGCGCAGGCAGATCCGTCTCCAGGTTGAACTGCACTGTGATCACCTCATGCTCTGCTTTGCGTTCTTCCATTTGCTTTTTCACCCACCCCCCACCCCGAAAAAGCAAAAAAACAAAAAAAGCAGTGATAGGTTCCCTTTAAGACCAACAGAAGGAAATAACAAACATATGCTTAGCAAATGCAAGCGTTTGTTTCTGCGGGAGTCTGCGCACAAAGCGGGCTGGCCATTGGCACACTTTTCATGTGCCTGTATTTTCTCCAGGTTATGGCGTGGCTGTTCGGGGCGTGGCTTTTCGTCCTAGCTCGCCGGAGGTTGGTACACGCTGCTTTTCGGTTCGGGGAACCAAGTAAATAAGCAACCATGTTTGGTTTGACGCATAAATCCCCTAACAGACCTCAAACACGGGATTCGGGTGAAGCGAACCATGTCACGAGCCAACTGAGTCCGCGTTTCAAACTGTGACTTTTGCAACACGGAGTACTCGCCTACAGAACACGGAACCCCAGAACTCATTTGTAGAGGAATCTCCTTCTGCTGGACCTTTCCGGGTTACGTGTTGGTTTGCAGGGGGTACGATGCTTCACCATAAACTACAGGATCCCCGCCAAAATGGGGGTCTCAGTGGGATTCATCACTTTTGGAGGGAACATTTCAGTTGGCACTCCTTGGGCATGTTCCATACGTTGCTAAGGCAACCGTGATCAAGGTTTCTGTCATACTGTGGATGGACAAAATCCTGCACCAATTGAATCCATGGGAAACCATTGTTTGTTGTTATTTACGCGGGGGAATCATCCTTCCAGGGTTTCTTGGGTGGTGCAGGATTCCGTTCACCCACAGCAGGGCTTCCTTATGTTACCTTACTTATGTTACGGCCGCCGAATTGGCTTCCCTTGGGATACCGGGCACCTATGCTTTTGTGGGTCTGTGTGTTTTAGAGTTGGTACCCTGTGTGGGGTTGGCTCAACGGAAGAAGGGACTAAGGGACCGGCTTCGAATCACCGCTTCCGAGGGGCGGAAAGGGGATCGATCACCTCGGAGAGCGCCTCGAAGTCGGTGTAGATCCTCGGCGAAAACTGAAAACGTCTGTGGTGTCTGCGTGGGTGTTGGTGTAATCAATTGTTGTTGTCTTTTTTTTGGGGGGGGGGGGTGTTTTTTAGGGGATACCACACGGAAACGACGTACTCAAAACGCAGTTGTTCAGTGACCCTGGAGAAGAAAGAAAAACAAAACGGGAACCCTTTTTGGGGAAGACCATTTTTACTGGGGCAGCCACCCAAAAAAAGGGGGAAAAAGGGTGCCACTGAACAACTGAGAAAACGTCTGTGGGGATGTGGGTGTGTTGAGTTGGTACCCGTTTGGGGGCTGGTTTTTTAGGAGATACCACACGGAAACTACTTATTTCAGGGATTCCCCTAGTTTCAGACCATTTAACTTGATTTGGATGCCTGGGGTTAAGCAAAAGGCCGAACCTCTTTTAGGTTTCATGCAACAGCTTCCCTCCAGTTGGAGGCTTGGAGGTTACGGCCCCGAACCACCAATCAACACCCCACATGTTCGAAGGGCACTTTAGTGCGCCAATTGCCATCCCTTGCAAGCGACGCTTCCATCATGAGCGCCCCCCAGGCTGAACATTGTTTTCTGTTTATGTAGCAAGGAAGCTAAGGGACACTGCACAAGATGCAGAGCCCTCAATGCATGGGCTCCCTTAACATACATTACTTTGCAGGTCGAACTCTTGTCAATTCAAGGTTAGTCGGCCCGGTCTGCGGTTTAGGAACTTGCCGAACGCCGAACCAAAACGATGTCTCAAACGGAAAAGGGAAGCTCTTTTCCATCTGCAGAACCATTAGATCATGAAATTTCAGTGGAATTCAAGAAGTAACTTCCACCAAGGACCTGCCAGAAACGCGCCTCCCAAGCATTGGATCATGAAAATTCCGTGGAATGAACATAGTAGCTTCAAGCACCTGCACACTTCTGGGCTCTGGACCCACTGTTGAACATCCAAGCAGAAACCTCAAGGCCGGTTCCCCGGTTCCCAGCCGGCCGGTTCGGCGGTCGCCAAGGCTCCCATCGAAGCGGTCGCCCAAGTCCTGGCGGATGCGACCGAGGTCACCGGTCACCGGATGTCACTCCGCGGTTCTTCGGGTTTCCCATCTGAGCCTGTGTAAAAAGCTTGGGGACCTTTCCAAGACGGAGAGCTCTTCATGGATGGGCATTTTTTGTATACATTGTTTAGCAGGTGGATCTGCTCATTGGAGACCGAATTCTGGTCAATTCAAGGCTCAGTCGGCCGGTCTAATGGCTGCCTTGTGGTTTCGCTTATGAAAAGGGTACCCTCAAAAAGGTTGGCTTTCTAATGTAGAGCTGTGCATTTGGTGGGGATTCATGTCCACCAACCACTTTTGAGCAGGTTCCGCCTCACTCACGCCCCATTTCCGAATGTTCCCGGCACACAAGGGGCCGAGTCAAAAGGCAAACCTGCAGCCTCCCTTCATGTGGAGCGGGATTGACCTGCTGAGTTGACCCAGAAAAGTTCGTCAACTTTTCTACTCTGGAATTTGGACCCCAGCAAAAGATTATGTGTTTTGCCTGGTTAGTGGAAAACAAAGGGACCCCAAAAAAGCAAAACAAAAAAAAGGAAAGAAAGGGGAGCTAATTCTGGGGAAGTGTTGGCCAAACTGATGCATAAGCTCTTCGGTCCGCTGACATAGGCTTGAAGTGATCAACTCGGCGAAAGAATCACCATTCCATGAGACGTGAGGCAACCAAATTGCTGGCTCGATCAAACCTTATGACCAAAACTGAGGTTGAGCTGGCCAACGAAACAGTTTAAGGCAGGCTATACGAAGGGTTGAATGTCTCGCACTTCGGATTGATCTGGCCTGTATGACTCATGTTTTTTTTCAATGATGGATCTTCACCAACAAAGTGAACCCCTTCCAATATATAGGTACGCTACACGTATATATGCATATATGCATGTATGTATATACACATATGTTGTAGCAAGCCTTGCTCTGTGCAAACACTGGCAACCCTAGGTGTACGTTCGGAGACGAAAACAAACACGGCCCTGGTAAATAAATAAACTCGCACTGTTACCGGCGCCATCCAGTTACAACCAAACGAGCTCAAAGAAGCCTGCCCTGAAGGGTTTCAAAGACTAGACTCATCCTAAGCCAACCGCCTGTCCACTTTGCTTGGGAAACAGGGTAAGGGGTCAACAGCGAAGTAGCTAACCGTCGATTGCCGAGGGTCCAAACCAACGCCTCATTGGCTTGCTGGTTTAGGCAGGGAATGAGTTGGAATGACCCCTAACCAGGCTGGAATGAGGACCCCAGCAACAAAAATATCTTGTTTGCCTGGTTAGTGGAAAACAAAGGGACCCCAAAAAAGCAAACAACAACAAAAAATGAGCTAATTCTGGGGAAGTTCACGGTCCCCTGTGGTTTCCTTTCAGGGAATCTGATGGTTCATTCCCAAGCCATTTGCCCACTCACACTGCATGGCATGCCATGGGCCCCTCATTTGTTTTCTTTTTGTTTGAGGGGTGGTTGAAGCTCCCCTAAGTCCTCCAGTAGAGAGGATAGAATAAGCGTACGCGATTTTTCTGTAGTCTATTAGGGGAACCCTCCCCAAAAAAAATGTAAAAGGGCACTACTGGGGGACCTAGTCCCTATAACCAGTGAAAAAATAAACATAGGCTTCTTTGAAACAGCGGTCACTGGAAACTGCGGTTGTTTGTCGAAAGAACGGACACCCCGGCACACTGAAGCGAAACCCTTCAATGCAAACGTCGCCTTGTACAAGTTGATGGTCGCCAGGAACGAACCCAGCGATAGCTCGCCTCAGGCATTGGCCCCACCATGTGAGCCATGGTCTAATCTGGGTGTGCCGTTTTTAGGATACCCCTGTTTTGGTGGTTTTGAAGGGACACCAAATGGCAAAGAGCCATTCTGATGTGTCTTATTTTGCTTGGGGTCCCCTGAAACAGACAAAACCATACACTTGTTTCCCCTAACGGGCACGGGACATTTAACGTGCGCCCCTGAGTTTGTTGTGGGATGTTTTTGCAAGTCCGCCATGCCCCTCCGTGGTCGCGTATCCGCGTTGGGGAAAAATTCATAATCCCTTTCCTCCATTTGCTTAAGCCCCCTGGAAAAGCAAATGCAGGAGTGATAGATTCCATTTGAAATCAACAGCGGAACATAACATATATGCTTAGGCAAACGGAAGCTTGCATTTTGGAGCGAGGGCGTTTTAACCAACCTCCCTGTGCTAAGAGGAACTCGTTCTCCGGATCATCCTTCAGAATCCACAAGACGGACCCGGGGAGCGAAATACACAGCGCAATACTGCAATATTCTTGATTACTCATTCTGATATCACGTAGATTACAAAACATACTGCCAAATCAGCTCCCTCACACCACTTTACAACAATTTTGTTTTTAAAGACGCAAAAGCGGCAACCCGTGAAAAAGAGAGTGTTGTCCCAAGCGCGCGCAGACAGTTTCCCCATTGAAAAAGAAACCCATGTGTTGTTCTCCAACAGCGCTATAGCGCCATGGGGTGAGTTCACGGGGAAGGTTCCAAGGAATGGATATTGAACGGGGCTACTTCCTGGGCTAGCTTGGGTGGGTCTCTTTTCTTGGGGTACCCTTTTTGTCTTGGTAAAGGGAAACCAAAATGAAACCGATGCCATTTGTTGGGCAACCTGAAAAGAACATTTCTCTAATTAGGCCAAGAGAATCATGGAAACCCTGAGTTCTATACAGGGATCCTTACATTATACACCTGAACATTGGCTTGTAAATTGTGGTTTTCCTTTATTTTGGTGGAACAAAAACATGTTTCAAATGGGCAACATGCATCTTTTAAAGAGCCCTGCTATAGGCCAGAGGATTTCCCCTATATCCAGCGGGTCGGGAAGTTTCACCGTGCAGGTGTCACGTTTTCAGCCGTGTCATCGCTTGATCGCGCATCCTCACACTACACTGACGCAAGGCAAGTTTTCCCTTTTGGTAAAAAAGAAAAGAAAAAGAACAGCAAAACACACACACACACCAAAAACATGGTAAAAAAGAAAAAGACAAACAAAAAACAAATGCACACACACACACCAAAAATAAAAGGAAGAACAAACAAAAACAGGCACAAGAAGTCCAAGGGTGGCCCAGGACAGTGGCAGAAAAAGGGCCCCTTGCGGTTGATTCTTTTGGTGGGGTGCCAAGGTTTCCCGAAGCCACCGACTGTGCCGAACGATATAACCAAGTTCTGCGCTCGAGGTTTGGGTGTCGTTAGGTTTTTTTTGGGCTTTGCTTGCGCTCTCGTGGTCAGTTTTTTAAGTTACCGGGTTTTTGCTGGTGACCGGTGTTTTTGACAGGGAACCTAAAAAGGACAACCATTTCTTTCGGGTCGCCTGAAGATCCCACCATTTCTTTCGGGGGTTCCTGGGTTCCCGCCCCCAAAAAAGAAAACGCCCCGGTCAACAGCGAATGCCCTCCGGCCTTCGGTCACCATCTGTCCAGCCAGGAAGATATAAAAGCCGGTCGCAAGGATCGTAATCCACGGAATAACGATGCCGCTCCTTGGCACTGCGAGAGGTCCTTCTTTGTAGTGTGGGGAAATTTGGTTGTCCGTTTTTTGAGGCTCCCCTCTTTTTGTTTTCCGGGTTTAGACGTACATTGTATAGCTACAAGTCGAAGCATCTGCCCATGGTAAAGTCATAAGCCCACGGTGCATCAAGAAAGGGAAATGTAGGGGGGCCCGGCCATGGCATGCAAGGACAAAATTGACAACCCAGCCAATCTCTTTCTAACACAACCACCGAAGGGAAACGCGGTAACTGGCTGGTGATTGGACACCTCCGCTTTGCTCGCTTGCTTGTTGGTAATTAAGTGAGTAAATCGTCATCTCCTGCTCATTTGCTCGTCCCTGCGGTCCAAACGGAGATCTCATCGGGGCACAAACGGCATACACATGAGGGACCGGACGTGCTCTACATGTCGGGGGTGCTATCCGCCAAAAAATCGCAAGCTTAAAGTTGAAGCGTCCGTCAAGGTCCGAATCGCAAACAACGCTTCAAGGTTTTGCTGTCAGGTCAGCTTCATCGCAGGTGGAAAGGTCGCGCGAATCGCCGGTCGCGGACCCTCCAATCGCCGCAGCCAGTGCCACCGTTGAGCTGTTCTTATTTGCATTGCGTATTGCAAGTGGTTTCTAGAGAGAAGGATGGCTGAGAATGGGGAAACAAGCCCAGTAACCCATTTCAGCGAGGTCCGTCAGCAAGGTCTGGCAACTTCTCAGTGGCACCCATCTGGTGGGGAAAGCAAACATCTGCCATCATAGCTCAGCTTGCCTCTGGCGATTTGTGGTTTGGAGCCCGGTGGTTTGGTGGTTCGGGGGGTAGTTTCCCATTGAAAAAACTGCATGGTGACAAATCCGGCCAAGGCGTCCAAAAGGAGAAGGACTTCAAAGCAATCATCAGGCGCCGCTGATCTGCCAGCACCTTCTGAAACTTCCCCACGATGGTATTACCTAAGGCAGTTGTTTTTGCTTTTTGACAGGCAGAGAAAAAGGTTGGATCACCACACTGAAATCCATAACCCTGTTTTGGGGTCGGGGGTGCCTAGAATTGTAGTTTGTTTTTAGTGGTATAGGTTCCAACACGCAAAAACCGAACATGATTATCTAGAGGAAACAGCAAGACAAATGACTCAGTTCAAGAGCAGACCTTTTGCTTACCGCTGGTGGTCTTGTCACCAAGGAATTGCTTCGCTGGGCCTCTCAGCCATGAGGACAACTAACAGGTACAAGTAACAGATAGCCTTAAGCAATCAGCAAACAAAACATTTACTGTACAGGTCATGACCGTTCACTGTCATTGACTAAACAAAAAGACACCAGGCTCGATTACCTCAAGACACCAGCCGCGCGAAACTCGGCAGACAAGCCTGAAACCCCTTGGGTTTGCTCGTGCTGTTCGCTCATTTGTCCGTTCCTTTCTGAAGCTGTTCCGATCGGAGCTTAGGAGAACCAAGGAGAAGCCTTTCAAAAGGCCCTGCGAGTTTGAGTGCGCATCCCGAGCTTGGGCGGGCTTCGTAACATGTCTGAAGCAACACAAAGTCAGTGAAACTGCTCCTACCCCTCAACTCGCCAATCCTCATGTGGGCAAAACACGCTGCTTTGCTAGCTACCCTTCGCGACAAGAGGAGAACCAAAGAGCCAAACACCCAAAGACGCACTGACTATGAAGTCAACTCTCATAAAGCCTGCGCTCAGCACTTAGTCAGAAAAAGGCACTACAGGCGTGTACCCAAACTCGGGAAGTGATGGGTGCCCGAGTGACCTGTTTTGGGTATCGGCTGGCTATGAGCCACTCCCAAAGTATTGACCGAGTCCCTGGGTGGTGCTGAAACTTTGTGCGTTATCGCATGCCCCTCGCAAATGGATCAGAGAAAAGCTGGGGCCCACCAAGGCCAATTGGTGCAAGATATGTGCGTTCCATTGATCATGGTGAGCTCGTGTTTCCATTTGAGCGCACCATGAGAAAGGCCCAAAGGCAAATGCTGTATGCGATTCAATCGGCTCAGACCAAGTTCATAAAATTTCATAAATACATATACCCATCAACCAATTAACGTGGAACCTGACAGGGGGGGGGGGAAAAATGGAGAAAAGGGGGGGCCTGGGGGGAAGAGGGAGGAGTGTTGGGGTTATTGGGTCAAATGTTGTTATCCAACGTTTTAACACCCTTGTTTGATTTCATCCTATATTTTGTTGTAGGGTGTTAGGGGTGGATTTTCTGGGGGCCGACATTTTTTTCATTTGAAAGAGTTAGCCCTTTTAGTAGTTATTAAGTTCTGGGGTGTTGGTGGTTCATTTGTTTATTCCTATTCTTGTTCAAAGTCACTTGTTGTTTCCATGTAATCTCTCACAGTATCGTTATTGTTTTCTTGACCTTTCACTCTTAGTTGGTGCTTACTTGTTTGTTGGTGTTTTTTCATTTTGTATTTTCCTACCATACATTTACATAAAGGACATTCTACTTTCAATTGGTTATAGTCTTTCTGTTTTTCATTTATGTCTTCTTTGTTCTTCTCTCTATAGTCTTTTGCTTTTTGTTTTATTTCGTCTTTATGGTTTTCACGATAATTCTTTTTCTTTTCTAGTATAGCGTCTTTGTTATTCTCTCTATATGTCTTATTCTTATCTGCTATTTGTTCTTTGTTGTTTTCGTAATACTCCTTTGACTTTTGCTGTATTTGTTCTTTGTGTGCTTCTCTATACCGCCGTTTGCTCTCCAAGCATACATTACATTGTTTTCTTCTTTCGTTGAACTTTTCTAACAATTGAAAGACTTTACATTTGGAACATTGTTTTTTGTCTGTCATTGGTCTCTATATGTTTAAGGGGTTATTTCTTTAGATAAGTTTAAGGGGTGTTATAGGTTAAAAGTTCAGTATAATTATAACATATAAGATTTTACATGTTATTATTATATTATGATTATAATTTCAGTTCAGGATAATAATCTAATTGGTTTGTCTTACTTCTTTCATACATCATTTTAAAAATAATATTAACATCTCTCACTGTATTCTGAACATTAAACTTTTTACTTTCAATAAATAATTTGATATTTTCTTTAACATCTTCTCCTTTCTCTTGACTATAACCCAACATCCATAATATATCATAAATCATGTCATATTTTTTCTTACTGATTTTAAGAAACTGTTTAACATAATCGTAAGGTGGTATTTTATTTACAGTTAGAAATATTAAAATATCATCTTCTACATTTCTATTATGTCTTCCTTTTATTCTCAACAGACATTTGATTAAAAATTGATTATCTCTCCATTCCTGACAATTTTCACATTCGTCTTTTTCATCCATTGAATAATTAATAATATTATTCACTATTTCATTAGGTAAACTCAATTTATACAATTCCATATTTTCTTTTTTGAAGTGACAACAATCATAGCATTTTTTATCGATATAATTATTGATTCCATCACCGTTCATTTTTCTCTTAATATATAAGATAATATTTCTTTAAGTAGTTTTGGCTAGGGGGTTATGGTTTAGTTATGAATTACACAGGTTCATCAACAATTAGTTTAAAACTTATGTTTTGTACTCCTTCAAAATTCATTCTACTTCTTTCACCATCAATACATCTGTATATTTTTTGATGCGCCCCCATTACAACGAGAGCAGGCCCCCATTACAACGAGAGCAGGCCCCCATTACAACGAGAGCAGACCCTTCCTTCAAATGGGGAACACCAGTTTTGCCGTTGTAATGGATGCTACAGAAACCATGTTTGGAGTTTGCGATCGATGATGAAAATGACCATTGCCGTCTTACACCGTTTTACCTGACATTTGGCGTTTGCTTCGGAGGAGATGACAGACCTTTCAAGAAGGTCAATTGGTTTATTTGGGAAAATTTTTTACACCCTTTCTGTTTAGGAGGGTCATTCGCTCTTTCCTGCGGGAAATTGGGAATGAACCTCTGTGTATCTAGAAAAAATGAGAACATCAATGTTAATCGGATGTGCGACGCTAAAAGTGTCATGCATCTGATTAGGGGATTGGCGGCTATTTTTCTTCTTTGTTTTTTTTTACTATCCATTCCGTAATCGTAATTCGGTCTGGGTGACCATTTATGTCACCCATCCTGTCCGAGCAAGGAGTGAGTGGGGAGCGAATGGGTAATGTGAGATAAGCATACCCACCACTCCTTGCTGAAAAGGGAGGGTTGATTATGGAATGGATAGTTTTTTTTGTTTTTTTAAGTGGCATCAGCCATCAGGCAACAACCGACCCTTATTTTGTTTCAATGCTGTTGATGCTGGTTGCTGGTGATGCTGGGTTTTTATAATGCTGTTGATACCTCACACGCCTTCAACCAAACACAACCCGTCACACATCAACCACCCATCAAACAAACTAACCCGACCAACCGACCCTGACCCTGAAAATAATTCTAATAATTTCATATTATTAGAACTATTTAGATAATTATTTTATGGAGTAATGTCGCGAAGCTCATTAGGCTATTACTTTGTAATAGCGTAATGTCCATATGGCAATGAATTGAAAGCATCAATATAAAACCTTTGATTTTCATAATTACTGAGAGATTGCTTTACTTGAGACATTGAATATATTTGATGCGACTTACTTCTGATGAAGTTATATGTGATTTCATGCTTTTTGTTTTGAAACAATGCTTCGTGATAGTTCTGATACGGCAGTTCTTTTTTCACTTTGTGTTTCACTACACCTTTTGATTTCTTATGTTCATCATCCTCACCGTGAATTGTGAAGGCATAAGATTTAGGCTTTAATCCGATGAATTTAGTAATGATTTTTCCATTGACTTCATCTTTGTACATTCCTAAGACCTTCTTATTAGTTTTGTCATGACATGGATGCTCAACAGGATAGTCGCTAAAATCCATGTGTTGCTTTATATCATTGAAATCCTTATAGACATCATCAGTCATTGTTTGAATTACATAACTGTCAGTATCAGTATAAACCAGTTTTATGTTTTCATTGTATTTTTTCTTAAGGACATCATAGTAAAACTGATACATATGTAATTTGCTTAAATCTAAAATGCTCATTCCCAGGAAAATCGGTTTATCCAGTTTCAGTTTTGCTTTAGTTTTTTCAACTCCTACGAGATTTTCATTTATAATAAATCGGTTTTTGAATGTTGGATTATTAACGCATTTTTCATATCTTACCTCATTATCAACCAGTTCAAAGTCCATATGGTTTCTTTTGTCTTCCATAGTTTTTCCGTACACCGCGTTATTCATTAATTTGAATAAATCTTTCTCAAAATCGCTTTTGGCTTCTTTCCTTTTACCAGTGTTGAAGTCAATCCACGGTTTCAACCATGCCCTCTGTTGAAACTTTATTATCCTATGGACTTTACCCATTTTCATTCCCATTTTCAAATAATACTGTAAAGTCTTGATATGAACCACATATTTTTCTTTATCCTTTAGATTTAATATTAACTTACTTGTTTTCTCGTCCTTCGGGGTTTTTCCATCATAATATATTTTGAAGACTTGCTTTTGATAGTCGGAAAGCATATTCACATTTACATTCATTATTTCAGGTGCTAGTGGATAGTCAGAGTGGAAATCGTGCAATGTTTCGGGATATTCCAAATCAACTTCCATAATATAACCGAACTCATCGTTTTCATTCCATTTTTCAACAATGGGAGTTTTCTTTGCCCACTTGATATTTTTTAGCGGTAACTTCTGGGACATTGCCAAACCATACAAGTTATTAGCATCCAAGTAACTAATATAATTTGATGGCTTGTTCTCATCATATGCTTCCCCCATATACTTATTATTTGCCACTGCTAATTTATGACTGACTTGACACATTCCTCCTCTCATTCCCTTTTCAACCATCTCAAACATTTCTTGGTCATGCAATTGTTCTATTTCAACACCAGTTTTTAGAAGCATCGCGTCCCATGCGAAATTTGGC